AGGCGAGCGACGAGCGCGCGCTCGCTCACACAGCCACCAGGGTGGCGGCTGTGTGAGTCCCCGTGCCGCCGAGACCCGACCCGGCTTTCTCGTCGGCGCGACGCCGGGTCACGCGGCAAGCGGCCACCGCCACAAGGAGCCCGGCCCCGAGCGCGAGCAGAGCGACTCCCAGCAGCGTCACCACCGAGTCGCGGGGGCTCGAGGCGCACGCCACTGCCGTGTCGACGGCCCCGACGAGCAGCGCCACGAGGCTGAAGGGGAGCACGCAGCCCGAGCAGCTCGCCTCGGCGCCCCCGGACGCGCCCCGCAGCCTCTCGTAGCGCAGGGCGGCTCGCTTCGCGCGCACCACCTCGCAGCCCTGATGACTCTGATCACTCTGATGCTGCTGCTGCTGCTGCTGTTCCTCTTGCTTGCTCATCTGCTGCTGGTCTCGTTGTTTGTGATGCTGCTGCTGCTGCTCCTGCTGTTGTTCCCACTGCTGCTCCTCTTGCTTGCTCTGCTGCTGCTGCTGGGCTTGGTGTTTGTGCAGCTGCTGATTCAGCTGCTGCTGCTGCTGCAGGACCTCGGGTCCCGCTCTCTGCTCCACGACGTGGCTCATGGCAGCAGCAGCATCGGCCGGCTCCTGCCACCCGGCACCTCGTGGTGGAGAGTTCACGTTGCTTGTGGCGGTGGTAGTGGTTAAGGCGGCGGTGGTGGTAGTAGAGGTGGTGGTGGTAAACGTGTTGGTAGTGGTAGTGGTAAAAGTAGCAGTGGTAAAGGTGGTGGTGGTGCAGTAGGGATGAAGGTGCAGTGAGCAGAGTTCACGCGCTACAGCGCACAAAACTCGGGTACTGCGTGCGTCATCACCATAATTATCATCACCATTCGCATCTTCCAGAGGAGAATATCCAACCGTCCTTCGGACTCGTAGTGATGATTAAATGTTGCCGCTGTTGCTATCGATTATTCCATGCATTTAAAAATGTTTGAGCATACACATAAAAAACAATACGTAATGAACATCAACAAATAATTGCAATCGTGTTGTCGACTTCATGGAGCGGCGCCCATGGCAGCGAGCGGGCGCTGCGTGGAGCAGCAGCAGCAGCAGCGAGAAGAGAGCAGCGCCCAGCGCTGCCGAGTGGACAGAGGAGTCACGGGGAGGGGGAGGTGGAGAGTGGGAGGAGGTGGTGGTGGTGGGTGGTGGTGGGAGGTGGTGGTGGAGGGTGGGAGGAGGTCGTTGGTGGTGGTGGGAGGTGGTGGTCATACAAAGAATAAGACTCGCAAACCCCATCTCCCTTCCTTACAACCACTCCTCGACTCGTCCGCCCATTCCAACTCCGACTCGAGTCTCCTCTCATGCCCACAACCCAGAGGCACCAACAGCCCCTGGCATCGTCGCCTCTCGCTCCCCTCGTGCTCTCTGAGCGCAGTGATCCGCGCGGGTCGCTGTGTGCCTGCAGCAGGGGAAAAGCACAAAGCCGCGAAAAAACACCAAATCCCATTCGTCTCTCCGCGTCTGCTGTGAGCGTCCAAGATTCACAACTCAAAGTGCTCTGGAGAGGACCGTTGCTGTGGGTAAATGGATCTTAGACTTGAGCGAAATATAATTTTCTGCCCGTACAGATATCTGAATACAGGGAACCACAAATCTGGCTGTCCGCCTGATGATGCTAGTTGTAATTATTGGCAAAACGTCGTACTCAGAATGTAAATGATGTGGGTTGGCTCTAACACACAAGCGTGCTGTACTAGTAACGAATTGGCATTTTATGTTTACGTGACAAGCCTTGCTAATTGGCCGTGACGGGTGGTGGCGCGTTGAACGACACATTTATATTTATGCGACCTAACCCCAAATATATATATTATGGTCAATACAGGAACTCCTCTACTTACGAACATTCGAATTACGAACTTTCAAAGATACGAACAAACCTGTCCATATGTTCAGTTGCCTGTTCGGACCGAGAGTCGTAAGTTCAACCGCCACGCAATAGTTGGCGGTGGTGGCATCTACATCTACAGAACATGAAGAACCAGTGGCATCTACATCTGTAGAACATGAAGAACCAGTGGCATCTACATCTGTAGAACATGAAGAACCAGTGGCATCTACATCTACAGAACGTGAAGAACCAGTGGCATCTACATCTACAGAACGTGAAGAACCAGTGGCATCTACATCTGCAGAACATGAAGAACCAGTGGCATCTACATCTACAGAACGTGAAGAACCAGTGGCATCTACATCTACAGAAAGTGAAGAACCAGTGGCATCTACATCTACAGAACATGAAGAACCAGTGGCATCTACACCTACAGAACGTGAAGAACCAGTGGCATCTACATCTGCAGAACGTGAAGAACCAGTGGCATCTACATCTGCAGAACGTGAAGAACCAGTGGCATCTACATCTACAGAACGTGAAGAACCAGTGGCATCTACATCTGCAGAACGTGAAGAACCAGTGCCATCTACATCTGCAGAACGTGAAGACGCAGTGACATCTACATCTGCAGAACGTGAAGAACCAGTGGCATCTACATTTGCAGAACATGAAGCACTAGTGGCATCTACATCTGCAGAACGTGAAGAGCCAGTGGCATCTACATCTACAGAACGTGAAGAACCAGTGGCATCTATATCTGCAGAACGTGAAGAACCATTGGCATCTACATCTGCAGAACGTGAAGAACCAGTGGCATCTACATCTGCAGAACGTGAAGACCCAGTGGCATCTACCATTGAAGCCGGAAGGCTCCCAAAAGCCCTCGGCCTGACCTAGGAGAACCTGAGTCCCCACAGTGCCCACAGTCTCTCTGCAGCGATCGTCATAATCGTAATCACTATACGACGAGGGGTGATGCCTTTAAAGATATATGGTGACTCATAACATACGAAGCGCTACGGAGACCTCTCATCAAACCTCGTGTCGTGTGTTTGTGTGTGTGCCCTACGGTTGCAGGCCCATGGGTTAGTCTCCCAGTCATGGGGAGGAGGTGGGGCACACGAAAGAACAGAGACAGAGTGGAGTCGGGGTAAAGGAGATTGACACTCCCGCCGAGGTCGTTGAAGAGACACGAGCGAGCAGGACGCCGTTTACGAAAGTGTATTGGAGGAATAAAAGGCTGAACACACACACACGGAGAATTGTGTTGAACGCGCACCCTCACGTTTGCTGACCAGTCGTCGTTATGACAACAAATGGAAGTGAACTGCAGGAAGCCACTGAAAAAATCGAGGAAGGAGGCTGCAAAGTCTGGCACAAATCATAACCGAATACGTACGCTGAGCACACACACACACATAAACACGGGCCTGAAAAAAAACGATGAAATCTATGAATGTTGAACTTCTTTCGCACCGTACCTAGCCAACCGTGCTAATCGGAGGTGCGGTAACTCAAATAGGCTATCGAGAGCAGGCGTGAGTGGGCTTGAAAGATTGAATCCGAGGCTGGGTCTCGGTAGGGGGAACGAAGTCTACCACGGTACCGGCTTCTGGATGGCCATCGAACAACGGCGGCCACTGCACCACGCGATTTCAGATGCGCTTCCGCGGCCGTCTGGAACGCTCTTCCTTCCGATATTCGGAAGCCAGCGGAGCTATGCACTTTTAAATCTAGATCGAATTTCTCTAGAACTCTTTTTTTTGGTGCGTGTTCCGTTTGTTGTCTCCCCCCCCCACCCGCCCCGCACACTCCGACGATGGCTACGTACGGCGTGAAATAAGTTCAACGTTACACAAAACTCATTCTCGTGGTTACGCATCGCTTGAGGTGGACGTCCACGACGAGGGAGCACGCGTCGAGAGCTCCGGGGGCCGATCGTGACAGCCGCGAGCCCCCGAGAGGCGCGTCGGTGACGCCTTGTGCCGAGATCTGAAAAGCGTTCAATCGACCCCCTAGCTCCTGCGGCTGTCCCGCCGTGACCCGGCTCTCATTTGAACAACAAAAAGAGAGACGTTCGGTTTGAATGAGATTCAAACGATTTATTATTATTATTTTACCAAGTAAGGCCCCACTGAGCTACGTAGCTATTTTTCAGAAGCTACCTAGCTATCACGAATGATAGCTCAACGAAGTTGGCTTAGCATGTTTGGCATTTTTCGCAGCAGCCAAAGGCTCTAGACGCGTGAACAACCGGCGGACCCGGAGAAAAATCCACACGGGCACGGGGAGAGAGACATCGCAAACTCCAAAATATACAGCAGGAGCAGGCGTCAGGCTCTCCGAGGGTGTTAATGGAGCTTTATTGATGATGGTAGTGACAATGTTGCGCAATGGCCCTTGTTTAAATCAATTGAGAGAGTGCAGAAATGGTTTTACCTTCTGCACCAATGCGAATGGTCTCTCGCACTTGGCAGGGAGGGCATTCAATATGATTGACTGCGTGTGCATTTTGGACAGACCCCCCCCTCCCCCGTCTTAAAACGTGACTTAGTGGTCAGAGCTAAACAAGTCACGGATATTTGTATGGTCAGACAGGCCTTGTTACACGGAGCAGGCGAGGGGCCATCGCTCGCCTGACGCTCGCGGACCTTAGAATCAGAACATTTGTTTATACTGCAGTAGGAATCCGATGAGCTGTAAAGCTCTTTTTCACAGATGTCCAGTCGGGGCGGGTGAGAACATACAAACAGTACAAAAACGTGATACGCGTGCACAGTTTAGGAAAGGTAAGCAAGTCACTCAAAACATTTACAAATAAAATTTATTCATAAAGGCTTTTGGGTTAGGTCACGTAAGTGATGTGTCGCAACCCTCCTCCACCCGACACGGCCAATTAGTAAAAAATGTGTCACGTTAACAAAACGCCAATTAGGTACTTCTTCAGCCCACCGATGTGTTTGAAGAGTGAATCCACAACATTTAGAATTTGAGTATGACGTTTCGCTGATAATTATATCCAGCATCTTCGGGCGATTTGCCAGAATAGTTTAACTTTTACTTTACCAGGTAAAGCCCACTGAGCTATCGGCTTCTTTTTCAGAAGCGAACCCTGGCCACAAATGATAGCTCAACGAAGTGGCTTTTCATCACGTGGACGTTTATGGCGGCAGCCGAATACTCTGAACGCGTGTTGCCTATTCTAAATGTGGAGGGATGCGGTGCTGCGGTGCTGCCAGACGCGTCTCTGCGTGCCTTAGGGGTGTCATCTATTCATCGGCGAAGACCCATTCTTCGCACACCTATTCAATTTGCTGTTTGACGATGCTCTAAAATTATGTTAATGCGTGTGGATGGAGCGGTGGATTGAGCAAGTATTTTACACCAGTCTGCTGTCAACCTATTCGGTATGGCAGGCCCCCCCACCCCGCCAATCAAGACCACTGGTTTCAAAGCAATGGCTCAAGACCTTCTCGCAGACTGAATGTGAACATCAACGCGCTACGACACTTCGCTCAATACCGCGTTGAGCTGCTTCATCGCCAAGTTACCGCGGCAGCATTTGCTGGAGGCGCGGCGCACTGAGTGACAGCTTGGGGTCACGCTCGGGATCAGGCAGAGACAGCTGCTTTGCTTCAGACTGCATGTGGGGGACAGCCTGGTTGGGGAGGAGGGTTCACTGGGGTCACATCTGCAGAGACGACTGCCTCCCTCCGCTCTCACGTCAACTTCGTTATCTGCGAGCCCATCCAATTCCACCCACGCACGCGGGAAAGATCCCCAGCGCGCACGTGCGGATGCAGTCGCAGCGACGCTGCTTGTTTGCTACGTACGATGCGAAAGAAGTTCCAACACGCACACACACAGTGAGCGTCTACTAGGAGCCAACACGGCACGCGAGGGTGATGTGGCTGGAACTCAAAACCATGCACGACCACCTTTGTCTCCCCAGGTGGTGTTCATGCCTATAAACAGCACACGGTATTTGAAACTGAAGCTGAGCAGACCCAATTAAAAACGATCTCCGATGAGGATGGCGTCTTGGTGTCATAGTTTAGCACACTGGACCTGCAATGCAGAGGTTTCTGGTTTGATCTGAATCAATGGGTACGTTTCTTAAACTTCCCCACCCCTCTCCATGTCGTGTGGTAGAATGTGGGTACAAGTACCCATTTCTTCCAAGACCTCTGATCAACATTGTCGACCAAAAACCCTCTAGAAGGCTTCTCTCTATTGCGAGGCCCTTCTGCCAGCAGTGGTGTGAGCAAGACATTGCAGGGCTGCGCCTTTAACCAATATTGTTTTTTTTCTTCTAAGCAGATGGTGTGCGTGGTCAGGATATTAATCCAGGTCACCAAGATTGTAGCAGCGTCTGCGAGAGACATCGCACAGCCACTCATCACAGAGGTGAGCGAGAGCTTGGAGCCCTTGATGAAAAGTGAGCAGGGGGGGGGGGGGGGGTCTCGATTCCTGCCGAGCGTGGAAGTGTTCAATTTTCTCCTCGCTGTGGCTGCCTATTTTGTAGATCTGGGTCCTCGAAATATTTCACTTAAAAGCCATAGATGCAGAGCCGCACGCGGCTCATCGCCAGCTGTTTTTTTAAATCTTGGGCCACGTGATGAGATTCATTTACTGGAATAGAAACGTGACATTGACTAAGGTTTGGTCAAACCAATTATTTTTTAGTTTAAACTTCATTTGATTTTACTTATATATATGGAAGTATCGATCAGATAAAACGCATAATTTCCCTTGTATTAAATGTCCGGTGTGGTGATGATTGCTGCTGTGGACCATCTCAGAGACTCGATATCAAGATCTGTAGTTGGAGATGGCTGAAGTGCAAACAGCTCATTCAAAATAATAACTGTAGCATTAACCGTTTTTCATACGATGCAGTTCTAACTATATTCAAATGTAATAATTTTAACTGAATTAATATATTTGTTTAACTTCATATGCATTTACATGGAACTCGTTATATACTTTTAATAAACTACTCAATGTTAAACTTCGTAAAAACTTCCCATTTGTGCCAAAGTTCCACAGTGTAAACTGTAATCTGCAACTATAATTTAATATTCTTTGGGTCTTTCGGTAAAGTCACGTAGATAGGTTCAAATTAATGAAAATAAAATCAACAAAAAAGAGGCTCTTTTTTCCTCCTGATGATGATCACTTGTGTTGTGATCGAAACGTCGAAGCTTTTTGTTTATTTTATTTTCATTAATTTGAACCTATCTACGTGACTTTACCGAAAGATCCAAAGAATATGAATTCCTGCAGTCACGAAAGCTTTAAGTCAAAATGTAATTTGATATTCAAGTCGACCTCATGGATAATGGGTAGATGAGAACCACATCGTAGGGCAGGCAATGCACTGCAATATAGACACAACGGACATAAGGCCACGAAAGAATTGGAGAGATACAATCAACGATTTAAATGTACTTGGAACACCATGGGATGGCGTGGCTCAACTGGCCGATGACCAGTCAAGGCCCCCATATGCTGCTACAGCACGGGAACGACTAAGGTTTAAAGCCCTTCATGTGTTTTTTTTTCTCAATAAAGTAGCATTGCTTATATCGTTTTAATATACGAATGCAGAATGTAGTCCCATCGTCAGCCAATGCTTAGTGCGGCGATCTCTAGCGTCCCAAGGCTGCTCTGTGCAATCTTCCCCCCCCCCCCACCCCCCCACGTTCAGGTCTGACGCATTCACCACCACTGGTGGGGGGTGACGCCGGTTCATTCGGTGGGCTCGTCATGTCACGCAATAGCCAGTGGAAGGAGGGTGCGCATGGGAGAGAGAAACCACAGATGCAGCGGGCTTGATGGAGAGGGAAGCAGCGTGGGGGCATTCGGAGGGAAACGGGAAGAGCGAGTGTTGATGAACGAGGCGGATGGATGAGCAAGCGAGGCAGAGGCGACGACTGCCATCGCCTCCTATCCCAGCATCTGCAGCAGCGGGCGCTCGCCGTAAACTTTGCTGGAATTATTGGGTAAACAGCTCGGACGTTAAGAATAAAGCACAATACATTGTGGACGTAAACAAAAAGGGAAAGTTGCGATAGATGGAGCGTTTGAGCAGGACGGGGGTGGGTAGCAGAACAGGCATTGGAGTCGCACCCTGAGGATGCTGACCAAGAAGAAGTCTTAATGCAAGGGAGTGGTGGCAATGAAACTAAGCTTAGACCTCGGAGGAAAAGTCTCTGAAGTGAAACAGCTGCCGGACCTCGCAAAAGGTTGGAATCGACTTCAAAGTGCTGGCATCAACAGCACTGGATGTGAAGACCCCTTTATAACCGTGAAGAGCTCTTCCTATGTTCGCTTGTCAATCATAGGCAACACCAATGACGCTGGCGTTGATATAGCTGCAGAGGAAGCTCTCAAAATGAATCCTGTCTTGCTCGAGCGGATGTCTGTGCACCAGAGTGTACGCATGCATGAGAAAAAAAATCTCATTTCATGTTACATCACAAAGCAATTTCCTTACTTGCACAAGTTTATGTACAGAAATATTGCAAACATATCTGTAAAACTAAATGGTAAACCACATAAAAAAACATTAATTGTAACAAGGTACTGTTTGAATAATTTCCTCTGTAAAACATGTGGCTTACATGGTCAATGCCCAGTTGGACTGTTACATACATAACACTACACAGTAAAACACATCTGCCTGCAATATAGCAAACATTACAAAACAGCCAAGTTAGAAATACAATTTATATCTTGCCAAATAAACATTACAGCATATAGTGCCAAATCCATCTCACAGCTGGGGCCAGATTGGTGCCGGAGCATTACGAACTTTTCATCAGACATTTTGTGGACAAATGTATCATTATTACAGACTTTTGCACTCACGATCATAAACACGGGCATTCTATCATACACTTATAGGCTGACTTGTTTGCTCAAGAATGACGCACGTCTTTGTACTTGGTTCGATGAGTCAATATAAAAGTCAGATGCGAATCTTAGTCCGGATGTACATTTGATCTCGGCAGCTGCTCTCGTTTTTTGAAAATAAAAATATGGTCAAGCCCTCGCGTCCGACCCGATGTCTTGTTCCGCCACTTAACAAAGTTCACGGTGGTGAAAGCTTGAAGTTCAGCGATGTGCGAGCGACGTGAATTCACCGCGTGCCCAACTGTAGTTTCTGTGCGTGTAAAACACCACGAGCTGAAACAATAAATCACCACGACGTCAACGGGGCAACGCCCTTTCAGTGAAACCTAGGAAAATAAATATTTCCAATGTAAATATCGGACGTGTTCAAATCTTCCGGGGACTTACATGGCCCCCCGTTTTTTGTTGTAGGGCATTTTTTACATCTGAAGGTTACAGACCGCTGTTGATGTCCTAATGGGCTTCGGGACTTCACAGTGTTTGCCTTCAAATATGACCGGTTTATACAGACACCCACTGCAAGCTCTGGAACAGGTGGCCCAGTCTGTGGATTTCCAGACACCCGAGTCTCTGCCCATTAGCTCGCATTGTGGGCTATACAAACAGCTACAGCATAGAAAGGTAGAATGGTTTTATATGCAGCTAGTGTCAAGGGCGATAGCAACTCATACATACACTTCTCTGCTGCAAAAGGCTCAAATGTAATGTAAAATAAATATGGACTGTTTCAATATTTGTGTGTTTTGTAACGTATTGCTGTTGGTGACACTCCCATACATGTAGAAAAGGACCAATAGTTGGTCTCATTTAAAACGAAATGTGTTAACAAAAATACAGGGCTTTAAACGCAACCTCAAATAAGACCAACAAACTTGTGACTGTTATTTCTATCCCTCGGTGGCTGCTGTGGTTTTTAAAGTTACATTTTGTATTCCCCAGTAGGATGAAAGTAACCCAGTACAAAAAAAAGTTGCTTTGATCAGAGGAAAGCGTTCACTCCATAGAATTTCTCGGAAGTCCTTACGCCGTTTTAGAACCGATTTTTTAAAAAATCTGCCACCACAGATTTAAATGTATGCACATGCACAAAGAACACTGTTGTATCATTTAGATTTACAGTGCTGCAAAGCATAGTCGACCCAACAAAACACAGCTATTAGTTGCAGCTTAATATCGCTCCAGTTTTACGTATTCCCATATCCCCACTAGCGCACAACTCCATCTGGGCAAGCGGCCACGTTGTTCTAACCCCCTTCCACTCCGCACCGGTCGACAACCGCCCACCACCCCACCCCCGCCGCTGCCACGCACTTTTCCCGAGAGCGTGACACTGAGCAGGCCCCGCGGCAGCTGTGACGCACGCAGGGAGGGAGGGCGGGGGAGTGAAGGGGAGCAAGGGCCCCACTCCACCTAACGCAGCAGCCTCCACACAAAGATCTCATTGTGTGCAGCACTGCCGAGAACGCTTCCGGACGGCGAGAAGCGAATGACGTGCGGCTCGTCGCTGTGCGTGCCCGCGTCCCGCAGCGTCCCTCCCTCCGGCGCCGTCAGCATCAGGGCCCTCTCTGCACGTGGCACAAATAAAAGGGGGGGGGGGGGGGTACACATTTATCAATACATTTGATAAGCACTGCCGTGTCCGGAAAGCATAAATCTCAAAGCTGGATGACGAAGATCCTTGAAGGCGTGCCCAGGAAGGCGGCTTCCGACACGAGCCAATCTGCAGTCATCAGCTTTGTTGGAGAAGGGATAATTTCCACGTTTCAGATGCCTCGGAGTGACATGTTACGTAATTAATACCACGCTTGGTAAACGTTTGAAAATGACAAAACAAGGCGTTTGTTCTCCACACACCAACATAGCCATCTGTGTGCATTCGCCAAGGTTGCTGTGTGTCAAGATCCCGCATTTAACAAAGTTATTATACCGTCCTTTTGGTGGTTTGTGGTCAATCAAATAAAATATATAAACAGACAATGGTTTGTTTTACATCCAAAAACTAAAATAAACTTCATACAACAGCCAATGGGACCTCTGGACACATGTAGCAGTAATTATTTCCTTCGCCAATTGCAATGAGCGACGCGTGACCTCTGTGACTCTGCGGTCTCCGCCGGCCACGATTAACCACGCCGAACGGTTCGAGAGCGGCCGTGCCGGTCCCACCTGTGGAGCCGATAGCCAGGTGGTCCCCACTGGGAGCCAGGCTGAGGCAAGTTGTGTGGCCCAGCACAGGGATCCGGCGTGTGACCTGCGTGAAGAAAACCACGAGAATTGCCATGAGCACACAAGCAATGACAAAAAATTAAAGATGCCATACCGCCTTTAACACACTATTGGTGCACGTGCTGTTAGCAAACGCCTATTAAGGCCGACACAGCACACGAAAGGGTGGCCAGCACCATGCACTGCTGAGTCGACCTCAGGAAGGCCCAGGACTGGTTCAAATATTCACCAGTGCATTGGTTATGAGCGGGAAATGAACTCGAATCACTGAGTTTACAGCACAGTGAGCTAACCAATGCACTACACCTTCCCATACAAACAAAAATACAGAAAAAGACCCCGTGTAGCCTTAACAGACTGTTGGGGCAAGTGCTGTTTTCTCGCACCTATGAAGGCCGGCACGGCACACGAGGGGGTGGGTGGCCAGCAACATGTCCGACCGCCTTTGTCCCCCATGTGGCGATGTTTACACACCGCACAAGGTACTCATTTGAGGGTGAGTCGACCTAGGGGAGGCCCAAAACCGGTTCTGATAATCGTCGTGAGCGGGAATCGAACTCGGGTCGACGGGCTCGAAGTGTAGCGAACTAACCGCACCACTACCGCTCCCCGCTTTGTCCCCATACACTCACACACACATGCGCACACAAACACAGACACACCGTGAGAATGGGCATCGGCACACACGCGCACGCACAGACACCATGAGCTGGTTTAACACCGGGCGTCCCCGGGGAGTGTGGGGCTTGACTCGGGGTGTGGGGGTGTCACATGAGATGGTATCGTGGTGACATCCTTCCGACGCAAAAAAAAACACACATGCACGATTGGGTTGGTTTCTTTTGCAGATTTGGATAAGTGAATACAATTTCCTTTATTTATAACTGCCGAGAGTTAAGGAGGGTTGGGTGTTGGAATCACGGAAGTCCAGATCAATAATTATTCAAGGAAATGGGGGCTTGGGCATGGAAAGTTTGAAAAATGCTGTCCCAGCTCACATTTTCAACCAGTAGGCTTGCCTGGACTGTAAATGGGAAATATAATTTTAAACTTTTTATGCAATAACATCTCTCACTTAAAACTCATAAACAATTGGGAAAAATAAACACAATTAAAGACCGGCACTGGCTCAAGTCACTGAATGTAGCGATAACAGTAAGCTTTGTTTAAAATTCACGCAGGAACATATCTAAACCACTTCCATCTGTCCTGTACACAAACGATTGTTCCAGAGGAAGCAATGCTTGTGAAACGTTCGAATTTGAATGCGTTCGCACCGGCAAACACATGCCAAATGTAACCAAAAACAAATATCACTCGCAGGGGTCTGGATGTTATTAAAAATCAGCACGCGAGTAAATCAAGGCCACACTGAAAAGTTTTGGATGAGAATAAAAGCCCATCTGCAGAAACTTTAGCCGCAATGCGTTCCACCCTAGCTTGAGAACTACACCCCACGCCCCGCCCCCCCCCCCCCCCCCCTTCAAGAAACAATAGCAATCTACCCTCGCAGCCCAGCCGGCAGCTGGACCCAGGGGCGGACGCAGCGCCGGCAAGCTGCCCGGTTGGACTCGTGGCGTCAACTCGGGGTGGATGAGAGTACAACCTTGGATTGACTCCACCAAGACGGGGGGACCTCCCCTCCCAGCGGACAAAATCCGGGTGGTGTCACCGCTGGACGAAGCACCCCCCGGAGGCCATTGCGCGGCGTGCGGCACGCAAGCGCATTTCCCACGCAGCAGCGGCAGTGCTCGGTGATTTACCGTCCATAATCAGGCTCTGCCGTTGTTCGCTCTGACCATGTGGTTGTGATTTTGGCGCCCGGCCCCGCCGGTGCACCCTGGGGTTCAGAGGGGGTCCGCCTACACGGCGCGCAAGAGTCCGACAACAGGGATCGTCGTCGTCGTCGTCGCCGCCGCCGCTCTCACAAGCGTACACGGAGGGCCGCTGTTGGGAAAACATCCCGACGCCGCTTCACGGCATCAACCCCACCCGCCCGCCCGCCCGCCCGCCCACCCGCCCGGCCGACCGGCACATGATTCCCATTATTAAAGAAACGTGTGCGAATATAAAATTTGGTTTGGCATTAATGCTCTCCATTGTGCATTCAATTTGTATGGGTTTAAAAGCTATCGTTGCAGAGGTTTGAAAATGCACAGAGCCTGCTACTCTGCCGGGGAAAGTGGTGACTAATATTCCACGCTTCAACGTGTGTAACGACAGGCATTGTACAAATTTTCCCTGCGCACTTGCTGCTATTCTCAAAATTGTGACATTGCAATCATGTGTTACTGTGTGTGTGTGACGGCAATCATCTTTTGACGTCTCTTGAGAAAAATATTCCCAATAATTTCAAAAACTACGTGTGTGACGTATTATTCACTGCGACACCTTTATCACAGGGTAAAGACTACACCATTCTTTATTATGCTGGTGAATATCGGTCGTGGTGACCAATCACTTGAGCAAAGAGCATCGCATGAAGAGTGGAACTATAGAGAGATAAAATTTGCATATGATCGTGACTGCGTGACTGATGTAAATTCTAAACATGTTCCTGAATGGTTAGGAAGCTGAAATTTGGCACAAATATTGTTGAGCCTGTGATAAAAATATATAAATCCAAAACGCATGAAAAGAAAATGCAGACCTCCAAAGATTATGGCCTGAAGATTGATTGCATTTACTTACCGGGCAGGCTCAGCTGACATTCGCAACTGCTTTAAGGCAGCGCTAATCACTTTAAAATATGATCCCCAATGTCACCAACAAAACCAAGCGATTCGCCTTCTGTCGAGCGTGACGCCGAAGCTGACCCGAAGGTGGGCACTGCCCCCAGCATCGTCACGAGCGCACGCTATACATTGTTGAGGCTTTCCCGAGAAACTCTTTGACCTGTCACCCACTGACCTGGCGTAGGGTCAGGCTGTAAAAGACGACGTCCGTCTCCAAGTCGAATCCCGTGTGCACCACAGTGGTCGGCTCGCTCGGACAAATGAGCACGCTGCACCGCGGGAGTCTCCCGCTCGGCTTCTCTTCCTGGTATCGAAAATCAAAACGCGCTTTTGTTTTTTGTCTCGTTAAAACCGATGTCGAGCTCACAAAACCCGGGGTTGTTTTTTTTACGTGACCCAATGCACGTGTGTCGGCAGGCTCGGAGTGTTTCCTCGCAGCCCGTTCTGCATCGCAAGGAAGCGGCTGTTAAATTTTCACAAAAGTGCAAGCAACGGAAAAAAATGAATAAATCGTTCAATTAACGTTAATGGGGTCAACTGACCCAGGTTCTCTGAACCTTCGGCAGTGACTCATGCGCTGCACATTGTGTGAGTGGAACAATACAATGAACCCCCTTGACTAGCCGGTATTATCTTTACCGCGTGCAATTTGTAAATGCTTTTCATTTTGGACATGCATTACGAAGCTGCGATGGCCTAGAGGAAACACAAGTGGTTTGTTTAGTGTATTAAATTGCCAAAGGTCCCCACCCTCCTCCCACTGCTAACAAACATGTTTTCTCGTACGCCATTTGGCGTCATCTGGTCGAGCACCAATTGGGTCGAGGCTCAAAAGAAAGCCGTCCCTTGGTGTGGACCAATCAGTTTCAAAGACAATACATATATTATCAACGTATGTTTTTTGTTTGCATTTTGACTGCAGGTATTGTGGTTAATGCAGACATGAATCCTTGCAAAAAAGGTTTCAGTTTTGTTGCCAGAAAAAAAAGGGGAAAACCCCTATTATTAGATTTTCTTGTCTGAGGCAGACAATAAGAGCGGTGAGTGCTTGAGAAAAAAATAATCAATCAATTTGCCTTTGAATCCTACGCACAGCAATTCAATGCGAGAAGTGAAGTGGCGTGCTGTTGGCGGCGGGATTGTGCACACGGCCGGTTTAAAAGCTGTGCCCCTGCCTGTACCTTCCATATGTGAAGCCTCCTCCTCGGTTCTCCAAACACAACGTGCAATTCAACGCTGGCAACACTCCAAAACGAGCTATGTTTAAATAAACAAACCCACCAGCCAGTGAACCTCCTTAGCATGCACACACAAAACTAAAGCCAGATTGGGTTTTGACATTTTTATCCTTCTTTATGCCAACTAGACTCATAAGCAAAAACACAAGGGACATGCAATGCATTGTGGGACACCAAGAACAGTGGTCACGCGAATCCCTCAACGCCTACGTTCCAAACGCAAACGATCAAAGACGTGACCTTCACGACAGCGTGGCACGTGTCGAGTTCCATTTGCGTCTGTGAACATCTTAAGGGGGCTCACCTGCTGCTCACATGGACTCTGGAAGGTGAGCCAGTCCACCAGATTGCACTCGTCTTTAGGCCAATCGGCTTTCCAGATACTGATGCGCCGATCCAGACTGGCGGCCAACCACAGGTCGCGACCTTCAGGGCTGCCCTGCTGACATCGGCAACGTTAATGACTACACCGTACATTTGTCGAAGCACTCATTGCATTTGTTATACAATCCTTTTCTGTTCGGAGGATGCGCATGTGTTGGTTAATTTCGTATGAGTGAGAACGCAAGCAGTGGCGGTAGTCAATTATAGCACGGTGAGAGATCATCGAGACCAAAAGCCTCTTTTTAAAGAGAGACCTGGGTCGAACATAAACAAGCAAGCAATATAATTCAGAATATTGGATTCTATAACGCATTCCCAACTGTTTAATTAGCAATAACACCATGTTCCAAGCCACACACCGAGATGGCGACACACAGCGCATGAGGTGCGATGTTGCGAGTTCCACGTAATGCCACTGGGATAGGGAGCCGGGTTTCAGCGCTGATACTTATCGCCAATTTTTGGTAAAACCTGCTGACCAATTTGGCCAGTTTTTCTTGGGTAAATGCCTAATGGCAACACAACTTTATGCTAACATTTATTTTTTTATTGGATGATCTGTACTACAGTTATTGTGAAGTCTCCATTAGAGACAAAAGCAAGACAGACGTGCAGAGCTAATGCATAAATGCTTTCGACTTTAGTTTGAAAGTGTTAAAAGAAAAATACAAAGTCCAAAACGAAGGCTAATAATACAATAGTTGAAGAATAAAGCCTACTTTAAAAGTTATTAATAACAGATTCATTATTGGTAGTTAAACACAAGAAAACGATGATGATAATTTAGTTGAATAAAAAAAACGATTAATTTGAATTACATAACAAAAATGCATTCACACCCTCCGAACAAAGAATCTGGAAGTTCGGTGAAGACCAACTCTTCCAGAATAGTTTCTAAATATAGTGCAGACAGGATAATGTTCCATGTGCGGAAGGCATCAAACACAACAGAGGATTTGCCATCTTCAGTTCTGCAACTTTAGGGACAGAGACAAAGAACTGCGTAGCAACATCTATATGGCATATATAATGGTACAGGTTTAATGGGTTAGATCCTGTAAATATGTGTGCGATCTAACCCAAAAAACCTGAGCAACAGCGTAAAAATTTATGCGATTTCACCCAAAAAAAAGACTGTATTATGGATATTGGTCGCGAAAGCCTACTTGTTAATACGGCATATATCAGTCAATATTTTCATAATTTAATTATGCTATCTTCATTCACCTGCCAAAGCAGTGAAGTATGGCCAAATAACTCCCACGGAGAAGGCAGGCCTTCCTCCAGCTTGTGCACTGACAAAAATGTGATGTGCATGTACACACTCGGCAACATGGAGCTCATTCGTAAGGAGACCCTGCGCCCTCCACAGGTTGGGCTTAGAGATGACACGTAACTTTGCACAAATAAATCACGACTGCCAAACAGCAGCAAACCAAGTGATATGCAAATTTACATATCACTCAACAGCCGTGAGCAAGCAGGTGAGACGCCCGGGGGATTCCATCCGGAGCAATAGACACAGAGGCACCTTCAAGGCCCCTTCCTGATAAGTTTCTCTCCGACGGCACGCAACACGTACGTGTGCGGGCGCGCACTGCAGGCTGCAGATCGGCGAGGAGCTGTGCTGACTCAGCATGCGAAACGTGAGGCCCGTGCTCACGCTGTTGAGAGCGACGCGGCCGTCTGCCCCACCGGTCAGCATCACCTCGCCTGTCAAGGAAAACATTATTCAAAGAGCACCGCCAACATAAACGGTTAAACAATGCGATTTTAGTCATTCGGATGAGAGCGAATGTACACAAAATGCCATTAATCAAGGAAGGCCTCACTGCATCTGAACGTAATTTTTTTCAGAAGGGTCTTGCATTTGAATGCTTGATAATTGCATTTGATGAGTGTTCTGTACGTTCCAAGAAACTGTAGCATTCAGAGAAAGCACACGCAAAATGAGGGTACAACTCTGCTGTAATGTCACATCCCAGCCACCTTACAGGCTCATCGGTTTGGAAGTTCACAAATGTGATCCAGCAACACACCGCTTGCCTCCAAAGAGAGGGATTAAGAGGCATGAGCCACTGTACTGTATCATGAAAATCATGTTTTTGATATAGCGCTCTCCACACAGGGGCACATGGTAAGGGACTTACACCGCACTGCATCTCAAAGGGCACCCCCAGTGGCAGCCGTCCCTCTGCAGCACATGGTGACTCAGCACCTGGCCTGAAAGTGCGCATTAGCCTGCCGGTTAAGGCCAAAGATTGCAACAGGAAAGCCTATTTGAGTATTTTGCTGACCAAATGGGGATTATTTAGGCAAGCGTCCAACAATTGCACCAGTGAATTGCGCCACGGCGCTCAGCTCAAAACACAATCAACGCGAGGCTCCCTCACCGTCGGAAGAGAACGCAACGCAGCGGATGGCGGCGCCGTGCGGCTGCAGTTTGTGCAGTGTCCGTGCGGACGCCACGCCGAATAGACGAAGTGTCCCGTCACCGAACCCGGCCGCCACCTGCGAAGGAGCCGCGCCGCTGGGGCGCCACGCCACGCACGTGCAGCTCTAGACAGTGAGACATCGCGCAGTGTCAGCGACTTCTAAGCACAAGCGGGTATTGACATTTTGGGTCATGGCCTTTCTTCATGTGCTATGAAGATAAGCAATTGCCCCGTAACGTTGCCTGTATTTGTGTATGTATGTTCAACTTTTTTTACATTGCACAGAGCCAACCGTGCTAATCCTAGGTGTGGGGGAAGGACAACTAGACACAAAAAGGTAGTGTCATTGACGAATGTGTTGAGTTCTTTTGTTATTTGTGCAACCGCATCACCCAACAATATGTCTGTCCTATTGAGTGTATTTACGGACAATGCATTTTTTTAAAGTTGAATAAACTGAAATAGAAAATGACCCAGGGCCACGGTGAGCGGTGCGCCCGAGACGTGGTCACGCACCCGGTGCAGAACCTGGAACTGCACGACCAGCTCCATCTCGGGCACGGACCACACCCTCAGCAGCCCGTCCTCCGAGCCGCTGACCAGCTGGCTCCCATCAGGGCTGAAGGCGATGTCGTTCACCTGGGGCAACATCACAGTTGCAATGTGAGGTCGCGTGAATCCACACCGGGGACTTTGACACTCCCCAGTAAAATATTTCAAATTCATTGATATCGATATTACAGTTTTGTCTTCAGTAGGGCTTTAACACGCAGTTGAAAGTATTTGTCATCGTCAGTCATGATCTATCCACCGCTGGACAAAGGCCTCCTCAAGCCATCATCGTCTCTCAGGGTAGTGGAGGGGAGTTAATCAGCAACGTGTATACCTTCATGTCCAGGTGGGTGAGTGAGCCAGTGGATGGCTTCAGGAGTAACCTCATGGTGAATATCTGAAATGCTGACATCGAGTGAGCGAAGCGGGCAAGTGGCGTTACCACGCGGTTCATGGTTTGAAATTGGTGATGGCAGTTGCGCTGTGGCCTATTGTCCTCTGGTGCAGGAGATTGCCGCATCTGCCTCATGCGGTCAAATCTATCGGACACCCGTGCTTTCTCGGCGTTCTGCTCACGAGCTCCGAGCCCCCGCCGCGACCGCCACCGCCAGGCACCTGCCTTGCCGCGATGGCCGCTGACGAGCCGCACGCAGGCGCGCTCCGTCCAGTTGATGTACCACAGCGTGCCGGCGGCCGTGCCCACAATCCCCATCTCCATGACGTCATCGAAGGCGGCGCTCACCACGGCGCCATCCAGCACCATCTCCCCCTCCATGGACACGAACTCGCTGGCGGTGATGCAGCAGAGAAGGAGGCAGCGACGGTGAGGGTGGAGCCACTACCATTGTGGATCAATCACTCCCAGCACTCGCAGTTTTACCCTTTAAACAAATCCCATGTGTATTTAGTGAACCAGAAACAACTGCGTAAGAGAAATGTATAACACAAACAGACCAGCATAATGAATGTCTAAATATCTAAATAGATATTAAAAAGTGAAGTCAAAATGGCTTCATGTTCAAACAAGCATATGGCAGTATTCATCTCCTGTACACAGCTCTGAGCCACTCATGGAAATAACACTCACATGGCATGGCATTGCGAGCTGGATGCATGGACTAAAGTGACACTCAACTGCATATACAGTGTATAAACTATACAAACACTGAACAAATACAATCCCATAAGGAGGGCATTAACAGAGCTCAATCAACTCATTGATTTAGCCGAGCGTGTGTAGCGCACACCTGTAATCCAGCACTGTGACAAGGGTTGGTGGATCACACAAACTCCCTTCACGTGGGCGTCGAGGTGCCAGACCCTGGCTTGCCAGAAGGCAATGTACGGACTAATATCATCTGTTCCTTCTGCAAGGGAAAGTGTTGCCCCCTCACATGCGTGGATGTTCTCCGGGTTCTCCGGTTTTCTCCGACATGTATTAACACTCACTGAGAAAGATCTTAATATGTAGAGGACTGCAATGGATCACCATCTGGCTGCCTTCCAACTTGTCTATGGCCCATCAGCTATTGTGGGACACAATTTGCATGAACGACACTATGTAAAAATAAACGTTATTTGTATCATTATTATTTACACGAAGATGCAGTGCCTTGTCCAGTTTTAACGATGGGTCCAGTTCTGCATGAGGATGTGAGAGATGGTGCCAGCCACGAGCCCGAACACAAGCTGGAATGTGCGGACGAGGCGACGGTGAGTCCCGTACCTCTCTCTCACGCCGCCCTCCATCGTGGCGCTCACACTCTCCACGCACCACAGACGGATCCTCTTGCTGCTGCTACCACTCAGCAGCCGGTTTCCATGGCAGCAGAGCACACCTAGGTGCAATTATCAACGTGTCAGTGGTTGGGTTGTGCTCTCTTTCACAGCTTCCATTTCTGTGTTGCTAGTACAATCAACAAAATTGTGTGCCGACAAATATATTGAGTTTTTGTTATTCGTCATATCAGAGTTAATTTTCATGCCCAAGAGGCTCATTTGGAAACAGACAGAAGAGAAAAGTCTGATCAACATGTACGCGTTACTTAAACCCCATTGGCGAAGTTTAACGTCATGCCGCTGTTGAATTTGCGAAATGCAAAAAAAGGCCTAAATGAAACACAGGACCACTGTGCGGCCCGGCACGCCGTACCGATGTCTGCCGTGTCTGCGTCCCACGAGAGGAGACAGCGCCGGCGGTCTGCGTCCCACGCTGCCACGCGGCCACACGCGGACGCCGTGAAGAGCAGCGAGTCGGGCCCCATGACAGCCGCGCTCAGCTCGCTCGCCCCGGCACCGTTGGGCAGAGGGGCGGCACTCAGCTGATCGGACCGGGGAGAAAAGTTACATCATCAGAGATGTACTGCAAGACATCATGTAACTATCAAGACCGCCACTGGATGCTCATATCAGATCCAGTTGACGTGAGGAGGCCCCTGATTCTGGATTGAATATGGATTGGAACTCAGGTGGTGGAGAAATGCATAGAGTGCCAGCCACCCAATTATATACCTTCATCCACTGTACATAAGTAAAACATCACAGTGGAATTAAATTACAAAACAGCGCAAAGACACGTTGAGTCTCCGTGAATTCGCATTTGCAAACATCGGGTGTGCCCCGTCGAGTGTCAACGGAGGGAAACGCCATTCACCTGCAGAACCGCCGTCTCTCCGAGATTCTGTGCTCGGCAGAAAGCAATAGCGCCACTGCCCACGCACAAGAACGCTCCGGCGGCCGAGGGGTCGGGGCACACGTCGTTAATTGGGAACACGGAGCGTGTCGCGGCAATGACGGCGTACGTTCTGGTGTCCCACAGCACCACCATCATCTCCCTGTAGTCCCCTGGAATGAGATCGATGGCTTTCAATCGCTGCTGGCGGCAGCAGCGGCAAATTGGGCAACAGCACCTCACCAAGGCCACAGAAATATGACTCGCCGAATGGACTGGTCCCTACTCTTTGGTTCTTTTGGTAAAGTCACGTAGGTAAAAAATAAATAAAATTAAATAAAAAAAAAATGAAAACTAAATTCATTTTTAATTTAATTTATTTTTTACCTACGTGACTTTACCGAAAGAACCAAAGAGTATGGATCCTTGCAGTCACGAAAACTTCAAATCTAGAATGGACTGGTCCCGCCCAGCTTGTGCACATTGAAATGTAAACAAAGAAGAGAGCAGCATTGGAGACTGACCCACGGACAGGAGGACGCTGTTGTCGGCTGAGAAGGCCATGGCCTGCACCTCGTGCCTGTGACGAGACAACACCCGCTCGCAGGACCCCCGGCGGGCGTCCCACACGCAAATCTGGCTGCCGGTGTCGCCGCGCCCTCCCGAGGCTGATGCAAGAACCTGGAAAACAATGTTCTTGTTATTTTAATCCATAATTGTTTTTTTGTCATTCACGATTCTGACTTTCTGGATTGTTATTCTGACTTCCTGGATCTTATCCTGAAGCCGTTTGCTGAAGGTTAAACAAAATGCCGCATCTCATTACTAAATTTTTGAATAGTTCTACAACTTACCGGTGAGCTGCAGAAATAGTAATTGGTGCGTTAAACGCTTGTACCCAAGATTATTATTTTGTTGTTCTGTGTCAGGTGGTGGAGGGTCTTAACGACAAACATTTGGTCAGATCATTACATGGCTGAACCCAAAAACCTATTATGAATCGAAATATTGGCTACAAAAGTTTTATTGTAATTTTTTACAGGATGCATAAGAATATTTTGTTGTGATTCACACGTGTTTGAGTCGCAAGGCTTGGCATCGCCAAACATACTTAAAGAGCGACCCAAGGCACCATATCGAGTGGCAGGGTGGCTCAGTGATAACAGTCGCGCTTCACAGCAAGAAGGGCCTGGGCTCGATTCCCGACTCAGTGGCATTTCTGTCTGGGGTTTCTATGTTCCCCCCATATTCTGCATGGTTACCTCTGAGTTCTCCGGTTTCCTACCATAGCTAAAAAAAACATACACTGTAACTGGAATTGGCCAAATATCCCAATGCTGGCAGGAGACTCAGTGAGGCTTTCCTGGGTAAACAAGTGTAAATAAATAACAGAGCCACCACCCCAAGGGTGGTTCCTCGTTCGCGAGAGACAAACCTCTGCGTCGTGGGATGAGGCGAGCGTGGAGATCTCCTCGGTGTGGGCCTGTAGGTGTCTCTGCGCACCCGTGTGCAGGTCCTCCAGCACCAGCAAGCTACCGCACGTGTACGCAAACAATCCTACAGGCAGCAGCAAAAGATCTGTTGATTGCACTGGGGCACGGCGAGCACTCGGCAGGTTTGATGCCCAAAATGATGGGGGCATTGCGAACAAAACAAATGCATAATAACAATAAGGAATCTGTATATAAGCAGGCGACGGTGTCAATGAAATGTACCAGCGACCTGGGTACATTAGGGATACAATATAGAAAGGGAAAACTGTTCTACAAAACAAATACTGTCCAAATTGTGTACGAGGATAAAGTATGAAAACTGCAACTAATAATTATAATTAAGCCACGCCGAGTGTTGAAACTCTTCTTCAGGAGACTCTTGTTTTGGGATGTAGAGCCAATTCTATTATCAAGAATGTTCGCACGCGGGAGGAAACTGGAGGGCACAGAGGAGACCCACACATGCTCAAAGTCTTGGAGTTTCACAACTCCGTGATCCACAAAGCTTCGGCTCCTAAGTGCTGGATTACCAGCGTGCCTCTGAAAGAGGCCAAACAGCTTTATGTTAAACGAATATATTAAATAAAACAAAAACAGCAAGTGAAAAAAACCAAAAGGATACAACCAACATGCATCAGTACCTGAATCTGGATTCCAGATCACATTTCCCCGAGCGTTGCCATTGAATCCCACGACCATGGACAATCGCAGCAACGCCCCGCCTGTCGCTCCACGCCTCCGCTGTAAAGACACAAAACGACACGCACCATGAGCCTTCACGATAATGTAAAGAAAGCCTTGTTCTATATTTGTGAAAGATTTGGTCTGTACTCACAGCATGTTATACACCCAGTACCTTAGAAGGAGCCGATGTTTTCAAGTGAGGAACAAAGTGCCTGTAGGACTTTGGTTGGGCACAGGGGACAGCCATATGTTCATCTACATCAGTGACTCCTGCAAAGCAGTTAAAATTTCACCAACAATCATTGCATTACAAGGTGAAGATGACTCAACTTTTTGGTAAATTCATACACTCTGAAAGAGACAATCCTGCACTCTTGTGCAGTGACTTGGTGTCCCAACACGACCGATGAACACAAACTTTAAAAGGACCCAGAGTGTGCTGTTTAATGGCCCTCTGTGTGAAGACTTACTCTCCATGATGTTCACTTCTTGGTCATCGCATTTCTCCCTGGCCTGCAGGAGGGAGGAGATATCCCTGCGGCTTGGGATGTTATCTTCAATAACCACAGCGCGGTCGGAACGGCCGCCCAGGCCGGTTCCCTCCCTCACTCTGCCGGGACTGTCCCCTGGGTAGGAAGATATAATCGCCAAGCTGTCATTCAAAATCTGCCCGCGTCTACGATAACATCAGCGCTTTTCAGATCACCCGATGCTTATCGGCACGCGGCATAAGACTGCTGACGTGCACTGTCAGGCATGTCCAACCAACCCTTGCCAAAGCCTTTCGTGAACACTGTGGAAATTACAAAACATCCCAAATCAGGACCATCGTGAAAAAGCCTTGAGACTCAATGAGGTTTTATTAGTTCAAGGGCATTATTATGATCACCAATAAAATGTTAACCCTCCACACTGATGCAATTCTGTAATACGATTAACTGATACAATAAATGGTGGAAAAACGTATCTTATTGTTACTAAGTTGTCATCGTCATACCAGTGTGAGCCAAGGGGCTGATGCCAGTCATGTCCAAGCGATGGGGCGAGGAGGGAATGGCCATGTGGGGCTGGGAGTCTCCGCCGCGCGCTCCGCTCTCCCCCATTGCGAATCCCACGCGATCCCCTGCAATGACAAACACTTAGCACGGTCCAGGCTACACAGCACACCCCAGGGTGCCACCAGAGTAGGCGCTGCAAGTCATTCTCCCAAAAACCTCTGAGCTGTATTTACAACTGGTAAGTAAAAATGCAATGCAGAATGCCAGTGTCATTTTTTAAAATGTTTTCCCCCCCCATAATAATATTTCAAGTGTTTTTGGCATCATCTTATCAGAGAATTATCTTTCAATGAGGAACTCTTGCGAATAGTGCAACCACAGAATTGCTGCTTTGGTCTCTTTGTCTTGCTTCTTATCCGTACTAGATTTGGCACGAAGTGAGATGTTGCATGACTAATATTCTAAATTATGCAAACACACTAAAGACAAATATAAAATTTGTACCAGCTGAGACCATAAACTCTCTATCTACACGTGACAATTTGGTTTAATCACAGATGCCTGAAACTGGGATTCAAACTCAGAATCTCCCAAAAGTGCTGGCCAAAATCTCAGACCAGCTATGACAGTGTATTAACCCCCTGAGACACTTGGCTACATCCTGTGTCTTTAGCTTTTTGACTGCAAGATTTGAAACACTGAGATAAGTATCATGCATTTCTCTTGACCATCGGGGATGAAACATGACTCACCGGGAGACCACATCGGCAACGGATGGTCAGTCCTTCCACTGAAATAGCAGAAAAAGTTTCTTAATGGAGACATAAAGCGACACGAATGTACACGCATGATCCAAGCAGGCATAATCCTCACCAACTTGAAATTAAATATGTACAGGAAAAAATCAAAGCCATAACTTCTACACTGCATCAATTTCTTCCAATCAAATATTTTTTCTTATTCTACAGAGGCTAGGTACAATGCGAACTGAAGTTTACATAATTCTTGTGTCGTATGTAGCGATGGTGAGATCTAGAAGACGTCCCATCCGACGCTATTCCTGGTGAGTACACAGCTACTGAGAACTGTGGACGGTGGTTTAAGTGGGTCAGTCAAGGGTGGAGGGGTATTTTGACAATACTTCATCACATTAGTCAGTGCGGGTTGGAGAAAAAAATGAATTTTGTCTCGCCTCTCGTGAAGTACCTGACTGGTATGGGTGTCCCTCTACAGGATAGCTACTCAGGTCTGCGGTCTACAAGGCTCGCAAGCTTCTTCACCACATCAAGGCAGTGCCCCAGATGTTCACATTAGTGCGTATTATTTGTTAACGTAGGGAAATAAGTTACTGATAACAATGCTGATGATGATAACGATGGCTACGCAAATTTGGAAAACCTCTCCTGAAAATCAACATCTGCGAGGGGGTGCCGACTGACCCTGTCTTCGCAGTGCTCTCCGACTCGTAGCCCGCCAAGTCCCACATGAAGATGGTGCCGCCCCCACTGACGAGGCCCGGGCAACGGCCTGTGAAGCGCAGCCGGCGGACCTCCTGCGAGTGCCCGACAAACGCCTGGGAGGGCAGAACGGCACCGGTGCGTCACAAGCGGCCACTCGCGCTCACGACTGTGAGCGCCGAGAGCCCGCCGCTCGGTGCAACGGGAACGATCGCGCGTCGTTGTGCCGGGCGCGGCTCACCTGGACTTCGAGGCCGCTCCCGGGGTCCCAGGCCCGGAGTGTCGCATCACTCGCCATGGCCACAATGGCGCCGTCCTCACTCACCTGCAAGGCAGAGCAGCCTGCACCCTGCACGTCTCTCACCTGCCACAAGGACAAACACGCCGACACACACACCGATAAGACAATTCCGCTGAAAATCTAATGCCACGTACATTTACGTACTCTTGCTCGAATATGAGTCTGTCGTTAATATACGTATCATGATTAGGAAATAGGAACGACTCCAGCATCGTACTGCGGACGTGAATGCACACAAATGTACACAGCGCGTGCCTCTTTGAGCAGTCGTCCAGTGCGTGCGTCAAACCACAGCACTTTGCCAGAGGCGGTCGCCACCAGCAGCTGCCCCGCTGGGCCAAAGCACACGCGCTCCGCCTGGTCCAGGGTGGGGCTGGACGCGTCCACGATGCTCACGTCCACGCGCAGAAGCTGAGGAGGCATCGCACATTAGTCGCATTTTACGACAAAGGGGAGCGGGGGCGGGGGGGGTGTCCAGCATTCAAGAGACAAAACACTCGTCCTGCGGGTGAACAATTGCACCGTCGGCAACTGGGGGTCGGCGCCGGGCGCGCGTACCTCGCATAGCGAGCGAGCGTCGGCCACGGTGACGGCGAACTCGGAGGGCCCCACAAAGGCGAGGTGGGCGCCGTCGCCGCTCACGGCCAGGGCGCTGGGGGCGTAGCTCGTGCCCCGCGCCACCACACCGCCTGTACTCCGCACCGGCGACAGGAAGATACCACACTGTGCCGTTCGTCATGGGAGGTGTGGTCGGCTTGCAGCTGGGATGGGCGGGAGGCTCAGCATCAATGGCTTCATTTGCGAGTCGGTGATGATGCAGAATTAAAGAGAATAAGTTATCTACATGGCCTATTAGCATCTGGAGGATAAACGTGATAGTAATGGCCGTGGGTGCTGCCAAGCTGAACTAAATTATTACCTTCAGGAAAATGGAACAAGCCAGGCAGACCAAACGAGACAAAAAAATAATTGAAGCTTGAATTGTATTGTGATGCCGATTGCTGAGAATTATTCTAATCGTCGGTGGTGGTGGAGGTTGCACTGTTACAACTGCTGAAAATAAGGCGAGCTTAGGTCCATTCCAGGCAGTGGACGCACTGAGCAGCCTGACGAGAGTGTGCTCCTTGCAGATGGCGCTGTAAAGCGCCAACGAGCCCCTGGCGTCGCAGCTGTACATGTGCTCCCCATTCGGAGAGAACTCCAGGCCCGTGATCTCTCCTCGGTGCTGCCTGGGCAGAGGGCAGAGACAAGGCATGACAGGTCCGGGTGTCGTGGACACCGATAAGCCGCGGCGTTCAGTCACAAAGTCCAGTTTGTTTTGTGCGGAAGGATCTGGCCGCTCGTACGATCGCCGAGTACCCACCTGTGCTGTGCCAGGAGGCGTGCACCGACGACGTCAAACACTCGCACGGAGCCGCTGCTGAATCCGCAGGCGAATCTCTCCAGCTGTGGGTGGCAGCTGACGGTGCAGGCGCTGTCCTCTGCACCGCTGAACTCGTACAGCTGCGATGACGTTCACGTGTCATCGTGTGCTGGAAAATTCTATCGACTTTACAATCGTGCTGCAGAGCTTTTCGCAGCTATGCTACGCAGTTCAGTCCCCGAAGAAGTTCCCAGCACATGGGAGAAAAATGTTGGACGTCATGCCGAACAATGAGCAGTAGAACCCATAAACACATCAGAGCGCTCAACTTTATAATCGGTCGCAATGTGTATGGACCTAATAATTAATAAAATTGTGCTTCTGCAAAGCACCTACACAAGTTATTATTGCAACAATGGTGGTGTAGGCCTCTCATACAGCACTTCTGAGGCAAAGATTGGTGGATAATAAATATCTCTAAAACTGCCAAACATGTTAAGCTGTGAGGTGGCCAAGATACACCTCTTCCAACATATCTGGCCGGCGTGGAAGAGTAAACCAAACTATGATGAGGAGGGCTCTCTATAGCTATATCTAGTGGAGGCCTTTCCAGTAATTGCCTCGATGGCAAGCTATTTCAAGGCTGCACCTTTATCTTCCTAAAAAACACAATTACATTAATATCACACGATATGTTACCTCGCCAAGTTTGAATTTGCGGGCTGATCAACTGACCGAGGGGATCGGAATCTGATTATTTATTTATACTGGAGGAATTTGATGAGCTATAAAGCTCCTTTTCACAGTTGTCCAGCAGGGGCAGAGAAGAACGTTACAAGAACAGTACAATAACGCAATAGGAGTGCAAAGTACAGGAAAGGCTAACAAATCACTCAAAAACATACAAATATAACTAAACCATCCCCATTCTATCAGGCAAAGCCAACTAGGTATGAACTTATTTTTCAGAAGCAACATGACCACAAATGATAGCTGAACAAAGTGGCTTATCATGAGGGAATTTATAGCAGCAAAATAATTTAAATAATCTCAACGCATATTACCTGCTGCCCAGTGCCGAGGTCCCAGATTGTTAGCGAGCCGTTGGTGGACACTGCTGCCACCCGCTGACGCTCGAGATCCAGGGAGAAGTCCAGCAATGGCCCTACCGGTGACCTGGTCACCGTAGCGTAGCTGCGGCCGCCAACATCCAGGCGGGCCAGGTGGCCCGTGCGTGTGCCAGCCAGCACGTGTCGTCCGTCCGCCGATACTCCCAGCAGTGACACGGCACCTCCCAGGTCTTTGGAGTGACACGGAGACGCCATGGTGGGCACAGAGCGGGTGATGCCAGGATGTTACAAGGGGCTAAAGAGAAATTAACAAGTTACATTTATTTATGTCTTTATCAGTGAGAGAGCTTTTAATGATGACCACTGTTCACATTATCCACTCTGCATTACCAATCTCCAACGCTCGCCATCCAATGCTCATTGTAGCACGTGGCCACTGTTTTGTTTATCACTGCAACAAAGTACACGTTATTTAAATCCTGTTGCACGTACAACTGCTTACACGACAATGTGCTAAATACAATGAAGTAACTCATTGACAGAAGGACACTTGCTTCTACTTATTAATTTCTGGTTATGTCTACGCACCAGTTTGCAGGAGGACGCGGGAGAAGTCTGGGGACCACACTCTCACCGTGCCGTCTTCAGAGCCGGTCACACAAAACCAGCGCGAGACGGCCAAGCGAGTCAGGGCCAGCTCAAAGCCTACGCAAGCAGAGGCCCATGAAATAAACAAATAAAAATGTGTTTTATTCGGAAGACTTGACAGTCAAGAGAGTGAAAGGTTTCACGTATGAACTCAATGTTCCACATGTGACACCTTCAATGCACTTTTGTTCTAAGCGAGAAGCCCCATCACTGCCCGGGGTCGATTGCTCGATTTTCTTTCCCCATTCCCTTCTATTCTGTTCCTCTTCTCTCCTGACATCTCCATCCACCTTATCTTTCCTTCTCACACTCGCCCTCATTAAGCCCTGTACTGACATCTCGACAGCCCTTCTTATTACACCTTTTCTGTACCTCCCCCGACAAGTGCCCAAACCATGCAAGGCTAGCCTCCCTCACCTTCTCTGTGCGCTTCACAGATAATTCGACATTCACCTTAAACAAACTGACAAACTGGCCGGTCTCACGTTACATCATTAAATTCCCTGAACGTGAAGCTATAATGAAGCCAATCCACCGAGCGCCCATCACCTTGGTCGGGCAGTCGCTCACGAGGAGAGCGGCTCGGAGGCTGGCGGAGGCGCGTGACTTCCCGCACGACGTTGTGCTTGTAGTCAATGTCCAGAATGTGGCCACTTCTGGTGCAGGCGAACCTGCGGGAAGAATCATGGTGCTGCTGCAGTGAATGCAGCTCAGCACATGCAGACCAAAGGTTCAGCATGTGCACTTACCGATTGCCGTGTGCCTCGTCTTGTCAAAGACTGCCAAACTAGGCGACTGAAGTCTTGACATTGAAACTAAAGAACTACAACGTGCTTACATAATTGTTACAATATGGAATACATTACTAACATATATTACACCTCTTTAAGTAAAATAAGACGTTGAGGAAACTTTTGTGTTGCGAATGCATTTTAAGTTTCAAATGCTCAGGCTTGTTTTGTAAAATGCAACCGTCTCAGCCTACATGTGACAGCAAGCTTATTATTAAACAATTCAAATGTTCAACACAAATCCTATGAAGAATCGACAGTAATTTTAACATTGATCCGTCGCCTTGTTGTTTCATGACCCCGAGTGATAGAGTAGGGGCTGCTGCGGCCATCCGGAGGTGACACAGGCATCGTGCGGCCCTGTGGAGAGGTGAGGCCGGTTTCTCACAGCCGCTTGTCGTCAAGTGCCGGGCTGCGCTCTTGGAAGGCGACATCGGTGACCTCTGTGGAGTGCAGGTCGCCCAGGTCAACAGCGCATGATCGCAGGGAGCCGTTCTGCAACCGCCACACACGGACGTTGTCGCGCCCGCACGACACGAGCCTGGGGACGCAACGCCAGCAGTGAGCACCCCTGCCAAGCCTGGGTCACTCAAATGTGAACTAAATTATGATATTTAGTTTACCAGGTAAGGCCCACTGAGCTATCTAGCTCTCTTTCAGAAGCAAGCTGGCCACAAATGACAGCTCAACAAAGTGGCTCATTATGCGGAAATGTATAAACGCACGTTTCTAAATTTACCTGTAGCAGTCCCAACAACTTTGAGACCTCAAACATTACCTTTAAGGAAATATACTAACTACACAGTTAACAAATTGCAGAAACGTACAAACACCGTGTGCCCTGGACTCTCGGACACAACTTTGTATCAACGACTGACACAGGCGCCTCGTCCCAGGGGAGCGGCGAGGACGGGAGCAACACCTAGATTCGTCGAACGGCGAGATGACCATCGTCTGCACGTCCACACCCGTGTGTGCCTTGGCGAGGATGAGGACATCTCTCCTGTGGGTCACCCCAGAGGTGTCCCACACCACCACCATCTCAACACCGCACACAACCACATGGCACTTGATTACTGTGTATACTAGGCAGCGTGACGCTGCTTCAATTAAATCATTAGAATCGCTTCTTAAGCTCAAGATCTATGCGTTGTACTCTTTATGTTAGAATGGGTGATTTCAGGTCGGCATATGTCGTATATAATTGGTTCACATTAACCTGGCAGCCAGTAGAGAGTCCATATGCATCACAATGCCAAATTACTGTAAAATTATTTAATAGAGTCACGGCCCTAATCATGACAATTCATAAAATAATGAGGGGGGGGTTAAATCAATAAATTCCTCATATATAAACATATCTCTGAATACATAATAACAAACATGACATTGACTATTATGAAACGTAAGTGGGCGGCTTGGGCAGGACACATTACGAGAAGAGGTGATGGCCGATGGACAACAACACTCGTAATTGTATGGCAGCTAAAGGAATGAACATGTCCAACAGGACCACCACCACCACAGAGATTGAGCGATGACATCAGCTCCCATGCAGGAGTGAGTTGGATTGTTAAAACACAAGGCCATGGGAGATGGTGAACGTGGAGAAAACTTAATCCAGCAGTGGATAGACCAAGGTGTATTCATACGTAAGCAGAATGTTTTCGGGTCATGGTGAGGCTTCGAGTAAGTTCATCATTAACTAGATATTGGTTATATAACTAAATATGACATTCTTTGTAGCAGTCATGTGACAGGTTTTTATTTTTTCATTTTGAACTTCATTGGGTTTTGGTTCACTGCAGTCGGTCATCCGGTGGTAGTGACAATATAAAACCTAAACATATTATAGTTATGATAATTCTAATAATGCAGAGCATGAACTCACAGTCTTCCCGTGACTGTCCCTGCCCACTCCGCTGAGGACATCGCCACTCCATGAAAAGCTGCACAAATTCACATGATTAGGGAACACACAAATATAACAATGTCATACATTATTCCCAAAGCTCCTCCTCGAGCGTACAGCATATGGCTGATGGACTAGGACACAAAAGAGGCAGCCTCGTGGACACTCAATAATCCTCAAAGTATTCTTAATCACGGCACAGCTCCTGGCTTGTCCCCTTAACACAGCTCAACTCGCGTATGAGCCACTCAATTGCTTCCAAAGTCTGGTGAGCTTCTTAGCTATGGCTCGTTTCATGTTCAGCTCATGGAAATCCTATCATGGCAGAGGCGGCTCAAGCTAAGCAAGATTTTGTGTCAGCTCACTTGAGCCAGTACCAAACCTGACGTTCTCGGGCCCCTAATAATAAGGGCCACAAAGCACAGCCACTAGTACAACGTCTATGAACATGTAATCAGCAGGCATTATGTACTGTAACCAGGCCTCCTCTTCCAGCGGCACATTCCGCACCTGAGCGAGAAGAGTGAATGAGCGTGCGTCTTGAACATGGCGAGGCAGCTTCCCTTCTGGAAGTTCCAGATTCGCACAATAGCCTGAGGACCGCTTTGCCCGGACGCCAAAATCTCCGTGTTGCCATCAAACGCCAGAGCGGACACCTGCCGAGAACCACAGAGCCACACGCCATGCCGTGCAGCGCACCACAAATTAACAGAATAAAGGGGACAGACAGAACCGATGCAACAGTACTAATGAGACAGATGGAAAATTTGAGACATACAGTATACATGAGACAGACAAGACAGCAGAAAACAATTTTGTAATAACATGTTTAAATGCAATCCCAAATAAAGACGTAATAAAGGTTTTTGGGTTAGATCGCGTTTATTTATAAATGTGTCGTAACCCTCCACCACCCGACACGGCCAATCAGCAAAAAAAGTGTCACGTTGACAAAAGACAAATAATTCACTACTTCAGCCCACCGGTGTGTTGAAGAGTTAATCCACATTTACAGTTTGAGTATGACGTTTCGCTGGTAAATACTTCCAGCATCATCGGGCAATTCGCCAGAATGGTAAAGCCCTCGCTTGCTCCCGGTTTTATATAGAGCAGCAGGGTGACGTCATCACTTAACTCATCAGGTGCAGTGATTAGAGGCGGAGGGGGGGTAATGTAATTATATAATCGATTAGTAATCAGTCATTGGTTATGATTAGTAATGAGTTGTAGATTAGTAATTCTTTAAATCAAAATGTAATGTGTATTATTTAATAATACGCTTCCAGGCCGCACTAAGCCGGTAGCTGTCAGAGCGATTAAAGTTATTCTTGTTCCTCTCAATTTCAATGGATTCTCTAATTAGTCTTTGCCAGTAATAATTAGTTTTACACACCACTGCAACATTGTCAAAATCAATTGAGTGTCCTTGTTGACAAGCATGTTCTGCCACTGCCGACAGTTGTGTTTGAGATAATTTAATATTTCTCTGATGTTCTTTTAGTCTTACGCTGATGTTACGTCCCGTCTGCCCAATGTAGCAGCTGCCACATGAACAATTAATCCGATATACACCTTCTGTTGATAGTTTAGGTAATGCGTCTGGTAAGTTTTGATGTTATTTCTCTATTCACTAAGGTTCCAGTGGACGAATCGCTTAAATTACTTGATACACTAGTAAAGAATACCGGTTTACAAAAAGATATTCCGAAACTTGCTGGCCATTGTTTAAATAACACTTACTTCTTATGGAGAGGGGATTTCTTTAAACAAAAGGAAGGAGCAGCAATGGGTTCTCCTTTATCCCCTGCTATAGCAAATTTGTACATGGAAAACTTTGAAATAAGAGCACTTGCCTCGAGCACATTAAAACCATCCTTTTGGTTTAGGTATGTAGATGACACTTTGGTTGTCTGGCCACATGGTAAAGATACACTTAATGATTTTCTAAATCATCTCAATGCACAAAACCCGGCCATCCAGTTGATTGGCCGTGTCGGGTGGTGGAGGGTTACGACACATTTATAAATAAACGCGATCTAACCCAAAAACCTTTATTATGAATAATATTGGTCGCGAAAGCCTACGTGTTAAACCAAATAAAGACAATTCATAGAATCACTGCGGGGATGGTGGGGTGGTGGTCAATCATTACATGTCTACTGTCCACGGCCCACAACAGACGCACCTTGTCAGAGTGTCCCGTGAGGAAGTGTTGCGACGACGTCTCCACATCCAGGGCCACGATAACGGCATGGCACGGGTACACGAGCGTGGCGCCGTTGCGCGTCCACAGAGCCTGCACGTGCCGGGAAATCGGATTTACAGCCCCTGTATGACCCCAGCTTGCCCCTAACACATCCCGGTGCCAGCATTTATGAGAATGTCAACTATCTACTGCAAGTCCATGACATCGATTGTTTTCATTCAGTGTGTATCTTTCCCCAGGCTTTCCAGGAAGGGAATATTGTTGTTTAGCAGTTATGTGTTTGCTGTTTATCACGTGCACCACTTTCTGGGTGCTATTATGTTTAGTGCTCATGTGGTGCTGTTTTCCTGGTCCTGCCTTTTTCCGTGCTAAAGGTGAATCAACAAGCTCGTACTTTCCTCAGCTAACTAATGTGAAAGAGTTATCATTTATTATCTACATGGGCCATAGTTAATAGACAATGACAAGCATATTTATTATAATTTAATAACATTACAATTAAATATAGGAATACTTCCTGTCCGCATCCTTAAAACCATAACCATCCTACCCCTTCCTAACCTCGCCTCTCACTTTCCCTATCATCCCCCTTCCTTGCCATCCCTTCCCCTCCCCGCACACCCCATCCTTTTTGCCCATCAGCCAATACTAATGTAGAATTTATAATTCTTATAAAGCGCTTTAACAAAAGCGCTATATAAAATCCAAGATAAGATCAAATTACAATTAATTCATTTGTAATCCTTACATCTCATTGGTTGTTTCTGTGAGGTGATGACACCTATTTATGAAGCCGGGTCAGGTGACATGGTATGTCTTCACTTCCTAGATCTTGTCCTGATGACGCCTGCCAGTCTCAGGCAAAACGGCATATCTAATTGCTAAAATTTGGTTGTAAGAATTGTAGTTCAACTTGCGCTGGTAATCGTGACAATTTTATTTAGTTTGGCTATGTCGGGGGGTGGGGGGGGGGGGTCTTAACGGCACAAATTTGGCCAGATAATTACTTGGCCAAATCCAAAACTGAACGATGACTCACGAATATTGGCTGCGAAAACCTACACGTTTACTTACATATCCGTTGGTTTCGCCACCAAACCCCACAACCCTCCTTAACTTCAGTAGTGGCTCAGACTGTAGGGTCTGTGGTCACAACAACAACAACAGCAATAATGCATGGGAATGATTACAATGCCACACTTACATTCATTACCACAATTCCATAGGTGTCAACGCTTCAAATTGACCATGTGTGACTGTAAATGTGCAACATTCATAGCCCTTGCGTTACCTCCGCAAGCTACATATGTTTGTGGTCAAAGTCAGACAACGAATTTGCCTGACTGCATGTCTGAAACGTTTATATTTACGCAGGTGAGTCTGACCTTGTGTTTAATGACCGGAGTCCCGATTAGGTCCACAGCCTCTGGAACCTCCCGTGAAAGCATCTGTGGCGAAATGGTCATTCATTAGCTGTATCGTCCTGAAACGCCTGGCTTGTCTGCAGGCCTAAAAATGCTAAACACTCTCCTATTAAAAGAACAGTTATTACAACACAATGCCGTATGTTGACGAGTGCACAAGGTCACGCAGACTGGAGCCACGGTCCCTGCAATGCCAAACACACTGGAAAGATCAACATGTTCCGCCGCAAGCACTTAGGGGCATGGTGACCCTGCCAGGAACGTTTAAATGAAGACCAGAACTTGACACTTTAATAGCATGCTTTAGTTCCGAAAGGTCAACCTTTTAAAAAGTTTAACTCCATTCTGAATGTTGTAATAATAAATGTTGGCAAATGAGATGTTAAAAACAAACATTCATCACTACAAACGTATATCGAAAATGTTTAGATGTTTTCATTTTTTTATTTTATTCCAAAATACTTGTTTTGTTGGAAGATGTTGTACACAGTCGTGGCATTTACTCAAGCCTGCTTTAACCCTCGAGGCAGACACACTGTGCAGCCAGGAGGGATTAACCGACCACTCTGAAGCCACGACGGGTCCAGGATCTCACCTCGGCTGGCCGGCTGTTACCGCCGCCCGCTCTGTGCGCGTACACATGGATGCCGCCGTCATCACCGAGGGCTTTGGCTTCATGCGGACTTGAGTCCACGCCCGAGTTCTGTCCGTCGTTCCCCCCCCGCGAGCCTTCCCCGTCGCCTGCTCGGCCGGTGTTTTCGCCGCCATGGGCGCGCGAGATTCCATCAGTTGGTGTCCTCAGGTGTACCTCTGGCAGGCTCAACACCACGAGCCGTGACTTATTGGGTTGCTGCGCATTCAGCGAAGCCGTGGGCGGGGGGGGGGGTAAAGAAACATACGTTTCGTGAATTTCTATTGCGGGCAACTATAGCGAGTGGGCAGGGACAGTCACGGGAAGAATGTGAGTTCACGCTCTGCATTATTACTCTTCAATAACTGTTGTAGGTCGCCCATTGGCTCCAGGGCCTGACATGAAATCAGAGCAAAATAATTAAACTGGTGTGTGATCCTCGTGCTGACAGGTCCTAAGAAGCAAACTCCATAGGCATTTATCTTACACATACACCTGAATGATCTTGTCTACTGTAATGTATTCTAGATCAATTGTTGTGTTTCGGTACTCAGCTTGGCTCTTTGCATATTACCGATTTTTGTAACTGAAAGGATGAAAGGTTGTTTGTGTTTTTTCTTATAATGCTCACATACATTTTGTCTGAAAAACATTACTTTTTAACCAAAGCTGAATTTTCGCGCTTGTCATTTAATTTTCACGCAGTTATTTCGTAACGTACAACCCTTGTGTTTGCACCGCAGATCCCCCATTGCAAAAGTGACGTTTGCCTCAAATAAGAATCTCGACGCATCAAACGCGTTATACGTTACACACGCCACAGACACGAGGCGGACTAGAGGCTTTTCATGCAGAAATGTCGGTGACCTCAACTGCTCTCCTTCCCGACCCACGATGAAGCGGCCGGATGCACCGTGCGTACCTTCCTTGGCGCCGTCGTCTGCTGAATGATGGACACTCGCTCGTGGCCAGATTTGCTGGCGTTCACCGTCCTGGGCACGTTCCTCGCTGGACTCATTTGCGCAGGAGCTGGAAAAAAGGTTTTATTTTTAAAGACTCTGTCAAAGTCTCTTTTTCTGTTTGCGCGTTAAACTTCGCGTGGATGCCGTTACACCCTTGGCCAGTTTCTCAATTCAAATAAGAGCGGTGTGCAGAAACTGTGAAACTACGCATATGCGATTGCAAGGGTTCGTTATGAACTTGCTACACTTAATGTGCTTTGCTAGAAGCTATTAGGTTATTCAAAGAACTCGCAAATATGTGCATGCAGTTGGTCACAAGGCAGCTCCAATGTCCATGTGTGCAACATGCTTGACAATAGTCTATGTATTCTTGGTTCTTTCGGTAAAGTCACGTAGAAGGGAAACAATAAAATAATACAACAATAAAATTAGCACGACGTTTCGACTGCAACACAAGCAATCATCATCAGGTGTGAAAACCACAACAAGAAAATGTCACACCTGATGATGATTGCTTGTGTTGCAGTGGAAACGTCGTGAGAATTTGATTGTTTTATATTTTCATTATATTATTGCTTCCCTTCTACGTTACTTTACCGAAAGAACCAAGAATATGAATCCCTGCAGTCACGAAAGCTTTAAATCAAAATAGTCTCTGTACAACATTACCTGTCTCTGATGGGCCTGCTTGCCCCTTCTGTATGGAGTCAAAGGGAAGGCGTTTTCCATTTGAAGGGAACCTGAAAACAAGGCCAAAGTAACTGCTCAGAAGCAACTACAACTAGCGAATATCACCAAGTCTCAAGAAAGTTTGTGAGCAAAAATTATGTCAGTGTACGTCAACTGTGAATTATTGGAAGTGTGCACTTTGTGCATATAATGAATATAAAAGCCACACTCTCGTTATGCTCCAATATTTTCCATTTGCATTTAAATGTTATGGCTGACAGCACAGCTGGACTGGGCTCAGGCAAATAGGCATTTTCCTTGTAAGTCAGTCCTGAAATTAGGCCATCACAAACTGGGCCCAAGTGAAATAATTTTCAAGATGATTGAAGTTTGGTTATGAGAGCGATGTCTTAACTCCAGAACTGACTTGTTGGGAAAAAAACAACCAGTTACCCACTAAGCCAGTCCACCTCTGCTGAAAGATAGACATTAACACGTGGAGCGCAAGGCTTGCTTGTGGCTGTACCGCACCTGATATAGTCATAGAACTCATGCCAGCTAGAGTCTTTGGGGACGGGAAAGGCCATTTCCCGTGGCATTGCCACGAAGCCCTGGGACATCAGACCTGACAGCTTGGCCTCGGCAAAAGTCAGACCTGTCAGTGAAGCAACAGACATCACAGTCTGGTTTTCTTTCGGAATTGTGCCCACTCGGGTCAACCCCCAGAGCATTACATTTTAAAACAAGATAGGGTGAAAACAAAACTTCCCGTTGTGATGTTCTCCATGCGATGAATTTTTCAGTATATCTTACTCGAGTCGCAGAAATAAACAACAGCGATGATACAACATGACATGTTTAACTAAAGTTTGGTTTTGTGGAAGTGGAAAGGTGGAAACTTCAGATAAAAGTACAAAAGTAGGAACATAAGCAAAAATGTATAATGAAACTCGGTACATGTTAAAAGTACAAAGAACAAAGTCATGGTTGCAAAGATTGGGACAAAGCTCATCAAAGGAACATTTATTGTACATGAAAGAAACTTCTTTCATAGAAGGATAAAAAAACATCTGCTTGAAGGTAAAACTGCCTCTGAACATAGAAGCAACAACATTCTCATGTGTTTTGCAGCTCACTGAGCTCTTAAATACCCTTATCACTCCCACTCCCTCCCCGCTCTTAAGTGTCACGGGCATTCTAGAAGGAAATTGGGACGAGAGCCCTGCATATGATGTTTTTTGCCAAATCAATCATTGCTGTACGCCAAGTACAAATTCAATTGCATATAAGTACAGATAGCCAGGGGAATTGCACTGAATGTCCTCACACCAATGTGACCCTTTTCAAAATCTCGGTTGGTGTTATGGGGTCAAATTAATGCATGTAAAAAAACGAAACATTCGTTATGGGGACCATTGCCCGAATCATCATAGAAACGTCACAAAAAGGACCAGTGGCAAAACGTCACCTATTATATTCATTTATTTTAATGCCTATTGTACATGTTTCCCTTTAAGACAGTTTTATTGACGACTGTGTTGATATCTTTTGTTCATTGTGCTTGTGCAGAATTTGCCTGCACAGTATCAACAAATAGTTTGAATAAATGTCAGTCACTTAAAAAACCAGTACGTGCATGATTTATATGCACGATTAGCCCAGTTTATGTCATGTAAAATTTGAATTTTCATCCGATTTTGGCCAAAAATGTCACAATATGTCCATCATAAACGATGAAGCGTATCACCAATGCAACGTGTTTCCACTGAATTAACGTGAATCTCGCCTGACACGTATGCAGTAAAACGATAATCAAATGCTAAAAGGAAAATTACGACCGTTGACAGGTAAAAGATCACACCAGGCTGGTAGACGGCGTCGCTGGTGAAGATGTTGCGCACCATCATGCAGGAGCACAGCTTGACGCTCTTGACGTGGCTGTAGCACTGACTGAGGTAGCAGGACAGGACATGGTGCAGGTCCAGCATGAGGCACGTCCACCGAACGTTTCCTGGAGCTGGACCTCGGTCATCCGCTACCAAACACACAGCACATTTGTCACTCGTAAGCCAAAATCCGAATTCTTATTGCCCTGCGTTTTGGATATTCTTAGAGCACATATACTAACCCTTGCCTCCAAAGTGCTGGATTGCAGGAGTGAGTCACTATGCTCGATCATGCTGACCAGATTGGCCTTAAATAAGCAAGCATCCATCAATTGTACCAGGGCATTGCATTCATTTTACTGAAATAAACAATGCAGAAAGAATAAGGGCATCTGGGAACAGCAGCAGAGATGAGTGTGATGTGAAGGAGGCATTGGTTTTCTAAAACCTTGCTTGTTGGCGGCTGCAGTTCGTTCATGCACGGAGCCCTTGGCTCCTCCACACAGGAAGGGAAACTGTAGCCAGGTGTTGGTGGATGTAAACTCTTTGAAGAGATTCGAGAACGAGACCCGGATTACCAGACCTTCCTGCGGAAATGCAAATGAACAAAAAAGATGTTACCTTTTACAAGCAGCCAGTAGCCATCAAATTGTGGCCAAGCATGTGAAAGGATTAGATCATCTTTAATCATGGGTACAAATACAACCTTACATCTTTTCTCATAAACACTGCCTTATAACAGAAAATCTGTTTGCATCATTAACAATGTATTATAACAGAATGTAGAATTAATGCTGTCATCATGGCCAAAGCCCTTAATGCCACCACGCCTCACCAACGCTTTCGACCCTCTCGCAAATCCCACAGCTGCGAACGGTCTCCCACCGTCAGATCTGCCCCTTGATCAGCCGACTCGTGGAGACCACTCCAATTCCAGTCTCACTAACTGGCCCTTACAAGTATATAGGTTCCTCCCCGTCTTCATAATAGCTGCCATATGTTGTTCCAAAAGATAGGATGTACATACATATGTAAAACCATTAATAAAAGAATGAGAAATTAGATAACACTACACAAAAATTATTGAAGATGCCATAACAATCAATGGGAGCATAAACACAGCTCGAAGTTGATAATGAGCAAATCACAATTGTCTGTCGAGAGCAAAATGGAACCATAATGCAGGGCTGCAAGAATATTAAACTAACGGAGGAGTGCAATGCAGATCTTTAAATCTGACACTATTCATATTACTCAGGATACAAATTGTCAGACGAAGAAGAGAATGTCCCAGATGCCAAGCTTGAAGAAGTCTGACTTGGACTTTACTATAATGATACTATATCATTTGTAACCGTACGAGGACCTATCGAGACCGAAAGTCTCTTATTCACGAGATTGATTTTCTTCCACCTCGCCTTGGGGGCCAGGGAGACTGCTCTCACCTGTGTGCACACATCAAGATGCACTACGAAGAACTTGTTGGGCACGGGCTTGAACAGCAAGTACAGGAACCGCCCCGTAAGCCCGAGCGAGTGAGCGGGCGAGCTCGGCAGCTTCACATAATTTGCTGCCGGAACCGCGCCTGTAATCCGGTACACGGTAGCCTTCAGAGTCTTGTCCTGGTTAGATAAAAAAAAAATCGCATGCCACGTGCTCTTGCCATCAACAAAATAACACGCCCTCACTGTGCTGTTCACAGTGAGAACCTGCATTAAATGAGCCAAGGCAAGAGTGTAAAAATAACAAACAAAACAAAAGGTAACATTTATACCAAACCTAAAAGGCACAGAGCCCACAATGAATCATGGCATTCAAAACTCACTACAAATGCAGACCAGCAACGGCGATATTCCAGGGTCTAAGGGAGTTTCTTCTTTCATACCATGCAGCCAACTGTTATAACCGAGCAGCGTGTGTTATTTAAGACATCTTCTCACGAGAGTAGGAACACAGAGAGTGCAATACGCGTAACTCTTGGTCAGAGGGCACAATCCAAATGCTGTACCCCTTTAATAAACGGCTTTCATGGGCCCCCTTGGCTACTCAACAAGGGCTGCTCTGGCGACTCAACATGGGCCCCAATGCCTACTTGTTCCCACAGCTTAAAATGTGTTCCCACACGCCTGCATCTTCAAACCACATGCATTTTATCGCTCGATTACTTTAAGGCAGTGCTGTGTGTAGAGCCGTTACAATGCTGCCAAATGTGGTTAAAGTTTTGACAATAATAGATTGACTGGAGTGCTAATGACACTGGAAGACATTTATTGACAGCTACACAATACTGGAATACAATTTAATATAAACACAACACCACCTCAAGAAATGGCTGCAGAAAAAAAACACATTAAATTAGGGTTTCCACTTTACAAAAAATGTAATTTCTGAGGCTTCAAAATGTTGGCGTGATTGAAATGTGACGGCATATAAAAAGTGTGCCCCTAGTGAGGATGAAGAGGCCTACTCTGAATTCGCTTTAGAAGTAGTTTGGTCACCTCATGTTGTTCCGGGTTGGTTCTCTGACACAGATATGTGGAGTCCCGAATGTAAATATCTGCATCTCATGTCATGACGCCGATAACACAACTGGAATACAACTTGGGGAGGGGGGAGCTATTTAAAAAATACATATACGAGTGGCTCCAATCTGCATGTGAACATAAATGCAGTGAAAGAGAGCATGTAATTGAGGCAATTACTCACCACCACTGCGGATACATCTCCCTCTTTCGCCGCTCTTTTCCACTCGTCCACTTTGAAGTGTTTGAAGACGTTGACATAAGGTTGTTGCCACACTAGGAGGAAATAAATAAACCATTCAACACATGTGAGCCGTGGGCAAATATTTCTGTTATGTTGTTACACAAAATATTAATTTAGCCCACAGATTTATAATGGCACTCTTATTTTCTTCTCAACAGGTGATTCAATATTGTAAAAGCGATGGCCTCATATCCTACAGGAGAGTGTTGAGAAATATGAAGACGTTTTGAAAGGAAATGTTTTATCCCACTTATTTTAGTGGGGTATATATACATGTATCACCCTGCATAATCAGACATACACGTACCTATCCACGCAAATATACACACAATACACCCATGGATGTGCACAGATATAAAGCGCCTATGATATGCAGTGGTGAGATTATTATTCCGCTTTCATACTCAGTTTAACCCTACTGAGTCTCATTAATGTTTTTCAGGAGGGTCCCACCAAAATGTCGCAGTCGGGGGCGATGATTGATTTGTAGCTTCAAATTGAGTCATTATGGGTCTCTGTATGAGTTTGTGGGTCTCTGTGTGTCTGTGTGAGTCTGTGGGTCTCTGTGTGAGTCTGTGGGTCTCTTTTGCGAGTCTGTGGGTCTCTGTGCAAGTCTGTGGGTCTCTTTTGCAAGTCTGTGTGAGTCTATCAGTGTCTGTGGATCTCTATTTGAGTGTATGGGCCTCTGTGTAAGTCTGGGTCTCTGTGTGAGTCTGTGGGTCTCTGTGTGAGTCTATGTGTCTCCGTGTGAGTCTGTGGGTCTCTGTGCGAGTCTGTGGGTCTCTTTTGCGAGTCTGTGTGAGACTATTAGTGTCTGTGGATCTCTATGTGAGTCTATGGGCCTCTGTGTGTGTCTGGGTCTCTGTGTGTGTGTGAGTCTGTGGGTCTCTGTGTGAGTCTGTGGGTCTCTGTGTGAGTCTGTGGGTCTCTGTGTTAGTCTGTGGGTCTCTGTGTGAGTCTGTGGGTCTCTGTGTGAGTCTGTGGGTCTCTGTGTGAGTCTATGGGTCTCTGTGTAGTGGGTTAAACTGAGTCGCAGACGTAGACTTTGCAGGCAACGCATTTTATTTAGTTCCAACACACGGGGTAACTTTCCCTTAACAGAATCACTAAGTAACTGTTACGACGGATCCGGGACCAACAAAATCTGCCCGGGTCACGTGCTGGAAGGCTCGATGAACGGAGATCGTAGACGAAGGGTTCTTTCCCAGGATGAACAACCCTGGTCCCTCTCGGGACCCGGCTTATATTCTCTGCGGCGTGGCAGGCTCCGCCCTTGACCACGTCCACCTTCCAGAATCCTCGGGAAGGATCTGGGTCCCAATCACGTGACCTCCCCAGCTCCCTCTTGGGAGCCCCTCTGTCAACTTAACCGGTCACGTGTCCTCCCGGGTCAACCAGAGTGCCATGGCCTCACGTGACCTTATCCTTCGGTCGGCACGCACACGCCCTGTCCTGTAGGGCCGGCACTGCATTTACAGCCTGGTGCCATCCAGCGCGATTATCCAGCGCACACCGTGCCCCTCTAGGGCCGGTACTGCACCCACAGCATGGTGACATTCAGCGATGTCACTACATCTGTATGAGTTTGTGTGAGTCAATGGGTCTCTGTGTGAGTCTATGGGTCTCCGTGTGAATCTGTGGGTCTCTGTATGAGTGAGTGGGTCTCTGTGTGAGTCTGTGGGTCTCTGTGTAGTGGGTTCAACTGAGTCGCAGACGTAGACGTTGGAGGCAACGCGTTTTATTTAGTTCCAACACACGGGGTAACTTCCCCTTAACAGAATGACAACCTAAGGTGATGACTACCCAGCTAACTACACTAGTTACCACACTAGTTATCACACTAGTTACTACACTAGTTACTATGTAAGTGTTACTACGGACCCGGGAACAACAACATCTGCCCGGGTCCACGTGCTGGAAGGCTCGTTGAATGGAGATCATAGACGAAGTTATCAATTCTAGATTTAAAGCTTTCGTGACTGCTAGGATCCATACTCTTTGGTTCTATTGGGTAAAGTTATTTTATTTTTTACCTACGTGACTTTACCCAATAGAACCAAAGAGCATAGACGAAGTGTTTCTTTCCCAGGATGAACAACCCTGGTCCCTCTCGGGACCCGGCTTATATTCTCTGTGGCGTGGCAGGCTCCGCCCTTGGCCACGCCCACCTTCCAGAATCCTCGGGAAGGATCTGGGTCCCAATCACGTGACCCCCGGAGCCCCCTCTTGGGGTCCCTCTGTCAACTTAACCAGTCACGTGTCCTCCCGGGTCAACCAGAGTGCCATGGCCTCACGTGACCTTATCCTTCGGTCGGCACCCACACGCCAAGTCCTGTAGGGCCGGCACTGCACTTACAGCCTGGTGACATCCAGCGATGTCACTACATCTGTATGAGTCTGTGTGAGTCAATGGGTCTCTATGTGAGTCAGTGGGTCTCTGTGTGAGTCTGTGGGCCTCTGTGCGAGTCAATGGGTCTCTGTGCGAGTCTATGGGTCTCCATACGAGTCTGTGCGAGTCTATGGGTCTCTGTATGAGTCTGTGCGTGTCTATGAGTCTCTGTGTGAGTCTGTGGGTCTCTGTGTAAGTCTGTGGGTCTCTGTGTGAGTCTGTGGGTCTCTGTGTGAGTCTGTAGGTCTCTGTGTGAGTCTATAGGTCTCTATGTGAGTCAGTGGGTCTCTGTGTGAGCCTATGGGTCTCTGTGTGAGTCTATGGGTCTCTGTGTGAGTCTGTGTGTGAGTCTGTGTGAGTCTATGGTTCTTTGTGTGAGTCTGTGGGTCTCTGTGTGAGTCTGTAGGTCTCTGTGCGAGTCTGTGGGTCTCTTTGTTTGTGAGTCTATGGGTCTCTGTGTGAGTCTATGGGTCTCTGTGAGTCTATGGGTCTCTGTGTGAGTCTATGGGTCTCTGTATGAGTCTGTGTGAGTCTATGAGTCTCTCTATGAGTGTGTGAGTCTATGGGTCTCTGTGTGAGTCTCTGTGTGAGTCTGTGGGTCTCTGTGTGAGTCTGTGGGTCTCTGTGTGAGTCTATGGGTCTCTGTATGAGTCTGTGTGAGTCTATGAGTCTCTCTATGAGTCTGTGCGAGTCTATGGGTCTCTGTGTGAGTCTATGGGTCTCTGTGTAAGTCTATGGGTCTCTGTGTGAGCCTTTGGTCTCTGTGTGAGTCTATGGGTCTCTGTATGAGTCTGTGTGAGTCTATGAGTCTCTCTATGAGTCTGTGTGAGTCTGTGTGAGTCTATGGGTCTCTGTATGAGTCTGTGTGAGTCTATGGGTCTCTGTATGAGTCTGTGTGAGTCTATGGGTCTCTGTATGAGTCTGTGTGAGTCTATGAGCCTCTGTGTGAGTCTGTGGGTCTCTGTGTGAGTCTGTGGGTCTCTGTGTGAGTCTGTGGGACTCTGTTTGTCTGTGGGTCTCTGTGTGAGTCTATGGGTCTCTGTGTGAGTCTATGGGTCTCTGTGTGAGTCTATGGGTCTCTGTGTGAGTCTGTGTGTGAGTCTGTGTGAGTCTATGGTTCTTTGTGTGAGTCTGTGGGTCTCTGTGTGAGTCTGTAGGTCTCTGTGCGAGTCTGTGGATCTCTTTGTGAGTCTATGGGTCTCTGTGTGAGTCTGTGGGTCTCTGTGTGAGTCTATGGGTCTCTGTGTGATGAGCCTATGGGTCTCTGCGTGAGTCTGTAGGTCTCTGTGTGAGTCTATGGGTCTCTGTATGAGTCTGTGTGAGTCTATGGGTCTATGTGTGAGTCTGTGTGAGTCTATGGGTCTCTGTGTGAGTCTATGGGTCTCTGTGTGAGTCTATGGGTCTCTGTGTGATGAGTCTATGGGTCTCTGTGTGAGTCTGTAGATCACAACTGCAGTACACAGCAGCTTGTTAGCGTTGTCATGGAAACTCCGTTGGAACTTGCAGCAGCAGCGACGCGTGTAAGCACGCATTAAAGAGTTTATATTGAAAACACGCATTAAAGAGTATATTGTAAGCACGCATTAAAGAGTACATTGTAAGCACGCATTAAAGAGTATATTATAAGCACGCATTAAAGAGTTTATATTGTAAGCACGCAATAACGATTATATTGTAAGCACGCATTAAAGAGTTTATATTGTAAGCACGCAGTGAGCAACACGAGGCAACGCAAGCAAAAGTACAAGGTGGGAAAACAAACATTTAACGTTTTAAAGGAATCTTTTAAATCGAATTCCGTTCGACAGCAGGGAACTGATGAGGATCGCCATTCCCTCACACCGCCGTCCACATCAGGATGCCCAACTCACGTTTGCTCGCCATTGTGTTGTCGATGCGTGTGCGTGCGCGTTGTTTGTTGTTGTTTATTGTTGTTGTTTGTTGTTGTTGCTTAAACCTTGCTGAACACTCATCAGCTTAACACAAAACACGCGAGACGACGCTGAAGACGCGAGGTGGGGAGCCACCCCTCTCCCGCCGACGTCTCAGGCCGAGCCAGTCGATCGCCGAGCCGACGGAGATCGTCGATTTCGGCGCGTGCGACGCGCGGGGATCGGCGCCGCGCCCCCGATCGGCCGTCGATTGCTTTCGCCACGTTGACTTTCCTTGCATTGAGATGCCGGATTATAAGACGCACCACATTGACTTTCCTTGCATTGAGATGCCGGATTATAAGACGCACCACATTGACTTTCCTTGCATTGAGATGCCGGATTATAAGACGCACCACATTGACTTTCCTTGCATTGAGATGCCGGATTATAAGACGCATCACGTTGACTTTCCTTGCAATGAGATGCCGGATTATAAGACGCACCACGTTTACTTTCCTTGCAATGAGATGCCAGATTATAAGACGCACCATGTTGCCTTTCCTTGCATTGAGATGCCGGATTATAAGACGCACCACTTTGACTTTTCTTGCAGTGAGATGCTGGATTATAAGACGCACCACGTTTACTTTCCTTGCAATGAGATGCCGGATTATAAGACGCACCACATTGACTTTCCTTGCATTGAGATGCCGGATTATAAGACGCACCACGTTGACTTTCCTTGCAATGAGATGCCGGATTATAAGACGCACCACATTTACTTTCCTTGCAATGAGATGCAGGATTATAAGACGCACCACGTTGACTTTCCTTGCATTGAGATGCCGGATTATAAGGCGCACCACATTGACTTTCCTTGCATTGAGATGCCGGATTATAAGACGCACCACATTGACTTTCCTTGCATTGAGATGCCGGCTTATAAGACGCACCACATTGACTTTCCTTGCATTGAGATGCCTGATTATAAGACGCACCACATTGACTTTCCTTGCATTGAGATGCCTGATTATAAGACGCACCACATTGACTTTCCTTGCATTGAGATGCCGGCTTATAAGACGCACCACATTGACTTTCCTTGCATTGAGATGCCGGCTTATAAGACGCACCACATTGACTTTCCTTGCATTGAGATGCCAGATTATAAGACGCACCACATCGACTTTCCTTGCATTGAGATGCCGGATTATAAGACGCACCACATTGGCTTTCCTTGCATTGAGATGCCGGATTATAAGACGCACCACATTGACTTTCCTTGCAATGAGATGCCGGCTTATAAGACGCACCATATTGACTTTCCTTGCAATGAGATGCCGGATTATAAGACGCACCACATTGACTTTCCTTGCAATGAGATGCCGGATTATAAGACGCACCACATTGACTTTCCTTGCAATGAGATGCCGGATTATAAGACGCACCACGTTGACTTTCCTTGCAATGAGATGCCGGCTTATAAGACGCACCACATTGACTTTCCTTGCAATGAGATGCCGGATTATAAGACGCACCACATTGACTTTCCTTGCATTGAGATGCCGGATTATAAGACGCACCACATTGACGTTCCTTGCAATGAGATGCCGGCTTATAAGACGCACCACATGTTTGCAATGTAAGTAACACTTACATTGCAAACATGATGCCTTGAATAAAGGTGTCAGTTTTTGTGCCAGTTAAAAGGGTAAAACCTATTCCTATATCTTGTTTCTGGCAAAGGAGGTCTCATAATGACCATCGCTGTCAACCCCCCTACCAGCGCCCTACCTCATTTACACACCAACTCAGACATTATAAATCTCAACGTTCAACAAGGGAGTAGACACAAACAAATAGACAAAATCATGACTTGAAGCTTCTCGTGACTGCAGGAATCCATACTCTCTGGTTATTTCGGTAAAGTCACGTGACTTTACCGAAATAAATAGCCAAATGTTTTGTTGTTGGCCGTATTGAAACGGCTGGAGGCCATGTGTGGGTGCCTTCAAACTCAATGTCCCCGTACAAAAATACGGGATAAACCGTACGGGTTGACACGGTTATGCATTTAGACGTTGCGTAAAATATGAATATCCGGTCGCAATGAAGTTGTACAATTTAATACGTAGGCTTTCGCGACCAATATCATCCATAATATAGTTTTTTAGGGTACCCATTGTAATGGTGGGTACCCATTGCAATGGGTACCCACTACGATACACTACACTAGTGCTGTACTAGTGACGAATTGGCACGTTCTGTTTACGTGACAATCCTTACTAGTTGGCCGTATCAGGTGGTGGCGGATTTTAACGAAACATTTTACGCGATCTAACCCAAAAACCTCTATTATGGATGACATTGGTCGCGAAAGCCTACGTGTTAAACTTAACCCATACGGTTTACTCTGTATTCTTGTACAGCCGTTTCAATATGGGCAAAACGAATGTTGTTGTCTATTTGTTTGTGTTTCTCCCTTGTGATGGGACTTTGTAGGACGAACCTTGAGATTTGATTTCTAAGGGGGCAAGGGGTGACCTTGGGAAATAATTGGAGAGAGAAGAGAGAGAGACGTCTCAACACGTGGTGGGCGGCACGTGGACTTGAACAAAATAACCTGCACGCACTTCTATCCACATCGTAGACGTCTTTGCCACTTGTACGACCAAACACTGTGATATCACACTGCTTTTACTCCCGGCACAAACGTTTCTCGTCACTGTTTCTATTCCTTTCAAAGAGGCCGCGAACTCTGACCCTTCGCCTTGACTATTTGCCTCCTATTTCCCCGGCCTGGTATTTCGTCCGCAGACTGTGTGTTTTTTTGTTGTTTACGAGGCCACCGAACAACCTTGGCGTCAACATTGTGATGTCTCAAAGGCAAGGTTGTTTTGCCGGGTTAGCTGCCAATATAATAAGCAACGCGCGCTTCAAGCGATCACACTTCAACGCAGCCATGGATGTGAAGAGCGTGCTGCTGCTGCTGCTGTCGGCGAACTTCGCCCTCTGCGCAGTGGCCGCTTCGGACGAGTCGAGAGGAGACGGCGATCCGAGAGGTGACTTCGGTCTCTTCGCTTTCGGGCCCAGCGACGTGGGCCAAATGTCTCGCCCGATGCTGCGTCCTTCGCGAACCACCGGCGCGTTCAGCTTTCCATACCGCGAGGACAACTATCTGTACTTCCCCAAACAGAGGGACCTCAAGTCCGCCCGACTGCACAACATCCTGGGCTCGTCCTTCGACCCGTTCTGGATGTCAGTCAAGAGGCCCAGCAGCAGCAGCACGACCGGCGACATCGGGGCCCTGGCCACGCGGAGCTCGGCCGTGACCGCCGCGGGCAGGAAGCTGCACGCCGCCGCGAGGGCCCTCAACTTCACCGTGCTGACAGACTCCGGAGCCGCGGTCGCCGCCACAGAAGCCACCGCGGCATTCATGACGCGCTGGCTGCTGCAGAAGGCCGAGTGCGGCGTCGCCTCTTCGTGGCACGACCTCGGCTCCGTGTTCTGGCCGCGCTGGGTCCGGCGCAGCCACTGCGAAGAGAGCGGCGGCGGAGGCTGCTCCTGGCCGGCGGGGATGTCCTGCGCGCCGGCCCAGTCGACGCACATCAAAATCCTGGCGTGGCACTGCTACGCGTTACGCAGCGCATCCGTCGACGGGCAGCCCCCTCTTCAGCCCCCTCTTCCGCCTCTGCAGAAGTGCAGCTGGCGGCTGGTGCCCTACCCTCTGGTCACTGCCTGCACGTGCGGATGTGGCAAACACAGCACGGGACACGGAGGCGAGTGAATCTCCCCGCAGAAAAAACAAAACCCCCACTGCGACTCGTTGTGCACTGGTGTTGGGGAGGACGATGTCAAGGACCCCCCCCCCACCCCTTTTGTGCTGCCAGTTTTGTAATGATCATTGGGTGGGGGGGGGCTTTCGGGTACGGGATGAGGCAAACGTCCTTGTCATGCGGTGTGCTCAAGACTTCGATTTTGCTGCGTCGTTCTCAGCGTTTTCGCTTCTGTTATTCTGGTGACCCAAGTCGCTCTTGCAAACGATCCTCCGCTGTCCTCCTCTCCTGAGAGTTCTCACCTGCTTAGACAAAATAAACTCGAACAAAGCTCTAAACTTGGTTTCACGGTAAATTGTAAATGTCAGGCCGCAGTGTCCAAATCCCATGAGCTCGAGTCGGGGAATACGATCTTGTGTGCAGGAATATCACACGTTTCTACATGTTGATTTGTCATCGGGAGAATGTTATTTCATGTTATCGTTTCCATAACGAGCATACGATGTATATTCAATTGCACAAAACTAATAACATTTGTATGTGCACTGTAATAGCTATATTTTTTTAAAGAAATATCCATGAAAAATATAATATAGCATTAACCTGCTTAATTATTCATACATCTTTAGATACTATATATACAGCATAATGTATACAATATCATTTGGATACACTTAACGGGGTTCTGAAGTCTGTAATTCAATCAGGAAGTGCAGCCCAACTTAAAACCTGGGCTCAGATTTCCACATAATTGAGGGGCATAATTTAATTTGCTGGGTAATTGCATAAAGATATAACTGTTGAATATATTCGTGCACGTTGTCAATTGAGAGATGTACATTTAAACGATGCAACAGAGGACGAATTTAGATGTAAATGTACGGTTCTGTAACCGAAAGTGACGCTTCTTTAGTTAGCACTTATGAGCATTACCATCTACAAATCCAGGTAACTTACACTCCAGGAAAAATAGCGGATGCATATTTTCAGCAGTTAATATACCAAAAAGAAACCACGTTGATCCCCCATCAATATCATGCTCTTAGAGACAAAGCAGGTTACATTAGGTCATGCTTTTAGAGGAGGTAAGTTTCTAAATTATATAATACATCTCACAACACGTTCATCAATAACACCGTGGCCTTAAAAGACAAATATATAATAGGTGGCATTTTGGGCAATGGCGTTTTCCTGTGTCATGACAAAGGGCCATTGCCTCAAACGTCACCTATTACATATAAAAAATAGAACTGTTGACGAATGTGTTGCGTTTTTTTGTCTATCACTGCAAATGCAGAAACCAAATAAGTGAATTTGTATCATGGAGTCGCAGAAGTTGATGTTAGAATGTCAACAATAGCTTGCTTAGTTACGGACTAAAAAGCTTAAACTTAAGCCTGGTGCACACCGACCAGTCTGCCCTCGGTAGCATCCGACCCGGCCCGACAAATTCGTCGGCGACACCCGAGATTGGCGGGAGGCAGCGCGCACACAATCCATCAGACCGCCGAGGACACCAAGTCTCGACTATCCTCCCCAACCAGGACAGATTTTTAAATCCATAACCGTCGCGCCAGGTGTCACGTGGGTTTGTGATGTGGCATTCTTCTATTGGCTGCTGGTTTACTCCTTCATCCCAACTGTGTGGCAAAATAAAAATGTTGTTACCCCAGCGACAATGACGGGCCACGCGGGTAATTGTAATTAACCGCGTGGCCCGTCATTGCTTTACATGTGATTTTGAGGGCTTTTCCTGCATGTCATAACATACTTTTACAATACACAGTGTGTGTGTGTTGGGATTTGTCCGTTCTTTACAATTTGCACAAAGCCACTTTCCTATTACTAGTTAACTTGAAACGACCAAGTCTGAGGAAGGGGACAAAAAGTTGATGCAGCAGCTACCTCCACAGTATGCGTGTCGACAACATCACTCAAACATGTTCATAAAAAAACACATTGCAAAATAATGCACGGATCACAACAAAAACATACACAATGCAAATCAATAAAAACAGCGGATGTACATTTGTTCATGTCATTGCAATGTTTTAATAACTAAAAAGTGCTTCTACAAAAACCACTCGGATTAACCATGCAGCCCGTCATTGTGAGAGTGACTTACATGTGAGATTGTGAATATTTTACTGCATTTCACAGCAAACGCACTCTTAAAAGCTACACACTCATGCTGGCTAACCCAAAACTGTAGCACACCAGTGTCTCCTGCCCAGCGCGTTACTCCACCTGTGTTAGGGAGAATGAGGTCCCCTCATCAGTTACGTTTGTGAACCGTGTTTTCACCACAACATGTGAGATCCATTCCTTGCGTAAACGTGGCTTTCCGTGGGCCTTGGCAGCACCCACATTAATCACTGACAGGTACATTCCCTGAATAACCACTCAGCCACGAAGACCAGAGGCACACCCAGGAGGGGTGGACAATAGGTGAACAGGGGGCTTTTACCCCCCTACCCCAACATTGAATGTAACATCGTAAATAAATAATACCCATTGTAATACATTTTATAACATAAAACCTTAATTCACATGCTATTACATTTGATTTTCGATTGTTTTATTCCCCCCCCCCCCCCCCCGTCGAAAGTTGTCCCCTGCGAAATGTTGAGTTGGGTGCAGCACTGGCTGGGAAACACCTTTCTGGGGGGCCAACCCACCTCCACCGCAGCCCCAAGACAATTAGTGCACCAAGCCAAGAGGACAAGTGTAGGCACCTACATGGAAGCGTCAGACGGAGCAAAGCACCACCTACGCCGCCCGGAAAGCGGTTGGGTAACAGGTCCTGTGGGGGGTTCACACCACCCCCCGCCCCATGATCATCTGACCAGTCCGGTGCCAGGAGAGGCCTCTACAGAGTTCACCCGGGGCCCGCAGAAAAGAACGCTACCCTGGCCTAGCAGAGTTAATGTGTTACGGCCCGGCACGTGGGGGCCACAGAGCACGTGATGATTTGCACCCAGGCAGCTAGGGGGTACACCATACCCACATTATCCATAATTGATCTTAGCAAGAAATGTTTAGTAAACGGCTGAAAAAACACTAGGTTGGAACCGGTCAACACCAGCCTCTGCATGGAGAAGCACAGAGGTTGAGATCTGTCCTCTCTGATCGGTGCAGGGGGCAGCGGAGCAGCCTTGAAGACAAGTCTCTTTTGTACAGCCTGGTGGCTATCTTGAACACATATATATACACACACATCAGTGATGACTGTAGCTGCTGCCAGTCTGTACAAAACAAATCTTACCCTACATGCATAAAAATAAAATGCATTCTCATAATTTTGCATAAAATAATTTAGCCTGTGGCATGATTAGAAGCGAATGCCTCAAAATAAAACAAATTCCTTCCACAACGGTACAGCAGTATCTTAATTGGCCAATTAATCAGAATTGATTTGGCTTGACACGTGACACTAAGTGGTAACATGAATGTAGTCGGCGGTTTCACAGTTGACGCATGCAATTTTCAAACCATTCAAAGTTCAGTTTTGCTTAACTGCCTCTGCCAATTTGTACAGTTGAAAATTAACGCTCGCTCATAAAAAAAAACCCAGAGAGTACTTTACGGGCTCCGACATCACGTGCCCCTAAAGGGCGGCGCAATCGAGAAAGTGCAACACCACAGGCCTAATGCTATAGGTTGGTGGGTAGTGTGAGAGAGGTTAATACACAGCGCTCGCGTGGACTGTCTTAATTACAGCGTGAATGATGCTCCCCGTCCGCACTTAAGTTACAAATGCACGTTGCATAATCTTTGACAGGAGGACCAAGTTCAAGGCGCGGTCCTGTGTTTTGAACGGGCTGCCTGTGCGCGCGCGGGCGCCGAGTGTGACGTTGCTGTGAGCACGGCAAGGGTGCTGCTTCCGAGCAAAACGAGAGTTCTCGCCTCGATAAATTCAAGCTTTCACTTTTTACAAAAAGGAACAGCCGGAGCTCAGGGTGGCGCACGCCAATGATTTTTCAATCTTTCATGATCTTGTTTGAATATATAAAAACGATTATTTTTTTACAAGGTAAGGCCCACTGAGATACACAGCTCTTTTTCAGAAGTGACCTGGCCACAAATGACAGCTCAACGAAGCGGCTTATCATATGGAAATTTATAGCAACCAATTACTCTAAACGCATGTTTTTAAATTTGGAGGGAAAAACCGGAGGACCCAGAGAAAAATCCACACGACCACGGGGAGAACATGCAAAATCCAAATATACAGCAGGCGTCAGGGTCCAGATAGAACCCACGACCTCCTGTAGACCAGGCAAGGTAGTTAACATCTCGGCACCGTGACGCCCCACACTTGTGTTAACTTATGAATAATGTCATTGTGCACCGCCTGGCGTGAAGGATAACAATACCTCCAAATACATCATGTGTTATTCAACGGTTTTATTTAACTTCACTTGTGTCTGTCATGGTCAAATCTTGTAATCAAAAGTTAGTCTACTTGCTGTTGTCCAATCACTTCCAAATTTTGCACAGTACTCAGATCCGGAGACAATGCATGCCTGTATCAAAATCGGCATCAAATCATAAATTAATTGCCTCCTTTCAAGCAATTACAATTTTTGTATGGACAGCTTATTAATTATATATATTTGTGTAGCTCAAAAACGCCGCGGTCCCTAAACTGTGGAATCGGCTCGCACACAAAGCAGGCGACGTGTGTCCCAGGCGCCATTGACGTACTTCTCAACCGCGAGTTAAACGAAGTTGTTAATAAAACCGTTGTTTAATAAAAAAAAACTTTTTTTTAGGAGTTTATTTTTGGCCTGAAGTCCCATTTTAATCAGCTTGTTGTAACATATGCCTTACCTTCTATTTATGAAAACTGCAGATTAGTAGCCAACTTGGATCATCTTCGGCTAAAAAAAATGAAATAAACTACACCGTTTTAGAAGACTTGATTTTTAAATCATAAACTACACGAGCTTGCATTTACGAGAGAGACCAGAGAAACGATGCATACTCCTGATCTGCCAGTGAAGGCGCTACAGACACACGAGAGGCACTTTCCTACATTTGGTCCACAACGGCGGCACAGCCATCTCCAACACTTGATCCAATCCTCCGCTCGTGGGGGAAGTCTCTACGGACATCTCAGTGGAAGTGACGAAGAGTGCACAAAGGTCCGTTCCATCCTCGCTCCTTTCGCTGCGGTCGCAGCCCTCCCGAACAGGCGAATGCCTCTTGAGAGACGCGCGGCGTTCGCCGAGGGTCACCGAACGGGGGCCCTTCACCACATGTCATATTGCACGTCCTGCGTTGCTTGTGGTGGGGCCTGGCTCGCCAGCGGGGGGTTCCAGTGCAGACCGGGCGACCGCGCCATGACAAACTGCGCGGGCGACTCGGCCCTCCTGCCCATGTGCTCCAGCCCGTTCGGCCTGCCCGAGGACGTCTGCGTGAACGCGTTGATGTACCTAGGCTGCTGCTGCTGCTGCTGATGGCGGAAGCCCGCCGAGGGGCATTCCGCCGGAGGCTGGCCAAAGTCCGGCGCCGCCGGCGCAAAGCCCTGGCCGGCGTCAGCGCCACCGCCGCGGGCGGCCCGCGGTCGCCCCCCATCAGAGAGGCCCGCTCCGGCAGTAGAGACGTGGTGGTGCCTGCAAGGCTCCGGGAATCCGGGGAAGCGGCCGCGGGTTGGGCCCGCGTTGGCGGCGGCGTCGAGGCCGTTGCGCGTCTCCGCGTTCGTCTCCGCGAGGGCACGCCCTTCGTCTTTGTCGCCGAAGTGGCCGTGCTCGGAGGCGTTGGACACCTGTCGGGAGAAAAACGCGGGAAGACGTGAACCTGTCACCAGTTGACATGCTGGGGGGCGTCAGGTTGGTATGTATGTAGAACTTATTTCGCAGAGTATGCAGCCAACCGTGCCGATTGGGAGGTGCGGGCGAAGGACAGGTTTGCCACGAGTTCAGGGCAAGTCGTTTCGCCATCGCGCGCTGCTGGACGGGCTACGGCAAGAGTTGCCCACACCCCCCACCGGCCTGCCCGCCTGCCCGCACGCTGCGCGATGTGTAACGCGTCAGTGTACCTTTGTGCCGTCTCCACCTAGCGACAGAGCTCGTCTCTCATTGGCGTCCCTCACTGCAAAGGGAAGACAAAAGCAACGTGGGAGGATTAACGCAATATCACGAAATGTGGGCGATACGCAAACAATGTTGGTAAGCACGCCCACATAAACATAACAATTAATGCGCAAAAACAAGAAAACCCCAACGTGTCTAAAGACGACCTTTGAATAAGGTGCTAGATTTGGGATGTTTGGGCATTTTTTTTAAGGAGTGGAAGCAAACCAGATTGCCCAGTGGAAAACCACCCATTCGCATGGAGGGATTACACTGAAAGGTTTTGAGTTTGTGAACTCATTTGCTGTACCTTCCTAGCCACTAGAGCAGCCCATCACCTTTTGGAGTTGTACAAATCTACGTGATCCACCAACGCTTGCCTTCAAAGTTGCACCGCCCACTGCTTAACGACTTTTATTTTATTTCTCACGATCAAAAAAACTTAGCAAGCGAATACGGTTGACAAAGATTCATCACACAACCTGGGATAACGCTGACGACTTGGGGCAATTTGCAAACAAGCAAAGCGAAGGGGGGCGACGTGTCGCTGTTGGTGACGCGATAGCGGCGATGCTTACAGCGCTTGGCCCTCCACAGCAGGGTGAGGTAGCTCTGGATGCTGTTGTCCTCCATGAGGAGGAGGCCCTCATTGGAGCCGAACGTCCACACCAGGGGCCCCGCGCCGTCTTGCTGCCCGGCCGCCGCCGCCGCGTCGGGAGGGAAGCGCACCGCCAGGCCCAGCCCCTCGCAGCCCAGACGCTGGTTCTCCTCCATCTGAGGCCACAAACCCACGCTCGGTTCGCACGGCTGTGCCCTTCGGATGTATGGCACCAACGCGTGCGTGCATCGGTCTACCGATAACACACAATTCCCTGAATGTGAACGTCAAACTAGTTCAGCGTTTAGTGTTGCCTGCCATGAACATGCCAATCCAGTCTTGTAAAAACCTGTTAACAGGTTCCCAATATTGGGGCGACGACCTCCTACCGATGGGGCTGCGAGAGTGTCTCGGGAAGTCACGGTGACAACCGGAAACCTCGCCAACACAGGGTTGGGATTCTCAGTACGTTGAAGACATTCGGCCTGAAAAGCTTAGGAAGGCCCGAGTCGGTGACTAAAGACTGTGCCGACAGGGAGCAGAGTTCCATTTATTTGGTATAGCCCTGTGAGCCATTCGGCCCTTGAATTGGGTGCAACCGCAACAAACAAAAACATGAACAAGAAAACATCTTAAAGTGATTATGTGACTGTGCAAACAGAAAATCCAGGAAAAAAACATCAAAATATTCCTGAAATAGCACCGTACACCAACGCTGTGTGCAAAAATCCCAGTGGGATGCAAGTCAAAGAACAACAACAACCACAAGACAACTAAGATTAAGGCCATCAGTCTAACTCCGTACTACAATAAACAAAAACATGGGCAAACCCAAAAAACGCTTTCGAAATCACCAAAATAAAAGCCATAAATGCAATGTAAATGCAATGGTGGCGGAAGAGGGAGGGAGGGACTTACCAGCTGCTGGATGCGGAGGAGGTTGCGGCGGATGGTGCTTGACGGGCTGTCAGGGGTCACGGGAGGGCAAGGCTCCCTCTCGTCACGGCCACAGGGGGGTGGCGGCGTAGCCACTGCGGTGAGACCTGGAGGCTCCCGGGCACCAGCGGTGGCGTGAAGCAGCTTTGCTGTAAACCGTAACGCACGCACGAGAGCGACGTTGTAACGCAGAAGGTGGCGAAGTTGTAACACAGAACGTGGTTGTTGTTTGGGAATTCTGAAGAGGGAAATCCCTGCTCACTCTAGCACTTAAGAATAATTTGTTCGAATTGTTCATTCCATCGATCATTCCTCAATACCCTCGAGTCAAGACTTCCTTTGGGAAACACAGGACGAGCAATGGCATCAACATGCATGGCAAGGCCTCGTTCAACACTGTCAACATTAAGGAGCAACATTGCCACTTCATTCAAAACATCAATTTTACAGGGCGTATATGCCACCCCTATGTAACACATGGGTTGTTCCATGTGCCAAGTGCTTGGAATCGCAGGCAACAGAATTATCAGCTGAAGGAAATTACATTTTCTCAATCTATTTTCCGAGGGGCTTGGGCCATCACGCAGTACTTGCCTTTGGCCGAGGGGAGGGGGCCCATCTTGGCTTTGCCCTGACCCGCGAGCGGCGATTGAAAGTTCATCTTCTGGAAAGGGCTCTTGTCCCTCACGCCACGCGTCTTGGCATCGCCCAGCGCGCGTCTGAAGTTGCCGATGAAGTTCTACAACAAGGCGGCCACGCACGCATAACACCGACTTAGCACGTTCCCGCTAGAGAGTTCTATTCAATACACAAGTGCATGGTTGGTCTCGTCAGCAGGCACATAATGATACGCAGATTCGTCAATTAACATCGACTCTTTCTCTCGTGAAATCATACTGCGTGCGTAAGAATTGATATTTTACGACTTGCGCAAACGACACACAAACGGTATGCTAATGTTACACTGGAACTAATAATGCGACCGAAATCGCGTTAATAGGACAGAAAAAAATCAAGAACCGATACCAACGACATGGCACCGATGTGCGAGGGAGAAAGGACACTTCACTCGTCGGTTCCACCCGAGGCGGCACAACTTCAAGCGGTTCTAATTTCTCCGCGCGGCCGATGACAAGCGAGGCTATCCAATCGTTTGCTCTCATTCGCCGTGCAAACAAATTGGCTCCCAGAGTCTGCTGCAGGGACCTCAGCGCTTGGAAAACGTGCGGCGACGACGATGACAAGAGCAGGAGCAGTGCGAGGGGCAGCCCGAGCTGCGACTGCAGAGGCTGTCGATGCCGGATCGGCCTCATCAGCAAAATCATTCGGAGCCACAGAAACGAGACTGACGGAAGGTGTGCCGCTGCCTCAGGTGGCACCGATCGGCAGCTCTGGCCCGTGGGCCACAGCGGCGGCGAGGGTACGCACGGGTGCATGCCGTCGTCTAGACGGGGGCCCAGCGACCGTGCGCCGGTGCGCGCCACTCACGTAGGCGTGCTGGTAGGGCACGCCGGCGCGCTCGGCCGCCTCGGCGATGACAGCGTTGCCCTTCTCCTGCGTGCGCATGCCGCGGTACAGGTAGTAGTAGACGAGGACACTGTTGTACTTGGGGAAGCGCTGCAGCTTCCTGCACGGGAAGACAAGCAGTCGCGCGACCGCGAAAAGACCACGAAGCTTTAACAACGCAACCAAGCGCCCCCAAAATGCCAGAGGGTTTCAGGGCCAGGCTTCCTTTAAGTCGTAATGCAGAAAAACAAGAATATTTAATGGGTAATACAGCTTTTTATTCAGAACTTCAATAGATTAATTTGTCAATTTTAGAAAGATTTTTAAAAAATTAATGAGCAATAACATCGTTACGTTCCAATACCGTGAACCTTGTAATCGTACGATATATATATCGTACGATATGATGATACGACAATATATATCGTACGATATATATGACATCATCATATCGCGACAAGACAAATATCCACGTGGCAACGTAGATTCGTTTCGCGGACGAGAGATTCCAAATTTGGCCATCGCAGTAATTCGGGTCCGATGCAGGCACGTGGGTGAAACAAAAGCTGTGCCAGACAAGCCCAGCCATTACCTTGCCAATTCTTTTTTTTTCATTCAGACTCAACTTGAGCCCAGTACAAAGCACCGGTCACAGTATCGGGGGAGGGGGGGGGAACAGAAAACTCACTTTGCCAGTTCTTTATTTGAGCGCAGATCAGCGAGGAACCTGCATGCACACGCAACGTTACAAGAGAACCCCCACACATTCGTCAAAGACGCCGTGGCCTTAAAAGGAAATGTATTATAATGGACAACGTTTCAGGCAATGGCCCTTCTTCCGGACAGAGTGGATGATAAGAGTTGGAGACTGCACTTGTTTACACCGTTGAGAATTACGTGATATACATTTTTTTCTAATGATCAGCTTTTAAATGGGCATTTGAATTGTTACACTAATAGTCTGCTATTGACTAAAAGATAAATCCTTCATTAATAATAGAAACATATCTTACTTAATAAACCCATATATATTAAAAGAAATAAAACGTTGCCTGTCAGCACGCCTGCCCAACAGTTTACCATCCAACTTGGCTGAAATGACCAATCGTTTCAAACACTCATTAACCATATATTTACGTCACAATCGGTTAGATAAAGATGAGGATCAATAGTTAATAATCGTGTGTATTGTTTAGCACGGTGAATGCAGAAAGAGATACCAAAGTGTGATTTTGGTACTTAAAATAGTCCACTCACTTTTCAGGACTTGCCATGTCCACCATCTGTATGATATAACATGCAAGAGACACTGTCAAAATGCCTAATGTATGTACGAAAAGCATGACATCCATTGCATTCAACACCACATTTCGTGCATTACTTCTTACATTATTCAAGCGGTGCAAAACGTGTATAAAAAATGTACACAAAGTGCTGCGTGCACTCAGTTTTGTGCAATAAATATATTGTCTTATATATTGTCATTTATTTATCCAGGAGAGCTTGCCAAGCCTCATGCTGAGTGTTTTGTGTGGCGGCAGGAGACAATAGCACCTAAGGCCTGCACAGATGGGTTCACTACTCGTTTATCATACTAATAATAATTTGCATCTAAATAGCGCTATTATCATGCTTGCTGGTTAATTAGTTCATTTGAACCCCACTTGCGAAAGCACCATCTGTGCACGAGCGATGTAAGGCACGTTCCAGATGACCGGCGCAGACGCACTGCAACCCTGCACAGCTGCCACAGCGTTAGTTTGTATCGCTTCCAGCGTTGGCGTCGAACGCGAACGCAGCACGAGCGCCGGGGTAACACAGATGACACTGCCGTCTCTCCCAGTCTCTTGTGCAGCCAAGCCCCGCCGCCTCCAAAGTGTACAACAAGCATGCCCTACACCAACGCCGGCTCGAGAAATATAATGACGGTAAAACATCGATGGGCGCTCGGTGCGGACTTGCCGTTGCACAGGTCTCCTCTGCCGGTCGCGAGCAGGGCCGTTTGCACGGGGAAGCCACCATTCCCGACTGCTGCTGATGCTGCTGTGGTGGCTGCTGAGGCTGCTGCTGCTGCTGCTGCAGCTGCTGCAGCTGCTGCTGCGGCGGCGGCGGCGGCTGCGGCGGCTGCGGCGGCGGCTGCTCAGTTTCGCACGGTGGGGTATCATCCATGCGCTCGTCCCCAATGCACGGCACGCCCCCGTCGGGCTCTGGCAGCTTGTCGTCGGCGTACCCGCCGAGGCACGGCCAGCTGTCGTCCGCCAGCGAGCAACCGGCCGCTGTCACCACGTCGGCCTGCTGTGGCGACTCCGCGTGGGAGCTCTCCGACTCCGCCGTGCGGCTCGCTGCGCTCCGCGCCCCACAGTTTTGTCAAAACATTTAACATTTTCACCTTTTTCTGTTTTATTTGGTGCTCATTTGCCTCCCCCTGCTTCAAATGCGTTTATTTCTCTCGCATGCTGGAGGCAAAAAGCCCAGCAAAAAAAAAACGGCTGTCAAATAAAAACACTCCAATTAATATGAAATACGTTCAACTGCAAAGCACTGGGGTAGAAAATACAAGACCTTGCAGGCCCCATTTTTGTGAGCAGCCTTTTTCCAATTTTGTTAACGACTGCTTACATTCCGTAAAGCAGTCAGAGAAATGTATTTAGCACGAATATCACAATTGCTGAAACAACCCACAATGCGGCAATTATGCAACAAAACATATTTTTGCCCCCACATAGCGATGAAGGCCTCTGAACGAACGCTGGCTTACCCTCCGCATCCGAAGGCTCCTCCCTCTCGCCCCAGCCGTGCAGGGCCTCAAAGCTCGAGTCGTTGTGAACGTCTGCCTTCCCGGCGCCGTCGGGCCAGTGTCCGCTTGGCAACCCTGCGAACAATGCGGCGTGAGCAGCCGTCCCTCCGCCGGTACCGGGCCACGAGGCGAAGGGGCTGAAAGTGGGGCAAGTGTGGATCGGAAGACATCGCTGTACCCTGGTTCTCGGGCTGCGCCAGTTTCGGGGGGATCGACTGGAATGAAGATGTCACCGTGGCGCCGGTGCCGGCGCCAGCGCTGGGGAAACCCGTCTCATACCAGTTTGGTTCCCTCCGCACGCGCGTCTTTGCCTGCCCCAGCACCCGCCGGAAATTGCCGATGAAGTTCTACGAAAACAAGCGGAGGAGAGATGTAGGAAGGAGGCTGCCCGGTTGGCCCAAGAGGCAAGCACCATGCCGGAGTATTCAGCCGGCACCACTGAAATGCCGAGTACAAAGATCAAGCAGCCAGCTGTGATTAAAGCAGGTTCTGTAGCATACCGAGTTGATGGCTTCACAAACACCCATCGTATTTAATTAGGTTTTACACTTAATTTGGCTCACTGCATGTCTGGGAATTAAAACCTTAGGTTTGAGTCAAGTGAGACGAACACCTTTTGCAGGGCATACACAGGGTCTAGTGCCCCCGGCGTGCATTTAGAGGCCCATTGAAGTGGGCGTGAGAGGCAGCCTTGTGAAGTCATTGTCTTGGGTCACTCTCTGACACGAGGTGTCAGAGAATGACCCGAGGCAGAAGAGTGACCCCGCCTTTCTGTCGAGTGGTTATTTGACCAAAAATCACCATGCTGGTGAGTGCAACAGCCTTGGTGACGGTGGCTGGCTCGGGACCAGTTCAGATATCACTCGCAATCGATATTAACCGTGGCCGCTCACTTGATTCAGAGGCCGGTGGGGTTAACCCACCGCACGCACCCCCCGCTTGCATTGCAGTGCTCAATAAATGAAGGCGTGTAAATTATGAATACAAAGCGCCGACACACGTCCCCGCCGGTGCGTGCCGCTCACGTAAACGTGCTGGTAGGACATGCCGGCCCGCTCGGCCGCCTCGGCGATGAGAGCGTTGCCCTTCTCCTGCGTGCGCATGCCGCGGTACAGGTAGTAGTAGACGAGGACGCGGTTGTACTTGGGGAAGCGCTGCAGGTTCTTGACGTGCTGGAAGATCTCGCGCGGCTCCTCGCCGGCGGGCTCCTCCCCCCCGCCGCGCCTCTCGCCGGGCGGCGGGCACGGCGCCTGGGCGGCCGCGTTGCCCTCCGGCGCCCCCTCCCGGCCCTCGTCCACCGCACCTGACCCGCGGCAACGGGAGATTCAATTCACGGCGAGAGGAGACCCGCAGCCCCGACGCGTCTTGCGTCGTAGGCGTGTCCCTGGGTTGTGTCACCCAGGCTGCCCGACACGAGAGATATTGAACCGTGATGAACGAGAAAAAAATACTTCAAAAGTTGCTGTAAAGTGCACAATTACGCGTGCAAGTGCCCTAACTCAAGAGTGAATTTTGCACCGACCCCCGGAGTAATGAAGGACGAGGTTAACCCCTCCCCCCCAAAATGGGATTTGAACTTGCGACTTTTCCTATTGCGAGCCGTTCGCTTGACCGCCGAGTCACCTAATCGGTTACTATTGATGAATTCACGTGCGTGGGAGTGACGGCACAAAAATCTATAACGGCACGCCTAAAATTCATTTCAGCTTTTTTCTTTCTCTCATCAATGAAATCTTAACATCCCGAGGCACACCGAGGCCTGGCTAGTTACGCATCTACAAGATACACTCGGTCTTGGTTCACGCCTTCCTTTAACGTGCGCGCTCCCAACTCGACAAGCGGACACAACGATGCCTCCTGCGATGCGACGCGCAGAGTTCCATCATCACCATCGCCACCGCCTCATCGTCCGCACGACCAAAACCAAAAATGTGTCACAGAGCCGCTTTCAAACAGGCGTGCGAGTGGAGCACCGGGCTTGCGGGCGGCGTTGGAAGCCGACGGGGCTGGCGGAGGCCCCGACTGTGCCGAGTTGAGGCTAAGGTCCAGGCTGGCCAGCAGGTCCTCATCGCCATCCCACACTCGCGGGGGTCGCTGCTTCGACTCCCCCCTGGCGCGCCGGAAGTTCCCGATGAAGTTCTGAGTTGCAGTGGGCAGGGGCGGTGGGGGTTGGGAAGGGAAGGAGGTGCCGCGTCAGGGCACGGAGCCTTTGCAATTTGTGCGGAACGCACGTAGAGCTGTTAGGTCTTATTTTATAATGCTTTCCAACTGACATTGAAAGCGCTGACGCATTGGCTCTGTCCATCTTTCTCAAGCCGAGGTGGGGACTGTGGCTCGTGGTTGTGCTTGGTCATCTCGTGTGACTCGGAAACATCATTATGAGCGAAGATTAATACACTGCTGGTTGAAGACCTCCCCCAAGAAACCGACACCACCATCCCCACTGCGGCGTAACGGCCTCGACATCATGTCTGCGCATGCCGTGTGGTGTGTAGCGGCGCAGGCACTCACGTAGACGTGCCGGTAGGTGACCCCGGCGCTCATTGCGGCCTCAGCGATTAGCGGGTTGGCCTTCTCCTGCGTGCGCATGCCCTTGCACAGGTAGTAGTACACGAGGATGCGGTTGTACTTGGGGAACCGATCAAGCACCCTGAGGATCACACGCACACAACGACAAACCCCACTCAAAACTAGAAACTATGTTTATTTTACCAGGTAAGGCCCACTGAGCTATGTAGCTCTTTCTCAGAAGTGACAATGGCCACAAATGATAGGTCAACGAAGTGGCTTATCACGTGGAAATGTCTTGTAGCCAAATACTCTCAACGCATGGAGGGAAAAACTGGAGGAGAAACATGCAAACTAGAAATATAAAGGCGTCAGTCAGGGTGGGCATTGAACCGACGACCTACTGTATACCAGGAGAGCTAGTTAACATCTCGCAACTGTGGCGCCCACTCTTAGCTCTACAAAAGTTTACTCGGTAGAATGCAAACCTAAAGCGGTTAGGGTTGATAGAGGATTCACCGCTCACCGATTCACTCCAGTTACTCGCTCACCGGCGGTCAATCGCCTGCTTCATGACGGTAATTATTTGTTTTTGATACGGTGCCATCTTTTATACAGGGGCATCTTATAGCGGTTAACGTCACAACGCATCTCAAACATTTCCAAGGGCACCCTGAGTGGCAGCTGTCCCAAGGTGACTCGGCACTTGGCCTGTAAGTGGGCAATAGTCTGCCAGTAATGGGCGATGATTTCAATCCATAATCCCAATTGAGTAATTGCGGGACATTTTTATCATTTGGCAAATTTGGACCATGGCGCCGGCACACAATGGCCTACTCATGATATCACTATTACCGTGTGGTTACAGTTTCTATGAACTTCGCTGACGTTGTTGGCTAAGTAACTGCATCAGATGTTCACTGTAGGCATCTGCGTATGAGTGCAGGTGTAAGACGCAGTGAGTTTCTCACTTTGAGATGTCTTGAAGCTTTGGAATCACAGACAGGAATCTGGAAACAGATAGGCTTACAGAGTTAAATCTAAATTTATGTATGTATGTTGAACTTCTTTCACACCGTACGTAGCCAACTGTGCTAATCGGAGGTGCGGGGGAAGAACAACAAACGAAACACAGGATAAATTGTGTTCAATGATATTTTTCCAACATATGGGTGCAATGCATTAAAACTATAAAAATGGGATAACTTACTTTTCTGCGCCTCCAGTGGCTTGGCCCTGAAAAAAAGATTTTTTTTTTTACTATTGTTTATCCAAGAAAGTCCCAAGATACTTACAGGAGGGGGGAAAATACTGCGATGTATAATCCCAAATGAGTAATTTGTAGGTTATTTTTCAGCATGTGAATGTTTAGGCAATACCAGCTACATTAAAACTGGAGAACCTGGAGAAAAGCGATGCACAGAACAGGGGGAGAGCACACAAACTCCACGCAGAAAGGTGCCGAGTCAGGAATCGAACCCAGGCCCCTTGTTGCTGTGAGGCACGATTGTCACCACTGCGCTCACCCAGCCACCCAAACATCAAGCGACATCCGTAAATACTCGCTTGCCATCCTGAGCGCCTGGTATCTATCAAAGCTTCGCAAGACTTACGGAAACATCGAAGTATGAACAAATACGAATAGGTTTTACCCTTTCTAGCAATAAAACAGGTGTGAGGATGTTCAAACTCCAAATAGAAATGTTTTGCAAGGAACCACGTTTGCATTAAACATACGTACTTGTGGTGAACATGCAAAAAACATGCTCTTGATAATCTGGTATTTTCTTTGAAACTGATTGGCCTACATCAGAGAAAGCCTTCTTTAGGGCCTAGTCTCACCAATGTCAGACCAGAGAACGCCAAAAGGCGAACAGTGTTTGAACATCTTAACAGCTCTTGTTTTACTGTCAGAAAAGGTAAAACCTATTATTATTTTTTCAAACTGTGATATTAGCAAAAAGGTCCCATTTGGAAACATTGAACTTCAAAATATAACTCTCATTGTGTAGATGCATACCTAGATTGTGTCTCTCCGCATGCCCCGCATACATTAAGTGTTAGGCGATAAGCGACATTTTAAAATCCCCAACTAAGTTTCTATGTGTTTTTACGTCAATGAAATTACATCATGCGAGCAAACACATGTCGACGTGCCAGACCGCAACTTGGCTAATTACTCGTGAATGAAGATTTAAACCAACGCCTCTCAACCCCGTGGGTCTTTCGATCGCGGCTGTAGGCTGCGGCCTGGGCACCCTGCCGGGGGAAATTTCAAACGTGCGCGCGGAATGTCAGCGTCACGCTGCGGTGACAAAACGCACAAACACAACGCAGAACAAATACCTTCGGAACATCGTGTTCACTAGAGACGTGGACATGTGGTCTCTCTCTTTGTGGTGTGGCCCAAATAACCCAAAAGGGGTGGGGGCCAAGGAGGCTGGGGGGGGGGGTGTAACAAGGCCCCTGCGGTTTTGATGGGACAGGGGGGGGAACCAACCGTTGAGGACAACGGTTTTAAACTATAAACTATTTTTATTTTACCAGATAAGGCTCATATAGCTCTTTTTCAGAAGCGACCTGGCCACAAATAGGTCAACAAAGTGGCTTATCACGTGGACATTTATAGCAACCAGATACTCTAAAGCAGCAGTCCCCAACCTTTTTGGCACCAGGGACTGGTTTCATGGAAGACAATTTTTTCACGGACCGGGGGGGGGGGGGGGGGTAGGGTTCATCATTGGGTCTCTCCCTTTTCAAAGAAGCTCTCCAGCGACGTTTGTTTTTTACTCATTTTGGCTACTAGGAGTTAGCTTGTGGGCTTACCAACACTGACTGAGACAAGTGCGCAGTGCGGGAAAGAGGCGCGGACTAAAATAAGTGTCGGATTCTGACTTCTCATAAGGAGCGCACAACCTAGATCCCTCGCAGTAGGGTTCGCGCTCCTATGAGAATCTAATGCCGCCGCTGATCTGACAGGAGGTGGAGCTCAGATGGTAATGCGAGCGATGAGGAGCGGCTGTAAATACAGATGAAGCTTCACTCGCTCACCCACCGCTCACCTCCTGCTGTGTGTCCCCGGTTCCTAACAGGCCACGGACCAGTACCGGTCCGCGGCCCGGGGGTTGGGGACCCCTGCTCTAAAGGCGTGTTTCTAAATGCGGAGGGAAAAACCGGAGGACCCGCATAAAAAGCCACACGACCAAAGGGAGAACATGCAAACCCCAAATATACAGCGGGCGTCAGGGTCGGGATCGAACCAACAGCCTCCTGTATACCAGGCGAGGTTGTTAACATCCCATCACCGTGGCGCCCAACTCATGCCGCACAACCCGGGTACCACAGGGCGGCACGCGTCTTAGTCTACAGCAGTGGCTCTCAAGAGTGCGGTCCACAGATCACCGGTGGTCCACGACGGTCCTCCAGGTGGTTCCCGGTGGCTGTGATGCAAATGCAGCTTGATCCGGAAATAATGACAATGTTTATATTTAATTAACAAAAAATGCAGTTAGGTAAACTACCCTGATTAAACTACCCTAAACCTAAGCTGTAAATGCACCCGCTAAAAATAAACCTTAGAGCTGCGTAAATTTGTTTTAATTCCGGTAATATGAACAGTTTTGTATGACTGCTATTTAGAGAGATAAGTGAATGCACCAGGGGTGACAGGCTGGGTGGTCCGCAGAAATGTTTGCATCGGCCAAGTGCTCCGCGGGGTCATCACAAGTTTGAGGAACGCCGCTCTACAGAATAAGCGGCGCTTTGTTTTCTGGGCTGCGCCTTGCTCTGGACTTGCACGGCTAACCTCCCCCCACTGTGTGCCACGGGGATGCCGGCAGGCGAGGGCGCACACCGTACCCACCTCGTCCTGGGACACCTCGCCCGAGTCCAGCACGTCTGGGCCCTGGTACCAGAGCTGCTGCTGGTCGCACGCAGGGCTGGCCGCTCCGCCAGGGTCTGCGCCAAACACGCGCACAAATACAAAGGTGCCCTGTATAGCCTTAATAGACTGCTGGGGCAAGCGCTGTTAGCGAGTAGCACCTTTGAAGGCCGGCATGGCACGCGAGGGGGTGTGTGGCCAGCAACACGCCCGGCCGCCTTTGTCTCTTGAGTGGCGATGTTTACACACCGCACCAGGTTCTCATTTGAGGCCGAGTCGGCCTAGGGGAGACCCAGGACCAGTTCAGATAACCGTCACTGGTATTGGCCATGAGAGGGAATCGAATTAGGGTCATCGGGTTCGTAGCGCAGCGCGCTAATCGCTACACTAACCGCTCCCTACAAGCACACAGGCGCGCACACACGCACCATGAAACAAAGCAGGCTCCTATACCCTTGTCCATGTCCCCATACAATCGTCACTCAACACGCCCGTCACCATTCATCTCAGCTTATGCTTCACATAACCCAGGTAAACCGAACGGCATTAAATAACCCATGTTTTTTTTGCGGAGCTACTTCTGGCTACGCACATGAAATATGACGCTTGTACATTTTGTGTGAGCACAACCCTTTTCCTGATAATTACAAGACCCCTTATGGCTACAAAACCAGCTATGCAGCTTAGCAATGACAATGCACAGATTTATACAGCCTTCTGAAAAGATTGGTAACAAAAAACTTTCAAAACAAATATTTATTGAACAGAGCAACGTCGTCACGCTTCGCAGCAGTGCGTGTGCTGCAACACTCCGGCGCGGGTCATAAGCATGCACACCTAACGCACGCGTCTGTGCCGTTTCTTTGCCGCACATTTCTTCGTGCAGTTGATTCCCCAAACAAAACGGAAGTCCTCTTCATGGACCGGCCTGTCAGCTTGTTCGTTTGCTCGCGAATATGAATCTAACGGTTTTTTTTTTTTTGTAAATCACCGAGCTACGACTCTAATTTCGAGCGGGAACAGATGCTCCGTGCCAGCCAGGGAGGGGTATACGGCTCACCCGCAGCGTCGCTCTGGTTGTACGTTCCGTCGCACGCAATTTCCACCTTCAGCCAGTCGACGTCTAGGCCCTGCCCGTCTTGCTCACAGAGCACTGCCGACGGGTTTCCGGGCAGGCACGGCTCCCTGACTGTCCGGGGAGGTAGGAGAACACGGTAGGTAGGAGAACACGGCATTGGGGGTCAACGCCTGCCTACTCGCAGCCGGCGTGGTCATTCAACGACTTCTCAGATGCCCAGCCCCGCGTGTCCATTCTAATGGTAATGCAATTTGCACAGCTGCACCACTCTCAGTTTAACTGTCACAGCGACACATGTTTGACATTCTGTTTAAATCTTATTCCATTTTTTGTTCCATTTGTGCTAAGGCCGTCACGTCACGAGCATTGTGAACTCGCAAAGAGCAGTAGCAAACCCCGTGTATTAGAGAACAGTCCGCAGAAGCAGACTTCATAGAGCTTCTTCCGATATCCCTGCAAGCGACCTTTTGTTATCCACACGCAAGTGGGCACTTTTATTCCCATATTCACCGACAAAGGGAGAACCTGCTACAATAAAAACCAACGTTTTAAATTCTAAAAAGCTGAAATTTTGCCCAAACTAAGTGACGAACCAAGTGCCAATGTGACGTTTTGTTCTTGTACAGTCATTTGTGACCGGGTTGACATCGTAAACTGGCGACACTTGAGAACACAGTTTTGTTCATGGGTAGCCGAAATCCGCATTCAATGGGACCCAGGATCTCAGCAGTGGCGGCCAGGAGCTCTGAGCCCCGAGCAACCCAGCCACCCCACCCTCACCTTCCTCTGACTTGACAGGGACGGTCGACCAAGCCTCCGACTTGATGTGAAGCTGCGAGTCTTGGCTCTGTCGCGAGTCGGACGGACGGCGCTCTGTCCTGTCCTCCATGGCTGATAGGAGACAACGGTCGACGGGGGAAGACTGTGAATAAACATCGCTCTGGCTGGGGCACTTGGTGGAACTGACGACAGTAGGAATACGATATCACTGACCGTGTTACGATTGACCAGCAGGAATAAGTGCATTTTAATTGATTAAATAGACTGTATCACAGTTGACATCGTCTCTCCCGTGCCTTGTAAACAGCAAAAAGCAGTCTCTTTGTTACCATATTACACATATCAGAGCTACAATTGATGCCAAGGCCAGCTGCTGCCCACGAACATCTGATTGTACACAACAGACAATGCTCACAATCACGGTCCCTTGAATTCAAATATATTATACGAACAAAAAATGTGCACGGCGCTTTTTTTTCCCCCCTCTCCCCATTATGTTTCCAAGTTAATGGGAAAATACTCGAAAATTGTGCAGAATGGACTAGTAAGGGCATTCACACACCACCCTGAGCAACTCTAGGGGTCACATAAAGGCAGCGCTCCCTCCGATTACAGCACTGTACTAATCACCGCGTGCGGAATAAACGGGCACGGCACTCGCGGCAAGCGACCACGTCGCCCGTGCAGCAGGGACAATTATTGGCCCAGTGTGTGCATACAACAGCCCATACTTAAGGCTCAATTTGTTATAAACACGGACGTTTAAGAGGGGATGTGACCGGAATACAATATGGACAGTGGCTGGTATTGGACCTTAGGCACATACGTTGCGCTGAATGCACGTGCAGGGTCGCCGTGTGCATTGTGTATAACTCAATGGAGATTACGAAAAAAAAGTAATGGATTTATGGTTTTTAATTGTCGAATGTATTCGAGGGAAAAGTGAACATTTGTAGTTTTACATGTGCTCTTTAAAGAGATGATTGTATTCTTTGTTCGTAAACTACGAGCTGTGCGATTCACAGCTGTTTCTGAACAACAGCAACATAACGTGAAGTTTTCTCCTTCAACACGTGGTTAAATAAGGGACGTCAAGACACACACGAGACACATGCAACAGGTGCCATTCGCGACGAAGTGGCATCGACTGAACCACAGCGTTGCTGCCAGGCGAGGTGCCCTTCGATGTTACCTGGAGAAGTGAAGACTTGCTAAAGGTCACAGAACAGGACCATGTGTCAAACAAAGATTAATATCCCCCGTGTAGCCTTAACAGACTGTTGGGGCAAGTGCTGTTAGCGAGCACCTATGAAGGCCGGCACAGCACACGAGGGTTGGGTGGCTAACACCACGCCCAGCCGCCTTTGTCTCAGTGGCGATGTTTACACATCGCACCAGGTACTCATTTGAGGCCGAGTCGACCTAGGGGCGGCCCAGAACCGGTTCAAATAATCATCACTGGTGTTGGCCGTGAGCGGGAATCAAACCCGCGTCGCCAGGTTCGTAGCACAGCGCTCTAAACGTGACACTACCGCTCCCCACATGCACGTCAAACACGCATGTATACAGATACATACAGTACATCAACAAAGATCCCCCACATAGCCTTTACAGACTGTTGGGGCAAGTGTTGTTTGCGAGTAATAATACACAGACGCATACATCATACCCTTACATGAACGCATATGGAACAAACTAAAACAAATTACATGTTGGTGACCCTGAGTCATGTAAATGAGACTACCCTCGTCTCTTCCGTGTTCTCAGCTGTTTAAACAAAATAAACATTAAACTTGGAAACTATAATAAACTTGAAGCTAAGGAATGCCCGTCGACTGAAAAAAAAAACCTCATAGCTCAGTGAGCTTTACCTGGTCAAATAAACGTAGTCGAGTTTTAGTATATTTATTTATTCAGTAATTTGCTTACCTTTCATATACTTTGCACTGGTATCGTTTATTTATGTATTGTTTGTTGTAACTTTCTAACCCCGCCCCTACTGGACATTTTTTAAAAAAAGAGCTTCACAGCTCATCAGATTTCTCCAGGATAAATAAAGATTGAAATTCTATAATGAAGGGAATCTGAATCTTTATTTATCCTGGAGAAATCCGCTGAGCATTGAAGCTCTTTTTCACAGAAGTCCAGTAGGGGCGGATCAGGAAATGGAATGGTAGCAACATCTTTTAAACCCCTCACACTGACATGAAACCCCAACACTGTACAAGAAGGAACAACATTAATGTACGCGTTAAAGGGTTAACAGGGAATTATGCGCAGCCGTGTTTTGTGGAATGACAGGGCTGGATTGCAACAAAAAAGAAGTAAAACCAGACAAGGATTTACGAATTCATAATAAAGGTTTGTGGGTTAGATCGCGTTATTTATGAATGTGTTGCAACCCTCCACCACCCGACATGGCCAATCAATACAAAATTTGTCACCTTGACAAAAGACAAATATTTCACTACTTTAGCGCACCGGTGTGTTGAAAAGATTACAGCTCATATCAGAAGCCTCCTTACCCCCAATGGTGCGGGGGTTGACTTAACTCACAAAACCAAAGTGGAATGATTTGGAAGAGCAGCTGTTTTCTATGGCATGACAGGCCGAGAATACCGCATGAAGATTAAACAGCCGCCATTCCCCACCAAGCGACGGCCAGGATAGGTGCACGTTTAAGGCCACATGAAGGGTCAAAGGTTCGCTGGCAGGAGGTCATAGGCCGGACCCCCCCCCCCCCAAGGTGCAGCGCGTGAGCCGAGAAGACCGAGGTATGCACCGCCTGTACTCCCCCACTGGGCCACCTGCCACTTCGCCGCCAGGCGCTCCGCTCGTTGTGGCCCGCGTCGCTGTCAAGACGAAGATTCACAATTTCGCGCACCACCGTAGGTTAAGTGAGGCTATTGGGCAAGTGCTGTCAGCGAGCCTCTATTAAGGCCAACAGTATCCGCAAAAGTGCACCTAGCCAGGCACTGCCCAGTAGCGCCCTTCACGAGCTGTTTCCACCAAGGTCGACCTTGACCGCCACTGGTAGAGCAGTCATTGTGAAGTTGAATCGGCTCCCAAAGCCTGGCGTGCCACATCCAGCCCGTGAAACTCGCATTCACTCGCATTCACCCCCCACAATCACTCGCAACACGGATCAGCCAGCTCGCATCTCTCTATGCCGCCGCCCGTTTATCTACCCTTTCTATCAGGAACACAACACACACACACAAGACAAAGGTAAGACAAAGAACCCCCCTCTCACCTTTAACAGACTATTATTAGAGTAAAGTGCCGCTCGCGAGTCCCAATGAAGGTCGACTAAGCACACGAGAGGGAATGGGTGACCAACGCAACACCCGTCCGCCTTTGTCTCCCCGGCGTTGTTGACGTTTAACACACCGGGGTTACATTTTATTTAAAGCTTTCGTGACTGAGGGATTCACATTCTTGGTTCTTTCGGTAAAGTCACGTAAAGGGAAACAATGAAATAATAAAAATATAAAACAATAAAATTATCACGACGTTTCGACTGCAACACAAGCAATCATCATCAGGTGTGAAAACCACAGCAAGAAAATTTGAAAAAAGTGGCAGGTTTTTTAACGTAAGCACCACGGAGAGCGATTTGACAGTTAGTTCAGATGGACGAGTCCATCTATGTTCGAAAAAGAGGAGTTGTACACCCCTAGCTGCCACTGCTATTCAGCGGCCTAAAATATGGCTCTAGATTTTGGTGTTATAATTTATTTATGTAGTTTATTGTTACAAATTCGGTCACAGTCCCTATGATCACTGTTACATTGCATTTATTTATTTTTGTGATTTCGAAAACTTTTTTTGTGTGTTTTGGCCATGTTTTTGTTTATTGTAGTACGGAGTTAGACTGATGGCCTTAATCTTAGTTGTCTTGTTATTTGACTTGCATCCAACTGGGATTTTTGCACACAGCGTTGGTGTATTTCAGGAATATTTTGATGTTTTTTTTTCCTGGATTTTCTGTTTGCAGTCACATAATCACTTTAAGATGTTTTCGTGTTCATGTTTTGGTTTGTTGCGGTTGCACCCGATTCAAGAGCCGAATGGCTCACAGGGCTATACCAAATAAATGAACTATGGAACTATGGTTACTCATCATAGGCCGAGTCCACCCAAGGAGAGGCCCGGAACCGTTCAAATCTCTCCCGCCGCGGTTGTTTGGTCGCGAGGTTGAACTCGGGGCTATCCGCCGTGTCGAGGCGTCGCGGTGCAGTGCTAACCGCTGCGCCACCGCTCCCCACAACACCAAAGATCTCCCGTGTAGCCTTAACAGACTGTTGGGGAAAGTGCTGTTAGCGAGCACCTATAAAGGCCGGCACAGCACACGAGGGGGTGGGTGGCCAACACCACGCCCGGCCGCCTTTGTCTCCCCAGTGGCGATGTGTACGCACCGCACGAGGTACTCATTTGAGGTTGAGTCGACCTAGGGGAGGCCCAAGACCGGTTCAGATAATCGTCACCGGTGGTGGCCGTGAGCGGGAATCGAACTCGGCTCGCCGGGTTCGTAGCGCAGCGTAGCGCTAACCACTACACTACCGCTCCCCACAACACCGTACAGTAACACACAACACAATCTAGCTGCTGTCAGCCTGATGATGCCGGTTGTAGTTACTGGCGAAACGTCGTACTCGGATTGTGAATGGTTTGGCTTTGCTCTCCAACACAACCGGTGGTGCTGTACTAGTGACGAATTGGCATGTTCTGTTTACGTAACACCCCTTACTAATTGACCTGTGTCGGGTGGTGGCGAGTTTAACGACACATTTATATTTACGCGATCTGACCCAAATAGCCTGTAACTATGTGGTGTTAAACACACGACACACTCGCCCACACACACTCGCCTACACGACAAACTCGCCCACACACACACGACACACTCGCCTACACACACACAGACACAATCGCCACACTCGCCTACACACACACACTACACACTCGCCTACACACACACGACACACTCGCCTACACACGACACACTCACCTACACACGCACACAACACACTCACCTACACACAACACACTCACCTACACGACACACACGACACACTCACCTACACACACACAGACACAATCGCCACACTCGCCTACACACACACACTACACACTCGCCTACACACACACGACACACTCGCCTACACACGACACACTCACCTACACACGCACACAACACACTCACCTACACGACACACACGACACACTCACCTACACACAAACGACACACTCGCCTACACACACACACGACACACTCACCTACACACAACACACTCACCTACACGACACACTCACCTACACACACACACTCACCTACACACACACGACACACTCACCTACACACACACGACACACTCACCTACACACACACGACACACTCACCTACACACACACTCACCTACACACGACACACTCACCTACACACGACACACTCACCTACACACACACACACACTCACCTACACACACACACACCTACACACGACACACACCTACACGACACACACACTCACCTACACACACACACAACACACTCACCTACACACACAAACACACAAACACACGACACCACTCACCTACACGCACACTCACCTACACACACGACACACTCACCTACACACGACACACTCACCTACACACGACACACTCACCTACACGCACACTCACCTACACACGACACACTCACCTACACACACACGACACACTCACCTACACACACACACTCACCTACACACACACTGTTGTGGAGGAGAGGGGGGTGGGAGCTCACAAAACACGGGGCCGCGAATCGCCATTCGACGGCGTCGACCCCGAGGCCAGGCAGGGCCGCACCCACCCCGCGGTGCCGCCGGCAGCACAAAGCGCGGGCCGACAAACCCGGGGGGGGAGTGGTTGGGGTGACACAACAACAACAACGACAACAACAACAACGACGACAACAACGACGACGACGACGCGCCCGAGGCCAGCGGCCTCAAGTTGACGACAATGCCCGCGATGCACGGGCAGGGCGGCGGGGAGGGGCAGCTCGCTCCACCATTCCCACCAGCGCCACGGGGCGCGCGACACAAACACGTCCACGTGTCTACTCGCCTCTTAGAGACAGAGAGACAGAGACGGAGAGAGAGACACGGGAGAGTCGCCGACTCGTTACCTGCAGCAGCGAGCGGCCACTCTCGACGCGGCCGCGAGCGGCGAGGTAAATAATAAATAAATAACACTCGCGGGAGGCCCCCCGCCGGAAGTTGCGGAGCGTTTGCCCCCCCCCCCACACACCACCGATTGGAAACTCGCCGCAACGCGCCTCGATTTTTCGTTCCGGGTTCCGAGGGGGTTTCCTTCACACGGACCACGTGCGTCGATGACGCCACGCCCTCGTGTTTGTGTGTACGTGTGTTAATTCCATCCAAAAAGTAACCTGCAGCGCCACACCCATTACCATCATTTGGGGGGGGGGGGAAAAACCGGTGTTCCAATCTCCGACCCCCAGGAACAGGTTTGCAGATTTTGCTGAGCATTTCTGTGAGGTCCTGGGGGAGGGGAAACCCCTCAGCCAGGAAAACATCGTGGCACAAAGTGGGGGATGACCCTGCTGAGGCTGCGGTGCCTCAAATATTGGAAGGAGTCACCCCCTGTGAGTGGCTGGCTGAGGTGCCATCTGTTGAGGAAGTACTGAAGGCGATCCGGAGTCTGAGACCAGGAAAGGCAGCGGGCAGAGATGATCTCCCAAGCGAAATGCTGAGGGAGGGTGGCGTTTGTGCACAGACTGCCCTATATGACATCATAACAACAGTCTGGACCACTGGACGGGTTCCGCAGGATTGGAAGGATGCTCTGGTGTTCTCCCTCTTTAAGAAGGGGGACCGCACAGACTGTAACAACTACAGGGGTCCTGGCAAGGATTATTCAACATCGCCTTGCCAGGCACGCTGAGGAGAGGCTTGGGGAGCCCCAATGCGGTTTCAGGATAGGGCGGTCCTGCACAGATGCCATATTTTCTGTCCGTCTGCTACAGCAGAGGTGTAGGGAATTCCAACAAGACCTACATATCTGCTTTATTTACCTGGTCATTGCCTATGATACCATCAGTAGGCCTGGGCTCTGGGTTCTTCGTGCTTTTGGAGTCCCTGACCCTCTGCTCACGATCATTAAGGACCTTCATGATGGCTAGCAGGCCCGGGTAAAATTGCGTGGCCGGGAGTCAGAGCCATTCCCTGTACACCTCGGGGTGCGACAGGGATGTCCTCTAGGTTCCCACATTATTTAACATCTATTTTGACCACGTAGTTCGTGAAGCCTTCAATAGCTGTACCGGGGGAATCTCCATATGGTACAGATATAATGGGAGGCTGATCGATGCCCGGGTGCGGTCAAGGGATGGCTCCCTATTGCTCAACCACGTTATGTATGCCGATGATTTGGTAATAGCTGCTCATTCAGAGGAGGAGTTGGAGACGCTGCTGCTGAGACTGGAGCGTGCCACTAAGAGGTGGGGCCTTACCATCAGCCCCACCAAAACTAAGCACCTGCTTTGGTATTTTGAACCATTGGACACTCCACCCCCACAACTCCCATCGGTGATGGGGCAGTTGTGGAGAGAGTGGAGAGTTTCCCATACCTGGGCAGTGTGCTTATGTACTGGCTCCAGTTTAACAGCAGAGGTCTCACTCCGAATCAGTCGAGTGGCAATATCTTTTCATCGGTTGCGTAACGCTGTGTGGAAGCTACCTGGTCTGTTGCTCCGCACTAAGCTTCAGGTCTTCTCGGCCACGGTCATTCCCTTCTACGCTGCGAAACGTGGACCCCCCTAATGGAACATCTTCGCTGGGTCGAAAACATTTAGGCTGGCCTGCCTACGATCCATCCTGGGTTTAACCAGGCTGAATTGTGTGAGGAGCTCACAAATCCTTGAAAGATCTGGGCAAGGTCCCATCGGTGAGCTCCTTCCGGCAGGCAAGGCTGCAGTCGGCTGGGTCATGTAGCCCGCATGCCCAGCCACCGCATGCCGAAACAGCTTTTGTTCGGCCGGATCGAGGGGGCTAAACGGGCGCGGCACGGGCTAGAGAAGAGATGGAGTGATGTGGTACAGGAGGACGTGGAGCTGAGTGGACTTGCCGATGACTGGTACCAGCGGTGTCAAGATCGGCCTCTGTGGAGGAGGCTCGTGAAGGAACGCTACTGGGCAGTTGGAGGCAGTCGCCCTCCAACAACAACGGAGGGCGGAGGAGCGACGCTCACAAACGAGCGGAGCGCCGGGTGGCTAAAGCACAGCAGGTTGGCACAGTAGGGGGCACAGGTGGTGCATCAGCCAGTCATCTCAGTCATCTTAGTCAGTCGACCCGTGGCACCTGGGTCTGCCCCGTGACCTGCCAGCGGGCGTTCGGCACTTCACGTGGCCTCAAGGTGCACATGGCCTGGCACAAGCGTCGTGGTGACGTCACCACCACTTAGTGGCGAATGGCGGTTGTTGTTGTTTGTGGGGAGCGATAGTGTATCGGTCAGCGCTACGCTGCGCTACGAAGCTGGCCACCCGGGTTCGATTCCCGCTCACGGCCAACACCAGTGACGATTATCGGAACTGGTCCTGGGCCTCCCCTAGGTCGACTCAGCCTCAAATGAGTACCTGCTGTGAAGTATGAGAATCGCCACTTGGGAGACAAAGGCGGCCGGGCGTGGTGCTGGCCACACACCCCCTCGCGTAAGTGCTCACTAACAGCACTTGCCTCTACAGTCTGTTCATGGCTATACGGGGGATCTTTGTATTTTGTGTGTGGCAGTACTGTGCCAATTGGCACAGTGGGGAAGGGGGGAGCTACAGCTGCTGGTGCATCTCGCGGTCATCTCAGTCCACCCGTGACACCTGCTGGGGATGTCCCGAGACCTCCTGTCGGCGAGCATTGGTATTGGTGGCAGTACCAGACGACGTTTCGGGCAATGGCCCTTCTTTATTACAACATGCGTGGCCTTCACCCACAGCACGCACATGCGCTATGGCGAAGGGCTATTGCCAGAATCGTCGCCTGGTACTGTATAATATATATTTAAAGACCACACTGCGTTGTTATTCACCCACGTGTTGAGTGTCTCACAGAAACAGTAGATATATCGTAGGCGACATTGCACGGACGCCACATGAGTAGTTTTTGACACGTCAGATGCAGCGCTCGTGGTGGGAAATCAAAAGTGCACACGCAACGGATTAATCAAAGATCTATCGACGTTATATTCTGTGTTTTTGGCGTTCTTGCTTATTTCGCGCAGAGAGCAATGTAAACATTCAGCATGAATCTTTATTAGCCCGTTAGATCATGAATGATCAGTCTCTAAAATTGCAAAACATCTCCACGTGGAAAGGCAGAAGGGCTGCTGCTGTTCGTTGCAGGGCCCGCACACGAAACGTTACCTCTCCATGATATGGTAGTAATAGAGTGGTTTCTAATCTTAGAGATATAACAACGGGCCACCCCAGGCTGCTGCTGCTGCTGCTTTTGAAGAGTCAACACTGCCGCGATCTTAAGTCTACAAAATAAGCCGGACATTTGTTTATATTTTGTAATGCGATGTTGTCGGAGGGCGGCAGCGTGATGGAGACCCACGTGTGGTCTCAGAAAAACAAACTCCTGGGTTTGATTCCCGACTCGGGCGCCTTTCTGTGTGGACCATAACCACAAATCTGTCTGTCGCCTGATGAAGCTAGTTGCAATAACTGGCGAAACGTTGTACTCAGATGTACAAATCCACAACATTTACATGTTGTAAATGTTGTGGATTTGCTCTCCAACACCGATTTGCTCTCAAACACCGGTGTGTTGGAGAGCAAATCCACAATATATTGTAAATATATTTATATATTGTAAATATATATTCACAATATATTGTATTGTGAATAATTTATATTGTATATATTGTAAATGTGGTTGTATATATATACAATACATTTTAATGTTGTGGGTATAGTATTTATATACAATATATATTTACGCGATCTAACCTAAAAAAGCCTATATTATGGATATTGTCCTCTTGGGTCTTTACCGAAAGAACCAACGAGTATGGATTCCTGCAGTCACGAAAGCTTCAAATCAAGATTATGGATATTGGTCACGAAAGCCTTCGTGTTAAATGTTTCTGTATGGGGTTCGCATTGTCTCCCCCTGGTCTGCACGGCTGTCCTCCGGGATTCTCCAGTTTCCTCCCATAGACTCGAACAGAAATACGAAATCACGGCACCACGGCGATACACTTCCTTGCGGGCCGTCATGCGGATCGTGGTTATTGAAACTCCACACAGACATAAAAGGGTCTTCTTCTGTTTGTGAATTGAGGCTGCATGCGGGTTGTGTGCCAGTTGTGTCCGTGCGAGTTATCCCTGAGTTGTGTGTCCGTTTTAAGTTTTTGCATCCGTGAGTTGTGTCCGTGTGAGTTGTGTGTGCGAGTTGTGTGTCCGTGTGAGTTGTGTGTCCGTGTGAGTTGTGTGTCAGTGTGAGTTGCGTGTCAGTGTGAGTTGTGTGTGCGAGTTGTGTGTCAGTGTGAGTTGTGTCCGTGTGAGTTGTGTGTCAGTGTGAGTTGTGTGTGCGAGTTGTGTATCCGTGAGTTGTGTGTCAGTGCGAGTTGTGTGTCAGTGTGAGTTGTGTGTGCGAGTTGTGTGTCAGTGTGAGTTGTGTGTGTGAGTTGTGTCCGTGTGAGTGTGTGTGAGTTGTGTGTGTGAGTTGTGTCCGTGTGAGTTGTGTGTGCGAGTTGTGTGTCCGTGTGAGTTGTGTGTGCGAGTTGTGTGTCCGTGTGAGTTGTGTGTCAGTGTGAGTTGTGTGTGTGAGTTGTGTCCGTGTGAGTTGTGTGTCAGTGTGAGTTGTGTGTCCGTGTGAGTTGTGTATGTGAGTCGTGTGTCCGTGTGAGTTGTGTGTGAGTTGTGTGTCAGTGTGAGTTGTGTGTCCGTGTGAGTTGTGCGAGTCGTGTGTCCGTGTGAGTTGTGTGTGAGTTGTGTGTCCCTGTGAGTTGTTAGTGCGTTGGTGCGATCATTGCCTGGGGCTGCAATGCGTGTTCCATGCACGATGCATGAGAATTGACATCCACGTAACTGGAATTATTTGCCCAATGTTCTTTCGCTAAATAAATTCCCTTAAATGTTGAGAACAGGAGCCGAGTGTAACGTGAACTTAAAAGGCACGTTGATGGTAAAGCAAGTCATTAAGTTTGTGATAAAAACACAAAAAAACACAACGCGAGATTTGCATTTTCCCAAGCACTAGAGTTTATTTCGTTCTCAACGCGTGACCAACTGACGATGCCACCCCGGCGGTACAAACCCAAGTTTGTTACAGAAGTAAAACACCAGGCACGTGCTTACGGAGGCATCTTGCCACAGACATCCCACAGTGCAACAACAACCATCTTCTACCCGCCCTAATTAATATCAGGACATGAGGCAGCTGTATTCTTACTCCTGTTGAAAACCTACTGTTGGTAACATCTTTGATTCAACAAAACCCACACTTTCGTCGGTACGAGTGATCGAACAGGATATATATTTTTCACACCAGATGTTAAACGAGTGTTCACCGAAGCAAACATCAAATGTCCAAGCCATGTCACATTGCCATAGTTACATTAAACCTAACAGCTTGTCGATATGAAACGTCTGTTCCGATTCCGAGCGACTGAGATTGACAACCTTTATCAGGGCGGTGGGGTTGCTGTGTGAATTTAAGCAAAATAATCCTAGACAAAGAACCCGGACTTTCCAGTTCAAAACCTTGCTGTTTCTGTGACCCTCGAAGCCACCGCACTGGGGAGTCGCATTTGTAAACCACGCCAATGAGTTGAACGGCGATAATTCAAACGAGTGCACAATTGTGACGTTGGCCGTGCAAACAATAATCTCGTGGGACCAAAGTACGATCCATAATTGCTGCACTGAATTTGGTGAGGACATCAGTTCAACAATTGGACCCATGTGTTCGACACTAAAATCCTGCCTGCACGTAGCCACATGTTTACTATCGTAATTACGGTTTTATAATAAACATGGTGCTTGCGCAAAACATGACCAATTTCACAATGTTGAAAACACAAAACTAGACCACGGGATCAATTAAATTACGTAGTACAGTACAAACGTATGTCATTATGCTGGGAATTAAGTGCTGTAAGTGCCTGGGAGTGGTGAATGCTCATTTAAATGGTTTGAATCAAACTCACTCCAGCAAACCAAACAGTGCAATTGTCTTAGACTCTTAGAGCACACATTAGCAACACTATGAAAGCATTTTAACGTAAGGATATTTTGTTACTTTTTTTTTTAACTGCCAACAGTTGTGTCTCGTGTCTCTTCACAACCTAGTCTCGTACCCCCCCCCCCCCCCAATTCCACTCGCCCATCTAAGCCACACCAATGCGGGGCCCTTATAATTATGGGTGGTGTTCCACTGGCGATTTGCCAAGTCCACACAACCCATGAAACTCAGGCCTCGAAAGACATCTCTATCTGGCTTGGGAGCCAAGCCGGGCCGCGGGGAGAGAGAGAGAGTTTGTTATTCACTTTCCTCATTGCGTATTTTGATGTCCGTGGCACGGCTTGGGTTCTGCAATGGGGGGGAAAAAAGTGGTGCCTACTGACCCGTCATTGGCGCTGGCATGGCTCTGACAGAGCTGAAGCCATTTTGGGGTGATTGCTATGGATGGGGGGCACGCCAGCAGTGTCGACGACGCACACAAACTACCTCGACCAAAAACATTTCGTAACAAAGCTGTGGGCAGGTTTGCAAATCTGAGCGCGACGCTGAGACCCAAACTCTTAAGTTTCCGAGTGGCGTCGCTGGACATCTGACATCCACATTGCAGCAGGCAGCGAGCACACTTTGGTGTTTGCATGCTGAAGATACCATGCGGCTGTAGGAATCGAAACCGCTGACTCTAATTACCTTGACGGTGGCGAAAGCGTGTTGTCTGGAGGTCGAAATGAGAAGACATTTTCAAAATGCAGCTGGCCCTGCGGCATTTTGAATAGGCAATCAATATTTGACCCATGAAGTTCATCGGTGTTGTTGTCTAAAACAAAGAATTTTAATTTTACGAGATAAGGCCCACTGAGCTATCTAGCATTTTTTCTGAAGCGACCTGGCCACAAATGATAGGTCAACTAAGTGGCTTATGTGGAAGCATCTAGCAGCCAAATACTATAAACGCATGTTTCTAAATGTGGAGGAAAAAACCAGAGGACCTGGAGAAAAATCCACGTGACCAGAGGGAGAACATGAAAACTCCAAATATGCAGACATCGTCAGGGTCGGGATGGAACCCACAGCCTCCTGTATACCAGGCAAAGTAGTTAACATCTCGCCACCGTGAGATGTTGTGATGGTGAAGAGCCACAGGGGAGAGGTGATAAAACGACCAGACCACCCGTGGCGTCTGCAGACCCACCAGCCGCTCTCCCCCTCTACTTTACACTCGGCTTCGCGAGCACCTGCAAAACAAAAACACAACACGTGAGCGCTGCAGCCGGGCAGTTACGGCCATCGGGTTTCATTTTGAACCCCTCCCCAGCCTCAAAGAGTCCACAACACTGGCCTCTGCACGATACCTCGGTAACTCCACATGCATTCAACCGTTCACACGTGAAGTCGTCGCACAAGGAACTCTCAACAAAAAAAAAACCCTCAACACATCCGCCAATAACACCGTGGCCTTTCAAGGAACAAAATATAACGGGCGACGTTTCGGCCTATGGCCCTTATCAGTCGCGCATAAATTAGCGAGGCCAGAGAGGCGGTGACATTGACGAGTGCATTGCGATGTTTTGTTGTTGTCCGAGCTTGTGCACCACTGTGAACGCAGATGGAGCATCACCAAATAACTCTTCAACTAGGTCTGCAGTGGGAAATGTTCTGTAAAGCCTACAAAGCGTAACCATGGCACCTTCGTGACAGCCCCTGCGCTCTTAAGAATAGCGCAGGGGGCCATCAAGAGCGTAGAGTTATTAATGAATTAATTCGGGCAGTGCAGGGTGTGGTGTGGTGAAGCCACCCGCTGAGACGTGCGAGAGGAGTGACCTTGGCTTTGAGGACGGGACGCGTGACCCCGAGGAGGTCACACAGCTGGTTCCTCGTCTCGGTCACCACCGGCAGAGTCGCGTCCCTGGTTGGGGGGGTCGGGGGTGAGCTGTCAGCCTAATGCCAATGGTCTATGCAGGCGTTCACATTCATTCGGAAGAACACGCTGGTTTACCATTGAAACTTTATTTATTTAAAGGCGCCTTTCACAAAACCAAGGGCCCTGAACGTAAACTTATCCTCCATTAAAATGTTAAAACCATGCTATTAAAATAGTTGATCATATTTCCCTCTAACCACAGAACTTGTAAAATGTATTTAGTTTTCAGCTACGGTCAGGCGGTCCCTTTGTCCGAAGAGCAGGGGATTTAAAACCCGACCATTTTGCTCAAAATACGTGCCATCAATTGTGCACGTGAAAAATTATAATTTAGAATCTACGCAAATGATGTGCAAACCGTACACTGCATGCCGGTTATATTTAGAGAGAGTGAACAAAACGGTACAAGCGAGACAGAAAAACTATGGAAAAGATTGCCAAGGCTATGAAAAACAATACCAACGCATTGGTAAAAATCGCCTAAAGAGTAACTAGTTATCGAATCAGATTGTGATCCGACTCACGGCAATTCATCAAATTGCTTTGTGGTTGGGGGGGTATTTGCGACACTGTTACGTGGCTCGAAGTTACACCCAAACGTACTTGGCTTGATTTACGTTGCATCGTTCCCTCCGCAATAGTCATGCACCAGGAGGTCTGACTGAGTGCCAGCTTAAAACCGTTGTAGATACGTTCGCTTCTGACCTCACCGCTCACACTCCCAGGTAACGGCGAGCTGGGAGTGGTGACGCACGCCCGCACGTTGGAGGCGTGGTTTGGTGACTGATGCGGGGGTGGCCGAGCGACAGTACAGCAAGTGGGTCCCTGAAACCAATTTTGCTGACGAGCTGTCCCATCATCTGTGGGGGGCTCTGTCCTCTCGTCCGTGGGGGGCTCTGTCCCCTCGTCCGTGGGGGGCTCTGTCCCCTCGTCCGTGGGGGGCTCTGTCCCCTCGTCCGTGGGGGGCTTTGTCCCCTCATCCGTGGGGGACTCTGTCCCCTCGTCCGTGGGGGGCTCTGTCCCCTCGTCTTCGGGGGGGGCTCTGTCCTCTCGTCCGTGGGGGGCTCTGTCCCCTCATCTGTGGGGGGCTCTGTCCCCTCGTCCGTGGGGGGCTCTGTCCCCTCGTCCGTGGGGGGCTCTGTCCCCTGGTCCGTGGGGGGCTCTGTCCCCTCATCCGTGGGGGGCTCTGTCCCCTCGTCTTCGGGGGGAGCTCTGTCCTCTCGTCCGTGGGGGGCTCTGTCCCCTCATCTGTGGGGGGCTCTGTCCTCTCGTCCGTGGGGGGCTCTGTCCCCTCATCTGTGGGGGGCTCTGTCCCCTCGTCCGTGGGGGGCTCTGTCCTCTCGTCCGTGGGGGGCTCTGTCCCCTCGTTCCGTGGGGGGCTCTGTCCTCTCGTCCGTGGGGGGCTCTGTCCCCTCGTCTTCGGGGGGGCTCTGTCCCCTCGTCCGTGGGGGGCTCTGTCCCCTCGTCTTCGGGGGGGCTCTGTCCCCTCGTCCGTGGGGGGCTGTGTCCCCTCGTCCGTGGGGGGCTCTGTATAGACGCTCGCCTGTCCTCCCCCACATGGTATGCACTTCTCAAAGAGGAAACGGCACAAGTCCGACTCAGGACCCTCCTGAGAAACTCGGCGAGGCTGCCCTGAGCGAGCGGCAAATGTTACGGATTACGTGCGCGTGTCTGTCCACGTGATGGACTGCATCCACCGTCACCGCGGGCACACCCACCAGTTGGTGTCGCTCAGCAGGCTCATGATCTCCTCCGCGGCGTCCGGCTCCACGATGTCGTCGTACACGAGCATCGTCTCGTACAGCTGGCTCGCCGTCGCCTTGCGGATCTGCCGGAGGGGAGAGACGACGCGCACGCTCACCGCCGACCGCCTACCGCCGACCGATGACCGCTAACCGCATATGCTTGCCGCAGCCGGGAGGGGGGGGGGGTGCCCAGATGACGCATGCCGGTGGATTAATCGAGCAACCGCAATGCAAACGAAGCCGGATGGCTGACGATGAAGCCAGGAAGCGAACGCAGTGTGGGGTGACGCGGGCCAACAGGGCAGGTCTCTGGCACGCACTATCGGGTAGCTGTGGCACAGCAACATCATGAGGTTGAGCAGGGCGTTCTTCCTCGCCGCACCCGGGAACTGGATGAGTCCGCAGAATCTGTAGGCGGCAGACAGCGCGGCACTCAACGCGTGCGCGTACCCACGCACGTACCCACAGATGCGCTCAACCACGCACGCGCACACACGAATACCCACGCACACACTCACCCGCGTACGATAGCACATACCCAACCAGCGATCGTGGCTCCACTTGGCATTCAAAGATAAAACACCCCCATATTGTGGATGCTGTGACCAAGCTCCGTAGTTACGTCTGAGGCCGTGTCCACGTTTTATTTAAATGCGCCTGTCACGGGATTTGCTGACACCGTTTTTGATTTGTATATAAGCACTGCTGATTGTTTAACCTGTTTACGGTGAGTGTTGGCATGGGTTTCATGTCAATTATTTATTGTTTCTGCTCTCGTCAGTTTGCACAATCCCACCCTGCAAATGTCCCGTAACCCGCCACCACTGCCGATGCTCTAGGGCTGTGGTCGTCCAGATAACAGAGCCGCTTGGCTCAATGGGGCCTTACCCATCTGAAATAAACAAGCCCGAGTCGGAGTGTCCATGGGAGAATCCTCATCCTGTCGCACAGTCTCTATTGGCCAGTTTCGGCTCGTAGCACGCCGCCACACGCGGCCTGCGTGAGATCGACACGCTATCAATCCCCCTGAGCACTCAAGACGAAGATTGGAACACTTCAGATGAACTTTGCAGAATCCTCAACATGGAGGAATGAGCCGCCACTGGCCAACAGAGGCCACGTGACATCATAATAATAATATTCGTAATAAAGGTTTTTTTGGGGTTACATTACCTACATATAAATGTGTTGTTAACCCACCACCACCCAACACAGTAAATGAGTAAGGTTTGTCACAAAATGTACAATTTGAGTACGACGTTTCACGAGTAATTAAAATCAACTTCATCGGACAATTTGCCAGAATCTTGTGAAATTAGCGCCCCCCCCCCATACTCCAGGGCGTCTCAGATCACTTTGCATCCCATCTCATCTCCGCACATTTGCCAGAGCACCACCGACCCCCACCCCAGTGGCAGCCGTCTCGCGTGGGCACACGATGGGACGCTGCGGATTCTCCCACGGATTTCTCGTGGCCTTCAACGCGTTTCACCGCGGCGCGTTCCAAGACCCGGCACAGCCGCCGCCGGCCTCTCCGTGCGCTCGGCGCAGAGGGTGGGAGGGTGGGGGGGGCGGCCCAGGCGGCGCCACCGAATCCTCTCGAGTCGCGCGGCACTCACACTGGCAGGCCGGTCTGCAGCTTGAACGTGTCCTTGGATCCACGCATCTCCTGCTGCACAAGCGCCACCACCTCCATGGGGAACGTGTGGCTGCACGCGCACATAACAGCATTATGGGATGCTATCGGCGTGAATGATGCTCTATGAAATGAAACTAACGGCAAAGCGTAACAATGCGTTACTTTTTAACGTGTTTTTTTTATACAATGCGTTATTTGAATGTGTGTGTCTCAACGGGCTCTCACGAGTTGTCTGAGCAAGCGCTTTGTTCTGTGACAGCCTCTAGGGGCACTTATGACCGCGGCGAGCGGACGCAACGGCTTAACCGGTTCCACGCTACTGAACGAAAGACACGATCAGCGCTAGGGGTCACCCAATCCCCACACCGATACCCGTCCAACAGAAATAATAACAGACAGTTTACAGCCAGCTGTCCATTTTATGAAATGCAGATTTTGCAAACGTAAACCTAATCATCACCATAGTCATGATCGAGCGTGATCCATCTACTGCTGGATGAAAGTATGAAAATTGACTGCCAAAACTGCTATTCGCCCCATATCAATCAAATGTCTCTCGCAGCCTGGAGTTGTATGGTGAGAGCCGAGCATCGGTTTGAAGTTTGTTGTTTAGCCACTGGAGAATTCAAGAGACCAGGATACAGTCTCATTTGTAAAAGTGAACTGGGGCATTAGTCTGCCATTATGGGGGGGGGGGGGTGGCAATAATTAATTGCTGTGTATCAACCCCATTGAGTAATCTACAGGGAATTTTCGAATATGGTAAATTCGGACCCTGGCGTCGGTACACAACGGCCTACTCTTGCTCATGACGTCGGGGGATCTTTAAGGTCCGCTGTGCCGCAGACGGCGCGTGGTAGCATTGCGGTTATTACACACCGCGGTAATAGGGCCGCCGCGGATTCGAACCGTGAACCTTTGCAACAAGATGGCGAACGCAGCGCGACCGCCGTTGGGCCACGCAGCCACCGCTGGCACTCGCCGTGCGATGAGTCGGGCCCTGCCCCTCACCTCGGGTCCTCTGCGATCGCTTCAAAGCAGCCGTTGGCCAGCATCTTGTCCAGCATCGCCATGAGCGGCACGGAGACCCTGGGCATCGAGCGTCGCACACGCGCCACGGTGAACGCTCGCCGCCCGCAAATGCTGAAACCTTCCCAACTTTGGCCCAGTTCGGAAAGAAATTTTTTTGTTGACGTTCCAGCGCAGAGGGTGACAGTAGGGGGTTTTAAGTAAGGGATGATGCTGCCTGCCCTGGTGGAATGGTGAGTGCACCGGACTTGCAATCCAAGGGTCGCCGGTTCGACCTCCCGGCGCGGTAGTTAAAACAATGGGGTAAGCGTTTTAAACCTCCCCACCCCCACCACCTCTGTCCACCCAGCGGTATAAATGGGTGCCCGACATTTCCTCTATCGGCGGGTCGCGGGTGGCGGGGTAGAGTGTGGGTACTCCCCTCTCTTCCAAGACGTCTGGCCATAACGGAAGAGTAGGCCCAATACCCTCTGGAGGGGCTCTCCAGAGCTCCCCCTGGTGGAGGCCCTTACGCCAGCAGTGGGGTTGCATCAGCAGTTTTCAGGGCTGCGCCTTTGTCTTTTTGCTCGGGTTACCGAACGCGTCATTTTGCGCAGGCCACGCTTGTAAACAGGCCGCGCTTGTAAACAGGACGCGATTGTAAACAGGCCGCGCTTGTAAACAGGCCACGCTTGTAAACAGGCCGCGCTTGTAAACAGGCCGCGCTTGTAAACAGGCCGCGCTTGTAAACAGGCCGCGCATGTAAACAGGCCGCGCTTGTAAACAGGCCGCGCTTGTAAACAAGCCACGCTTGTAAACAAGCCACGCTTGTAAACAGGACGCGCCTGTAAACAGGACGCGATTCTAAACAGGCCGCGCTTGTAAACAGGCCGCGCTTGTAAACAGGCCACGCTTGTAAACAGGACGCGATTGTAAACAAGCCACGCTTGTAAACAGGCCACGCTTGTAAACAGGACGCGATTGTAAACAGGACGCGATTGTAAACAAGCCACGCTTGTAAACAGGCCACGCTTGTAAACAGGACGCGATTGTAAACAGGCCGCGCTTGTAAACAAGCCACGCTTGTAAACAGGCCGCGATTGTAAACAGGCCGCGCTTGTAAACAGGCCGCGCTTGTAAACAGGACGCGATTGTAAACAGGCCACGCTTGTAAACAGGCCGCGCTTGTAAACAGGCCACGCTTGTAAACAGGCCACGCCTGTAAACAGGCCACGCTTGTAAACAGGACGCGATTGTAAACAGGCCACGCTTGTAAACAGGACGCGATTGTAAACAGGCTGCGCTTGTAAACAAGCCACGCTTGTAAACAAGACGCGCTTGTAAACAGGCCGCGCTTGTAAACACGCGCTTGTAAACAAGCCACGCTTGTAAACAGGCCGCGATTGTAAACAGGCCACGCTTGTAAACAGGACGCGATTGTAAACAAGCCGCGCTTGTAAACAAGCCACGCTTGTAAACAGGCCGCGATTGTAAACAGGACGCGCTTGTAAACAAGCCACGCTTGTAAACAGGACGCGCCTGTAAACAGGACGCGCCTGTAAACAGGCCACGCTTGTAAACAGGACGCGCCTGTAAACAGGCCGCGATTCTAAACAGGCCACGCTTGTAAACAGCGACGCCACCACTGCAACGCACAAGCACGAGGCACCTTCACGCGGTCCCTCATCGACCGAAAGAGGCACACAACATTTGTCAGCTGCTCCGCTGCCACAACACGACCGGGCCGGCTGGATCGCGGCTTCGCTCAGGCGGCAATGACTCACAGGCGCAGCGCTGTGGGGGGGGAGCTGGGGGGGTGCGGGGTGGTAACCGCTGCCCTTTCGCTGCTGCTGCTGCTGCTGTGCCCAGGGGGCGCCTAGCTGGCTCTGACAGGGTGGCACGTCAGCTACGGTGAGTCATATCTTGTGCAAAACAAATGGGGTTGGCAGCAGCGACTGCTGCAGCTGACGTGTGTGTGGTGTAAATGTATATATGAAATGGATTAGTAATTTGATATATATCTGAGCCACACAGGGATGGGCAAAAATACATAAAAAATTATACATTTCCTTAGGAAATGAAACGTCAATAAAAATGTATAATAAACCGTGTCTTGTGTAATACAGACACCAAATTAATTTGAGGTCGTTAATTTCGACGTGTCACAAATACAAATTGTAATTAGATGACATATTTCTTTATTTTGATTTAAAGCTTTCGTGACTGCAGGGATTCATATTCTTGGTTCTTCTACGTGTTGCACATAACCTGTGTGTGATGTAGAAATTGTGGCTGTGGGCTCACACTCCTGGATGAGGCTCTCACCTGGCATCACCATCACCACCACTACGACCACCACCACCACCAACCCCACCACTACCATTACCACCACCATCATCATCTACCACCCCCAACACTACCACCACCACTACCCCGACCACTATCACCACCGTCACCACTACTACCATTACCACCACCACCACGACCATTACTACCATCATCATCCACCACCGTCAGCACCACCCCCACCGCCACCCCCACCACTACTACCCCCAAAGACAAAGATCCCCCGTATAGCCTTAACAGACTGTTGGGGCAAGTGCTGTTAGCGAGCACCTTGAAGGCCGGAACGGTACACGAGGGGGTGGGTGGCCAGCACCACGCCCGACCGCCTTTGTGTCCCCAATGGCGATGTTTACACACCACACAAGATACTCATTTCAGGCTGAGTCGACCTAGGGGAGGCCCAGGACCGGTTTAGATAATCGTCACTGGTGTTGGCCGTGAGCGGGAATCGAACCCGGGTCGCCGGGTTCATAGCGCAGCGCACTAACCACTACACTACCGCTCCCCACTACTAAGCCCACCATCATCACCACCACCGTCACCACCACTATCCTTACCACCAAACCAACAACCGCCATTCGCCACTAAGTGGCAGTGACGTCACCACGACGCTTGTGCCAGGCTATGTGCACGTTGAGGCCACGTGAAGTGTCGAACGCCCACTGGTAGGTCATGGGGCAGACCCAGGTGCCACGGGTCGACTGACTGAAATGACTGGCTGATGCACCACCTGTGCCCCCCTACTGTGCCAACCATTACCACCAATCATCCAATCCACCACCATCATCAATCATCACCACCCCACCGTCACCACCACCACCACCAACCCCGCATGTGGGCGTGCGTTCTGAGAAGGAGCACTCATCACCTCTGCGGGACATTTCCTACTGCAGAATCTTTCTGTCGTTATTTAGACTTGAGGAATCCGACGAGCTGTGAAGCTCTTTTTCACAGATGTCAGCAGATCCGTGGTTGAAATGTCCCCGCGGGGGCATTAGCTCCCACGCCCGCTCCAGAGACGAAGCACCGGGGGCCAAGCACCGACGACCTACCAGGGGCCCTCGCCACGCACCTCTCCCAGAGTGCCGCGAGGCCCCACCGCCCGCTGGCGCAGTGGCGCGCGGCCGTACCTGCTGTTCCTCAGGTTGGACCGGAATATTTGCAGGAGGGTCCTGCAAAGCGCAGTTCATCGCCTCCGTGTCCTGGCGGATGCTCTTCATGAATGCGAAGAGCGCCTGAGCAGAGCTGCGCGTCTGAAACCGCAGGAATCGTCGGCATTATTGGGCAGATTTGGGGATTGGGCAGGGGAGGGGGGGGGTTCACGTTTGAAATTGCAATGAAAGACAGAGAGAGAGAGGAACACGTGGATTGGAGAACATGGGCCATATAGAGACATCACAACGGAGCGAGTGGGCTGCGCAGGACGCGTCGAGAGAAGGGAAGATGATGCCCGGCAGTCGGGACTAACGACGGAGTGGCAGCCAAAGGAGGGAGCGTGCCGAGAGGATGGCGTCCGCTGCGGAGCCAGATCGATCATTGCGACACAAGGCCACGAGAGATGGAGACGATTAGGGGAGGCCTTCATCCGGCAGTGAAGCGACACGTGACTATCACCGTTTCTTATCGCTGCTGCCACTTGGTGGGGGGGTGTGAAGTAGCCTGGCCCCACACGAGGCTGTCAGGCGCGAGCGCCACTCACGGTGGACTCGGTGAGGCCGCCCACGGATATGGTGAGGCCCAGCAGCAGGCGGGGCTGGTAGATGGGCAGCGACAGGATCTGCACCACGCGCGAGAACAGCTCCGACGCCATCCTCCAGTTCACCGCGCTGAGGTCCGCCCTGTGTTGCACGGCGATCGAGGTGGGGTTGGGGGGGGTGGACGAGGGTGCGGCAGGGTGAGAGGAGGGGGCAGAGGGTGGGTAGCAGGAGTGTGAGCAACAGGAAGGGAGGGCACAGCAGGTGAGGAGTATTACTACTATTTACTATTTTTTTCTTACCAGGTAAGGCCCACTGATCTATACAGCTCTTTTTTCAGAAGTGACTTGGCCACAAATGATAACGAACATGGCTTATCGCGTGGAATTTTACGCACGTCGACTCTAAATGTGGAAGGAAAAACCGGAGGACCCGGAGAAAAATCCACGCGACCACGGGGAGAACATGCAAACTCCAAATAAACAGCAGGCGTCAGGGTCGGGATGGAGCCCCCAATCTCCTGCAGTGCAGGCGAGGGAGATACCAAGCCGAGGTGAGTGGGGATGCAGCCAAGGGCCTCGTCAGGTTTCCAGCCCCCCCGTTCCCCCCCCCCCCCCCCCCCCCCCGCAAAGACTGCAGATTCAGGCCAATTGGTGATCAGTGTTAATTCAGTGACAATAAAAAATATTTTAATAATAAATGGCAAAGCGCATCTCACGTTGCCATTCTCTTAGTTCAGTCGGCTACAGCAGTGATAATCCTAGTCCACGCTTGGCTACTACATGTTGGGGTGAGGGGCCGTGCGTTTTTATTTGCTCCCCTCCAATCAGTGGCCCCGCACGTGGGTCCCCTCTCGGGCTCGACCAGTCAGTCGCTCTTTGGCGGCGCTTGGCGGGCAGCCGCCAGCCATCGCCGCACCGGATGATCCTCATCCTATCATCGTCATCGCCGACTAAATAAATAACAATCGCCTCGTCGACGAGTAGTATTTCCCGCCGCTAATTGCGTCAACCGAATTGGCACCGCGCAACGCCCAACTCCGGGCGACACTTGTTTATTTTCGCCGCCGGCGTTGGTTTTTGGCGACAGACGCGGGAGGGCGAGATGATGCGGGTCGTGCGACGGGGCGGCGGGCACCTGGGGAAGGCGCGTCCAGCAGCTGCTGCCGGTGCGGGATGTGCGGCACGGGCCGCTCGTCACGGTGCAGCCAGCGCCATCAGCACCGACACGGCTTGCTCGCGCGTGCGGTCGATCTTCTCCACCGCCTGCTGCAGCAGACGGCACATCGCCTCCTCGCACCTGCCAGACACGCGACGACAGCAACAGCGACGGACGCCATTCGCCTACCGAGTGGACGCAGCTCTTGTGCCAGGCTAGGTGCACTTTGAGGCGTCAGATGAAGTAGTGGGAGCCTCACCGCTGGCAGGAGGTCACGGGACAGACCCAGTGTGCCATGGGTGACTGGCAGATGCACCACCTTGTGCTCCCCCACTATGCCAACTTTCTGCGTTTTAGCGGCCCGCAGCTCCGCTCGTTGTCCTGAGCATCGTTCCTCCTCCTCCGTTGTTGCTGGAGACTAAGATTACGATCTCCTGTCTCGTCAAAGAGAATATTGGGCGAGCAACTGTTGAGGCTCTCAAGGCGCATGATGGGCTGGTGTGGCCAGCACCAGGTCTCCACAGCGCTGACGTTTACACACTGCACCAATTACTCATTTGAGGCTGAGCTGACCTAGTAGATGCCAGTTCAGATATCACTCACCACTACAATGGCCGGAAAATCAAGTCACCGGATTCGAAGTGTAGTGCTCTAACCACTGTGCGACCACTCGGCACACCAAAGCCAAAGACGGAGCGCACAGATATAGAAGTTCTCGTTGACCAACACGCGCTGGAAGAGCAAGCACCTGCGTATCTGTTTATCGTCGCTGGCCCTGCGCACGAAGAGTTGCTTTGGGCCAACTGGTCACCTGGCTGCCATTGTCTCCGTCGCGCTGGTGACCTCCACCCAGGTGTTCTATTTGCGGATTAAAGAGGATGTGCGGCCACGCAACGGAAACGCCCCTATTCTCCAGAGCACAATGGAACGTTCTTAATCAGGGTATTCGGTGTCCGTGGGACGTTCTACTCCTGTAGAGGGAGCGGGGGGGTGGAGGGCGGTGTCTGCTGGGGGTGCGGCAGGGTGGGCACTCACACGCTCGGCGACAGCATCTCTGGGCACTTGTCGACCACGAGGAGAATCACCTCCTTGAGGCTGACCATGGCCACCTCGCGCACGCTGCAAGGACAACGTCACACGGGATCGATTGGGTCAACCAGCGACAGCGCCACAATGGTTTCCACCGCCACTCGCACCTCCACCACCCTGGTCACAAACTCCACCACCGCACACCCCATTGCCGCCACCATCGCAACCGCACACATCACTAATAACACAACCACCTCCACAATCACATTCAAAACCAACACCACCGCCTTCACCACCACAACCGCCTTTACAACCACCACCTCCATCACCATAGCCATCATCGCCACCAATACCATCGCCTTCACCGTTTTCACAACTGCCACCACCACCCCGGCTACTACCTCGGTCACTACCGCCACCGCTACAGCCAACCTTCACCACCATCGCATTCACCATAACCTCTACTATCACCGACACATCCTCCACCTTTGGCACCATAGCCACGTTAACGACAGCGCCGGCGACGAGGGCAAGGCGAGCGGGGGTCGCTTGCTGGCACAGTCGCTCGTCGTCACCAAACGGCGGCAGCGGAGCCACCGCGCTTGCCAGGAGCGACGACCTTCCCGGTCGCACCAAACGCGGTTCACGTCGGCTCGCGCGGACATCGCCGCCACGCCTCAGCGGCGTACGAGTGTTTGGTTCGCCCGGGAAGTTCAAACGTGGTACAGCGCGAGCCTCCGGGAGGTTCAAACGGCCCACCTCGTGCCATGTGACCCCCGGGGGGGGGGTGGCGGGGTGGGAGATCCATAAACAATTCTAGCAAGGTCGAGGCAAAATTGACTTAAACGGGGTGATGCTGTCGTAATTTACCCTCCATCTCTGTGGCGCGCCCTGGTTAGGAGCAATGACAGTGGTACACCTGCTGGTTCCCCCCCCCACCCTCCCACCACTTCACCTTGTCCTCGCGCACAGCCAGGAATGCGAGAGCGTACGTGCGCCTGCGTGCGTGCGTGCGTGCGTGCGTGCGCACAGCCGCACGTGGACGTCATCTCCGCCGAATTTTCCAGCATAGCAGAGGAGGGTGGAGGGGTCGGGCTGAGGAATGTGGACGATCGCGAGCCCTCGGAAAATACACGCGTCTCGGCTTCCTCTCAAGTTCAGGCTCAAGAACATTCTCTTCTGCCCAAGACCGCTGACCCTGTCAACCTGTGCAATATTTCTCGATCAATCCCAACAAGCCACCCTCCCCGGCACCCACAGCTCCTCCCTAAGCGTTCAACTAAACAAACAAAAAACGCACGGCCTTCCCCGCAAAGCGGCAACGCACGCGCCGTGCTTCTTGTACGGCGCCGTGAGATGTGTCCACGCATTGACACGCTTCAGCCACGATAACCGCCCCCACGATAACCGCCCCCACATAAGCGCAACCACCTCCATCACCGTCGCGTTGCGCTGGGCCCTCAACTGCGGTCAGCTTCCCACGATTTGGAGGCCAGGGGCCACGTGCACACCGTGTCCTCTCCGGATTATGTGGTTTCCTACCCCCCCGCTGTCATTTGACACAAAACTTGGGGGGTGCGTCGTATAATCCGGTAACCGTGTGCGCGCGTGTATCTGTGCGAGAGGCTAGGTTATTGTGTCACTGTATTGACACTGGGCAGCAACTTGGGGTGCTTCTGGCTCTACCGAGGGCCCATTATTATCTAGACAAGAGGGGATACAATTTGAAAATGGCTGCCGGTTAATCGATTGTAAAAAAAAAAAACTTTCTAAAATAAATGTGATCAATCGAATCAATCGATTGTTTCAGCGCTGGAATTAATTGAAAAATAATGGGGTGAATCGCAAACAGCAAGATAACTTTTACGGCCGCTGAACACGAGTAACCAGAAGCAGCGGCCAAACATAATTACAAGAGAGACATATGGACAAAGAGACCACAGAGTATATAAAGAGATATTACACAGCATGTCTTATTTAACAGCGTGCTTTAACAAAAATAATTACGCTCGTAAACACTCATTGAGTGCATGGCGCCAGAAGTCTGCCGGTTTTTTCATAGCCTAAGGCTGGCCATTCAGTTTACAGCGTCGCTCTGCAACAGACGTTTCTCGCACCACTTAAAAGGAAAACAAAACCTTCGCGGGGCATATTCGCACGTTCAGAAGACGCTCTGGACCAGAACACGAAGCCCGCAATCTCCCAGAACGACACCCGACTGCATTCAAATGTGCGTTCTCGCCAATCGGGCCACGCGGCAGAGGGACATTTCCACTCGAAGCTCTTGCGGGAAACCGGCGTGGCAGCCAGTGCGAGGGAGCCGTGTGTGCGTGGGACGTAATATTGCAAAACCTACGGCTACGGATTCCTCACAAGCCCCTGCGAGACGAGGCGATACGTTCCGAGCGCGGTGAACGCACCGCGAGCACGCCGTACACGTTGCAATCCTCACGGCTGGAAACCCGCCAAGCCGATTTGATCGTCAAATGACAATATTTGACAGCCCAGTTTGGTGGCGAGCTTCTGTTGGATCTTGTTGGATTGTTAAAGGTTTTATTGTCGGGTTACGTAACGTCGGTAACTGCACATTTCCCTCTCCGGGGGCCGCTTCGAGCGCAAGGAGAGCTGGGTGGGCGCTGCGTGGGTTCTCGCGTTACAGGATCGCGAGGGATCACGACGGTCTCAAGAGAAAGAGGCTTTCGTCCAGAGGTATACAGGAGGTCGTGGGTTCCATCCCAACTCGTACGCCTGGATGTCTCTCTCCCCGTGGTCGTGTGGATTTTTCTCAGGGTCCTCCGGTTTTTCCCTCCACATTTAGAATCAGCATCACGCGTTCAGAGTATTTGGCTGCTATAAAGTTCCACAAGATGATAAGCCACTTCGCTGAGCCATCACTTGCAGCCAGGTCGCTTCTGAAAAAAGAGCTACATAGCTCAGTGGGCCTCACACTGGTAAAATAAAAAAAAATTGTTTAAACAGCTACAGCCTCGACCCACGGTGGCCGCCCCCCGCGGCTTGCGGCTCCTGTGGTCGGGCAACACTCACACAGCTCCGATGTCGCCGCGCGCGTCCATCGTGTAGTCCTCCATGGCGCCCAGGATGGCCTCGAACACGCGGCCCAGGGTGGCCGCGCCGAGCGTGTGCTCAGAGTCGCCGTCGAGGCGGCCCACGCCCACCGTCAGGCACACGCTGCACACCACAACAAAGATGAAGATCAAACCCCCCTCTCAGCCTTTACAGACTCTTGGGGCAAGTGCTGTTAGCGAGCACATATGAAGGCTGGAATGGTGCAGCGATGGGGTGTGGTGTGGCCGGCGCCACAACAACAACAAACGCCATTCGCCACTTAGCGGCGGTGATGTCACCACGGCGCTTGTGCCATGCCATGTGCACATTAACGCCGCGTGTAGTGTCGAACACGCGCTGGCAGGAGGTCACGGGGCAGACCCCGGTGCCATGGGACGACTGACTGAGATGGCTGGCCGATTCACCACATGTGCCCCCTACTGTGCCAACACCACGCACACACACACGGCAAAAATCCCCCGTAGAGCTTTAACCACCAAGTGCTGATAGTGAGGACTTATGAACGCTGGAACGGCCCACAGCACCACGCCCAGACCGCCTGAAGTTTACACACTGCACCAGGTCGACCAAGGGGAGGCCTAGGGCGGTTAGGGTATCACTCGCCGCCACCACCACCACCACCACGCACGCAAACACACATAAATGCTCTCATAAAGACCACGATGCACACAACAAAAAACTCTCCCCACCCAGAATGCACACAACATGGCAATGCACACCACAACGGACACACACACAACACAAGCCACATGCACACACGGAACAACGCACAGACGGTCGCACTTCTCATTCGGCTTCTTCCCTCTCACTGTTCCACTCCCGTGGGCTCTCTTGACAAGCTCTTAAAAAACCTTTCTCAATGCAGGAAGCGTATCAACTCTAATCTGCTGTAATAACCTTCAAAGGGCTTGTTGCGGGCCTTTGGGCCTGTACTCAGAAACCTTGGGGGGTGGGGGAGTGGGGGGGAATAAGTAAATAAGTAAATAACTGACAAGCGCACGAGCTTACGCCCACTGCCCAGAAGCAACTTTACATAAAAGTCGGTGGAGCAGAGCCTCCCAGGAGCTAAAAAACGAAAACACTGCCCGTTGTAGCGAGCGCTGGATCTTTCCAGCGACGTGTTCCTGCCGCCGCCGCCGCAGCGGACGGGCTCACCTGGCGATGGCCCCGACGGCGTCTCTCCGGGCCTCGGCAAACTTCTCCTCGTGCGGGCCGATGACCGTGGCCTGCTGTAGGCCAGCGAGCACCTGGCACGTGAAGACGAATGCGGAACGTCACACAGTGAAGCTTCATCCATCGCCGTCGCGTTAACACTGCAACGGTGCACATCCGACCGTCGTGTATCTGCACTGACCGATTAACCGCCCCCCCCCCCCTGCCAGGCATATCCGGCCTTTTCACATACAGTGAGGGAAAAAAGTATTTGATCCCCTGCTGATTTTGTACGTTTGCCCACTGACAAATAAATGATCAGTCTATCATTTTAATGGTAGGTTTATTTGAACAGTGAGAGACAGAATAACAACAACAAAAATCCAGGAAAACGCATGTCAAAAATGTTATAAATTGATTTGCATTTTAATGAGGGAAATAAGTATTTGACCCCTCTGCAAAACATGACTTAGTTCTTGGTGGCAAAACCCTTGTTGGCAATCACAGAGGTCAGACGTTTCTTGTAGTTGGCCACCAGGTTTGCACACATCTCAGGAGGGATTTTGTCCCACTCCTCTTTGCAGATCTTCTCCAAGTCATTAAGGTTTCGAGGCTGACGTTTGGCAACTCGAACCTTCAGCTCCCTCCACAGATTTTCTATGGGATTAAAATTATAGACTGATCATTTCTTTGTCAGTGGGCAAACGTACAAAATCAGCAGGGGATACTTTTTTCCCTCACTGTATACGCCCATACCAGAGTGCCCAGTGAGCCGGTTATACAATGTCGTGGTGTATTAGCAAACACGACATTTTCCTCTAACCGCTTATTTTTTAAGCGTAAGCCAACATTACCTCTGTAAAACATTCAGGCGTGGTCGGTAAACGTCTCCACGTACGCGTCGCGCCTTGCCAAACCGTCGAAATGTATTCGTCTTGAGATTGTACCAGTGGATTAATGGCGCCATCAATTTTCAATTAATCTGTGCACTCACTGCGCGATTTGCTTGAGCCATGCTGCACCATCGGCTGAAAAAGGGAACTGTTGCACTTAGTCTCAGTCTTATCGACTGGGGCCACACGTAAGCTTTTGATCGCGCCCATGGGAATTCCTCTAAATATCACGTGTAAATTCATCATCAACATCAGCCATGGTCAATCCACTGCTGGACGAAGGCCTCCACCCAGCACCTGCACACCTGCACGTTAGTTGGGGCTGGGTAGATTAGCATTAAATAATTATTTGAACCAGCGTGGGATTTCCTGCATGTAAATTTTAATTCACAAGATAAACTGGCTCTTCAACACTTGCCATTTGAATTAAATTCGAAGGGCCTGTGTTTGTGCGTGCGGCGGCGCCACGGCCAGGTGTTGAACCTGGCTGATGTGCCCGGCGAGCATGAACGCCGGCAGGGCCCCCAGGGCACAGCTGAAGCCACATCGAGTCATCTTGTCACTGCTCTGCAGCCCGGCCAAGTAGCGTTCCAACAGGGCAGCTGTCACAGTGGAACACAAAAGTAATAGATCACCCTTATAGCCCACACAGGCTGTTGGGGCAAGTGCTGTTAGCGAGCACCTATGATGGCCGGCTCGGCACACGAGGAAGAGACATTGCCAGGACTACATCCAGTCGCCTTTGCCTCCCCAGTGCTGATGTTTACACACTGCACCAGGTAAGATCTGACCTAATCGTATCCTGCCATCTGCCCTTAGATACACTCAACCTGTGGATTTTACACAGAGATCCACAGATTCACACAGAGACCCATACATCTGCTCCAACAGTATCCCACCAATTGGCCCTTAGGTTTTCTCCATGATCACCTACTCGTCTTGTAAATTCTACAATAATAATTACAATAATGCCATTTGTTTACCTCGGTAAGCCTCGCTGAGTCTCAAAGACTCTTGATCAGGAGGGCCCTGCATTGGGATCCTTGGCCATCACCATTTACCAGCGATTGGCTTCACACGGGAGGAAACCGGACTACCGAAGACGACTTATGCATATGCGGAGACAGCAAAGCTCCGCACAGATAGATTCAAGGATCCTGCCAATTCCCGGTCAAACCACAGCCACAAGATTACACCACAGCCACAAGATTACACCACCTGATATTTCCCAGGCAGCCTCCCATCGTAGTACTCATCACCAGGCTAAACCCTGCTTCGCTCCTGATGTTGGGTGCACTCGGTGTGAATTGATTGGAGTCAGTCAGGTTGACAACTGCTGAGTCATTGCCGTCGGTGTTGATACGTTGATGCTAATTCCAACGTCGGTAAATGTCGGCACTGAAAGGGACGGGCTGGCTGTGATGATGCAACTCTAGGGTTCGTAAAGGTCATTGGTGGAATTCAGGGTCACCCGTGTTGACGAGTTCCAAGAATGGTTTAAGGTCAATTCTGGAGTGGTGGCTCTGCACACAAAAAAAGGATTTAATTCTCAGGTAAGCAAAGCAATTCGTTATAGCCCAGCGAGTTGAGGAAGCAAAAAAACAACAAACTTGAGATGTTTATCTCTAGATGGCTTTAGGGCCATCTCATGCTTGGCTATGTTGAAAAAGGTGGGACTCAGAATGCTCATTGGGAACTCCCAGTTTTGCTTCTTGGGTCTTCGGAATTTTAGCAGAAAATGTTTGTTAAATCTTACAAAATAAAAGACAAATTAACGTCGCTCAATTTTGTATGTGTGGCGGGCAAGTGGTTCACAAGCATGAATGAAAAAAATCCACATCCATCGTTTACATCGTTTCATTTATTAAAAATGTGGAGAGCTTATATATATAAAAAACAAAGTCGCTGTGAAACTTGTCTAGTTTTGTCTACTGGGTTTACATTGTTTATGAGAGCCCTGCTTGGTATGTGGATACATTCTCCAAGGTTAACGAGATAGACAAGTCGGCTGGTGACATATAGCTCAATTTTAGAATCATTCCACCCAGACCACTCTTAGCTTGTAACCTACAATACCTGAAGTTACCTTTCCCCTTAGCTTGTCACCTAAATCAGTGTCGAGCGTATTTATTTTAAGCAAGAGCTCTTGGTCACTTTGTTGCTGGGTGGAGGCCTTCTCACGCCATGTCGGTCAGTGGGGGTGTGACCATACTTCACCACGCTGGTCAGTGTGGGTTGGTGTGGGGAGCGGCAGGGTGTGGACCGGTTCACTTGCCGCTGATGTTAGCCGTGAGTGGAAATCGAACAGAGGTCGTCGGACTCGTGGCATGGCACCAGCGGGGATTGGCACGACACAAATGGAGTTGGAGTGACACACTGGCTAGCTTGGCGTGGCACACGTGAAGTTGGTGTGACACACTGGTGGCTTGGTGTGGTACACGTGGAGTTGGTGTGACACACTGGTGGCTTGACGTGGCACACGGGAAGTTGGTGTGACACACTGGCTGGCTTGGCGTGGCACACGTGGAGTTGGAGTGACACACTGGTGGCTTGGCGTGGCACACGTGGAGCTGGTGTGACACACTGGCTGGCTTGGCGTGGCACACGTGGAGCTGGTGTGACACACTGGCTGGCTTGGCGTGGCACACGTGGAGCTGGTGTGACACACTGGCTGGCTTGGCGTGGCACACGTGGAGCTGGTGTGACACACTGGCTGGCTTGGCGTGGCACACGTGGAGTTGGTGTGACACACTGGCTGGTGCGATGCACACGGGCTGGGGAGTGGTGGAGTAGCGGTTAGCGCTACGAACCTGGCGACCCGAGTTCGGTTCCTGCTCATGGCCAACACCAGTGCCAATGATCTGAACCGGTCCTGGGCCTCCCCTAGGTCGACTCAGCCTCAACTGAGTACCTAGTGCGGTGTCCGAAGATCGCCACAAGGGAGACAAAGTCGTCCGGGCGTGGTGCTGGTGACCCACCCCCTCGTGTGCCGTGCCGGCCTTCATTGGTGCTGCTCGCAAACAGCGCTTGCCCCAGCAGTCAGCAAAGGCTACACGGGGGACCTCTGTCTTTGGTGCGGTGCGCTGTGGGCTGGTGTGGTGCAGAGCGGGTGGCGCTCACCCTGGACGGCGCGGTCGGCCTCCCCGGCCTGGGCCTGGTAGTAAAACTCGCACAAAGCGGCCAGCGCCGATATTGCCGCAGCCTGCAAGCACGGTGGGGGGGGGGGGCACATTCGTGAACCATGAAACTTGAAACGCGTCGCAGCCGCCGCGAGTTTTCTTTCTAAGTTTCTCTTATCTTGGTTCTCCCCTCTTTGTTCCCGCACTTCAAAAACACAAGCGAGCAGGTACGGTGGCAATTCGCGCTGGTTTCTAGCTGCTGTCTGCTACCGTGCGTGCGCCATTAGAGATAAGGTGACATCGTTTCCTGTGTATGGGAGCACACAGAGCCAGCGTGCTACTTGAGACAGAATTTGTTATTTAAGTCACAGCCTAAGTCAAGTCGACAACAATAACAACCGCTTAGGGTTGATGTGAATCCATATATTGATTCGGTTTAATTTGTATTTCATTTTGTTTTTATGGTTCTCTGACTGAAAGTTTTAAAGTGACATTTCTTCAGTTAGCACTTATGAGTATTGCCATCTACAAATCCAGATTACTTACACTTTAGGAGAAATAACTTAGACCTGGAGACTCGTCATCACGATCTATAACGCCTATTGCAGTAGTTTATACAGTGAGGGAAAAAAAGTATTTGATCCCCTGCTGATTTTGTACGTTTGCCCACTGACAAAGAAATGATCAGTCTATCATTTTAATGGTAGGTTTATTTGAACAGTGAGAGACAGAATAACAACAGAATCCAGAAAAACGCATGTCAAAAATGTTATAAATTGATTTGCATTTTAATGAGGGAAATAAGTATTTGACCCCTCTGCAAAACATGACTTAATACTTGGTGGCAAAACCCTTGTTGGCAATCACAGAGGTCAGATGTTTCTTGTAGTTGGCCACCAGGTTTGCACACATCTCAGGAGGGATTTTGTCCCACTCCTCTTTGCAGATCTTATCCAAGTCATTAAGGTTTCGAGGCTGACGTTTGGCAACTCGAACCATCAGCTCCCTCCACAGATTTTCTATGGGATAAAGGTCTGGAGACTGGCTAGGCAACTCCAGGACCTTAATGTGCTTCTTCTTGAGCCACTCCTTTGTTGCATTGGCCGTGTGTTTTGGGTCATTGTCATGCTTTAATACCCATCCACGACCCATTTTCAATGCCCTGGCTGAGGGAGGGAGGTTCTCACCCAAGATTTGACGGTACATGGCCACGTCCATCGTCCCTTTGATGCGGTGAAGTTGTCCTGTCCCCTTAGCATAAAAACACCCCCAAAGCATGTTTCCACCTCCATGTTTGACGGTGGGGATGGTGTTCTTGGGGTCATAGGCAGCATTCCTCCTCCTCCAAACACGGCGAGTTGAGTTGATGCCAAAGAAGTCCATTTTGGTCTCATTTGACCACAACACTTTCACCCAGTTGTCCTCTGAATCATTCAGATGTTTATTGGCAAACTTCAGACGGGCATGTATATGTGCTTTATTGAGCAGGGGGACCTTGTGGGTGCTGCAGGATTTCAGTCCTTCACGGCGTAGTGTGTTACCAATTGTTTTCTTGGTGACTATGGTCCCAGCTGCCTTGAGATCAGACAAGATCCTCCCGTGTAGTTCTGGGCTGATTCCTCACCGTTCTCATGATCATTGCAACTCCACGAGGTGAGATCTTGCATGGTGCCCCAGGCCGAGGGAGATTGACAGTTCTGTGTTTCTTCCATTTGCGAATAATTGCACCAACTGTTGTCACCTTCTCATCAAGCTGCTTGGCAATGATCTTGTATCCCATTCCAGCCTTGTGTAGGTCTACAATCTTGTCCCTGACATCCTTGGAGAGGTCTTGGCCATGGTGGAGAGTTTGGAATCTGATTGATTGATTGCTTCTATGGACAGGTGTCTTTTATACAGGTAACAAGCTGAGATTAAGAGCACTCCCTTAAAGAGTGTGCTCGTAATCTAAGCTCGTTACCTGTATAAAAGACACCTGGGAGCCAGAAATCTTTCTGATTGAGATGGGGTCAAATACTTTTTTCCGTCATTTCCCTCATTAAAATGCAAATCAATTCATAACATTTTTGACATGCGTTTTTCTGGATTTTTTTTGTTGCTATTCTGTCTCTCACTGTTCAAATAAACCTACCATTAAAATGATAGACTGATCATTTCTTTGTCAGTGGGCAAACGTACAAAATCAGCAGGGGATCAAATACTTTTTTCCCTCACTGTATACCAACAATAAACCATCATGCTCTTAGAGGCATAGCAGAGTACTATAAGTTACAACATTAGGTCATGCTTTTCAGTGGAGGAAGGTTTCTAACTTATATTAAATATATCGAGCAACATGCTCATCAATAACACCGTGACCTTAAAATAAACATATACAGAAGGTGGCATCTCAGGCAAGGGCATTTCTCTATTCATGTGCTATGCAGAAGGGCCAGGGAGAGAGATTTTGGTTTTACGAGCCTTGGCGCAAATAGGTGGCAGGCAGGACGGAGTTGCAGACTTACGGAGGCATCAGACGAGAAAGGGTGACCTCATAGATTACGGTGAGTATATATGATGAAAGGAAATGATGTCTCCACAGTTATAAAAATAACCACAGACGCACTCCCCAATTACGTCGATAAATTAACGTCGTTTGGAGCCCGTTTCTTAACGGTTATCGGCCTGCTTGGGAGAGGCGCTGCTTATCGCCGTCCCCGCGCGGTAGCAGCAGCGGTAGCAGCAGGGGCGGCGGCAGGTCACGGCGCCGCCAACGCCTCGGCCGGCTCGCAGCGGCCCCGTGCCGCCCCCCCCGCCCTCCACGCGCCCACGGACCGCGTGGCTGCCCGTGCGGCGCCAACTCGGACCGATCCGGTGTGGAGGAGCCTCCGTGAGGCGAGCGCCACCGCTACCCAGAACGGAGCATCCTCCGCCACTGTTTAGAAACCGCCGGCACGCGGCGAGCGCCGATAGGCATCGCTCCGCGCCCCACAGAAGCAGCGCTAATCTCTCGCAAAAATCTGTTTAGAATTAAGTGGAGCGGTGCACAAACTTTACCTGCAAGCTCGTCTTTGCTTCACTAGCAACCCGTCATCATCTCACACTCTTCAACAGCACGTTGTGATCGTTGCAGGCTTGCGCGTTTCTAAAACGCCCGGCTAGGTCAACGTGCGCGCGCATTTCTCCACGTTTTCTTCCGAACTTTTCAGGCCTTGTTGAAATATTTTAACGACAGTGTCTGTGAACCACATGTCAGCGCGGGCAGCACGCACCAGTGAAATACTGTCTTCGCTGGAGCGGTTCACAAACTTTTACCCGCACGCTTTGCCTTTGCTTCCAAACCAACTTATCATCCTCCAGTAATCTTCTTCTTTTGTACGGCTGCTGATATAGATGCAGAGCCAACAACTAAAATTTCACATTCGTGGGGTCAAGCCAGATAACTGCGTCAGAAGCAGTGGAGTAGCGTATCGCTGCGATTTCTCCTGCAGTAATTACGCACGTTTACTCAATTGGGATCGCACAAAGCACCAATCATCGCCTCCTACTGGCAGAGTAACGGGCCACTGTGCAGGCCGGTGCTGAGCTGCCTTGCACTTGATGCCAACAGCCGCCACTGGGGGCGTCTTTCGAATGTCCGAGATGAGACGCGATGCAAGGTCGGATATTTAAGCGCCCTTTATAAATGCAAACGACAATCGTCATTTTTTCACCCTTGCCCGTGTGTGTGCGCGTGGTTTTCATTTGCGGGCGCTCTGGCCGCAGAGCGCGCCCGGTCACTCGAGGTGAACTGCCCGCACTGCGGAACCACGTGGCCCCGGCCGCGCTCCGGTTCAGCCACACGCCGCGGTTCGCCCGCGACAAGCGAGCGAGCGCGAGAGGGACGGGGAGGAGTGCGGTGCGTGCGTGCGTCCCACCCGCACCGCGGCGGTGCGTGCGGCAAAACACCGCGCGAGGGGTTTAGCGTCCCCGGTCAGCGCCGGTTCGAGTCGCCGTGTTGGATGCACCAGTTCCCGACAGCCTGGCTGCGAAATGCACCAGAGCACGCGCGTGGTGTGCATGCCGTGTGTGCGTGCGCCGTGCCACAGAAGGCAGGAATTGGGTAAGCGGGGCCCGGCGCGTGCTGGCGATGACAGGGGGAGCCATTGGGATGCCACTGCGATGTGCACAGCCCCACGGTTTAAAACTAAATAGCAAACATACCGACGTTGAAACAATTAACTGCAGATTGATCGACTGGGATGACGCGCAGCAGCATTGCCCGATACTGCGGAAAAACCTGGCAGGCCCCTCCTGCTAAGGAGTCTTGAGACTCGGCGAGGGCTTTCTTGGGGCAAACAAGTGATAATAATAATAGCCTTGGTGCCAGGCTTGGGCCAAAACAGTTGCATCGATGTAAATTATATTCCATGCCAATACCCTAAATAATACTGGGAGAACAATGATAACGAACGAAATACGCAAGGATGCGTGACAGACAGCACCTGGCTATCTGTTCCACCTCTACTTCCCTTTGCACAAAGGCGGCATCTCCCCGTGCGAACATCTCCTTGAACAGCCTCCGTGTACAAGCATCGAGCGCGGGGGACACATCGATGCATTCGGTAACTACGATTAATTATGACACTCGTCACGACCATCATCGGTCAGAGTCTATCATCCACTGCTGAATGAAGGACCTGGCAAGCTGTTCGAATCCCTCGCGGTCACAGGCTGCAAGAATCCACCCGCACACGGGCTGATCTCATCGCTCCATCTCTTCGGAGCACGTGATCGTGGCCGTGTTTCCGCCCCTGGCTACCACTCTATCCCCCGTGCCGAACCGATGCCGTCATCCCGAACAGCGCCGTGTCCTGCCGCAGCACACTTTACTTTTCCTAGCGGTCAAAGATGCTCACTCCGATTTGCATTGTTCTCCGATCCTCGTGTTCTCCTCCGTGTCTCCTAATCCCCCGCAGGCGCCTCCTATGGCGCACGCTTCTTTGCGCACTCTTCAGCGACTGCTTCATTTCTATCGCAGGCCGCCCTTCTGTAATCGCCCCGGGTAAAACAAAATCTGGGCTCAAGATGAGCACGAGGAAAAAAACAATGCGACGTAGGAGTT